GAGCGTAGAATTCATACACCCCCTTTAACTTTTAATTAGATTATATATCATGTTTTACCATAAAATTGTGTAAGCATTGTGGACCGCACCAAATCTTTACAAATTCTTTTGATTCTTGTTTTGAAAACACACAATCAGAATCAGAAACAAAAATAAAATATGAAAGCCAGCAAACCAACGACAATCACCGAAATACCAGATCACCTGTGTCGTAGACCCATTGGCGGCCATGCCGGACTGTTTTTAGTCCTAAAATATAATTAAGATTTCGGAGTTTCATATCATTTACATTCAACGTTTTTTATCTGATATTTTTTTTTACTATCAATTTTCGGGTTTCAACATTGATAGTAAAAAAAAATATCCGATAAAAAACGTTGAATGTAAAATATATGAAACTCCGAAGTCTTATATTATAGGACTAGGACTGTTTTCTGCACTGTGGTTTGGTTGTCGTCTCTTCAACACATTCCCAGCTTCCATGATCACCCTCCATGACATAGGACAAACGCATTCAGGCTATCGTTTCACAAAAGGTCGTAAATCGTGATATAGGTCGTACGACCATCTTAACGATATGCGACCGTTTCACAAATATTTACGATTTACGACCTACGAGAAATATTGGTCGCAAATTCCCGACTGGGTCTAAGCAGTCGTAAATCGGTAAATTTGCCAATAGCGGGAATAATGGAAGTCGTAGACTTGCGTGAGGTTCAATTGTCAGTCTAACATTAAGAAGTCATGCAATTCCAGCACTTCTGCGGGTGTAATAACGTCACAGTACCCAAATTGCACCGAGTACCCAAATTTCACCTATTCAGCAAATCTAACAAGTTTTCTTTGAGACTTAACAATTTGTATTTTTATTATTTGACATTATATACACGTCTTTCAGCATAGGTAAATATATTTAAATATACACAAAACGTTCACAGTATATATCAACAGATGAAGTATTCACTGGAAAAAGTAAAATCTACAGAAACGTCGCGATGCGACGTCCACAAAAAGTCATCTTTTAAAAATGAGCAAATAAAATATGTTACAAGCAACCATTTCTTTAAAAAATGAATACTAAGCATGGAATAATGTCAAATTGTTCTAAATATTTGAAGGAATAAAACAAAACATCTGTTATTCGATTTTTAAGGATGTGAATTTAAGCATGGATGCAATTCATTACAGAATCATGGATCGTTTGGAGGTCGGTTCAAACCCATTTTTCTATGATTCAATAAAGATTCAAAATTAAATTGGTGCAACTATGATAGAAAAAAGGATACATTGACAAAATAAACACAGAATTGAAACTTTTGTCTGGATCATAAATAAACGTAGGTGAAAAAAACTGTCAAAATAGGTGCAATTTGGGTACCGTCACGTTAAATCCTTTTATTTTTTAATAATTTGAGCTCCTGCCATTCTGTCTCAATACTAGTAAACAATTTATCTCCCTTGAAAGACTTTAAAAATAAGAAACAAAACGGTAAACGGTCATACCATTAAAACGTTTACATTTGCACCTGTCCTAAGTCAGGAATCTAATTACAGTAGTTGTCGTCTGTTTATGTAGTTCATACGTGTTTCTCGTTTCTCGTTTTTATAGTAGATTAGACCGTTGGTTTTTCCGTTTGAATGGTTTTACACAAGTTATTTTTTGGGGCCCTTTATAGCTTGCTGTTCGGTGTGAGCCAATGCTCCGTGTTGAAGGCCGTACCTTGACCTATAATGGTTTACCTTTATAAATTGTAACTTGGATGGAGAGTTGTCTCATTGGCACTCATACCACATCTTCCTATATCTATGTATTACGATACGTGTTTTTCATCTATGAAATTGAACTGTAATAAATGTCTATCCTGATAGAGTTATCATATTTGCATTTACGACAGATTTTTATTTTCATAATCGTTTAATTACTGAATTCATGTGTTGACTCTTAAATGTAAATATTATGTACACGGAGTATTTAAAAGACAAATAAAGGTGAAAGTACTCTTTTTATATTCATGTATATATAGACGTGGGCCGTATTCGTCAACTAAACTTTTAAACAAGAGTTCGCACGAAATGTCCAGCCTGCTATATATACTAATCATGATTGAATATTCGTTGAAAGTCTTTTAGTCTGTAAATACATGGATCTTACTCCATATAACAAATGCTCAGTAGTGCAGGAAAAAGGTCCAAACAATGAAATTTGAACATTGGTATGTGAACAAATTATGATGAAAATGCACAGAGATAAGAACACAACAATCATCCGAACTAAAAAAATATAGATCTCCTATATCTCCTCCTATCTAACGAGGTCAACATCTGAAAATCGTTAAATCGTTAAATTGGAACATTTTGTTTATTAATACATCTTTAGAATTTTTCTAGTACAAAAATAGAAACAAAATTGCAAAGAGGTAAGGACAACAATTCCCATAGAATTCATTTCACATCATGGTCATCATGTTACAAAAAGTCTTTTTGAATCTTTTTTTTTATGCTCACCCCGACCAGGAACATATATATTAGATATACTGTTCCAAGCCCCGACCGTGCAGATAAGTTATATATACTCCAAGGCTCCTGTGTAAGTTTTCTTGTTTATAGTAAAGATAAGGGAAATACGCCTTTGCGTTGTAAAAGGGTTTGTAGCTTTTAAAATATTTCTAGTGACTTTTTTTTTATATTTCAGGCTTTCTCTTAAATTGTAACATATTTTGGAGAATTGCGTTTTAATGCCGATCTTTGATTGTTTCTATAAAATTTATTTACAATTAAAGAATTGTTATATAACATTCGAGACGATTTAGAACTTGACCTGTCTAATGTTGAACACTATATATTGCCCTCTAAGTGTGGTTTCTTCTTATTTGATTGCTGTCTTATTGACGTTCACCCCATATGGTATCGACTCTGTTTGCTCCCATAACACGTTGTCCCTAGGTTCGTTTGCACACATTTTTTATGTCAGTATTGTGCCCGGTCAGTGGCATGGGAGGGGGCAAACTAGGTAACGTTGTATGAAGGGGCCATGTAAAAAGTCTATGCATTTACCATACATGTAGCTCCATAATGGGGCCCGGTTCCATTTCCCCATGCAAATCTGCCTCTGCTTCAAATCATCTCTTTATTAGTATTTTAACCAACTTTCGTTATTCAGTATATGACGCAGACCTAAACTCTTTGTGGTGAACTCTTTTATTTCAAGTTCAATGAAAAAGATCCAATGAAGTAGGTAAGCCAGATAATATCATAACAGCACAATGACCCAGGTAAATGTTTAATCAGAGGCTTTAAGAACGTAGTAAAAATTTCATGTTGATTATTACACAACAAGGCGCTCCTATATGCCTGTATTGCTCACCAGTGACCTGGATAGAGTCAGAGATAATTATACTATTCATTGTAAGGCTCTATATTTCAATCAAACTATAAAGAAGGAAACAAAAACATTAATAAACGACAACTTGATGACATAGTTAGTTTTCTTGTTTGAATTGTCTTACTTTTGTCATTTCGCGGTCTTTTATAGCTTACTATAGGGTATGGGTTTTGCTAATTTTTGAAGGCCGTATTGTGATATAAAATTGTTAATTTAAGTTCTACGTCATTTAGTCTCTGTTGGAGAGTTGTCTGATTGGCAATCATACCAACATCTCCCTTTTTACAGCGGATGACCGTGAGGGCATGCAGGTGTATTGTTCCCACGTGACTTGCATTATTGACTGATAACCGAACGTATTTCGTATAATTACGCGGATATTATCGAGTGCAAAATAACATTCCTTATCGCATGTAATATATCAATTTCATCAATAAATATTCATGAAAATAATTTTTAAGAACATAGATAAATGATATGAAAATGTTTTGTCGTATGAAATATATATATATATCAATAAAAATTCGTAAGGGTTCCGCGAAACCCAGTGTCTCGCCTACTTTTGCTGTTGTCTATGTTTTCAGTGTGATAGGGGAATGCACATAATAGATGTTTTAAAAACTTTAACTGTAGACTGTATGTAATGTTAACTAGAAGAAAAACTAAGTCCATTTATAAGTAATATACTGAAAAGCAGGAAATAAATTTTTACAAAATTTCCTTCTAGATACTAGCTTTTGATCATAAACAAGCTTCTGCCCAAGTCTGGTACAAATCCAGGATAGTTTAAGAAAGTTATTAAAATTTTTAAAACTTTAACCACAGAGTGAATGTAATGTTTACTGTCAGAAAAATACGTCCATTTATAAGTAAAATACGGATACATGTTTGTTAGCACCCTGTCCTTCCTATGACTCGAGACAGTGGTCAATTTTATTGATGACCCTTTTGTGATATTTTTTAGATAAACAATTCTCACCAGAAAGACACAACAAAGTATATAAGCCCAGCCCTGATCCTGATATAAAGCTGTTATCAGTGAGCACAGCAAAACGGTAAACTACAGGCTCCACGCGCCTACGATGCTGATGTTTTTTCTTTCAACTCTTCTTTTATTGACATACAATATTCAAGCCATATTTTACACACCAAGGACCATCGATCATGTCACTTTTGTTTGAATTGGTTCAGTAGTTTCAGGAAGCTCTTTTAACTAGAGGCAATAGAGAGCCTATTGCATCTTCAACCAGAGTCTCTATGTCATTTGGTCCCTGGTGAAGAATTGTCTTTTTCATGATTGGCAATCATATCACATATTTTTATTCATTATAAGGGTGACATTTCTGTGTGTCAACTGTTTGTTCCTAAATGTTCAGCTGTTACACCGTCACAGTTTACAGGAGAATTTAGCACTTACAGTATGTGTAAGCCTACCACATTCTCATTCTGTATGACCTGGTTCTAAGTAAGTAGTGGGAAATTTTGGGGTTGCTGTTTGTTGCCTTTGGTCATATAAACTTTTATTTGTTTGACACTTGCATTTTTAGATGTGTCAGTTGGGATCCTGATTTTACACCAACAAACTACACTACTTATAAAACACCAAAATGTATATAATGTGACAGGGATAAACCAGTTTTATCTGCATACAAACGGTATCCATTGCCTATTCTAGGATCATGTATCTTGAAAGTAAAACAAACAACAACAAAAACTGCCAGCACTAGATACATTAACCAATATCTCAGGACGACCAAATTGAACAAGATTATAAAAGATTGCAAATAATTTGGAAAGAGGGTTTAAAAAATATTAAGTCTATCTATAGCTACTTACTAAAAAGTGTGAATAGAAAAAGAAAATAAAGTGTCTTTATTTACACTTATTTCCATTTATCTCTCATATAATGAATATTTTTGTTGTTGTGTTAATAATTGAACATCCTTATAAAACACGCTGTTTATTTATTTCCCTCTTTAGAACAAAATCTGCTTCAAATTGATCAATATGTAGATCATAATTATAACCTTGATCTTCATCAGTTTTCCATTCTAACCTGAAATTATAATGTTATACATGTAGTGACGAACAAATCCCATATAAGAAAAAAAAAATACAATAAAAATTATGCAATTTAAAATTACAATGTACATGTGAATTCTATATTAATGTCTTATGACAAAAACACATCTCCTTTTATTGCAGATATAAAAAAAAGTTTAAAAAAAAAAAACCAACAATACATTTTCTATGCTTATCATAAATGTGTAAATTTTACAAAAGCAATTCAACCTTAAAATTGAATTGATATAATCAATGATTGTATGTTCTTAAAAAGTGGCAGCCCTGTCAGTCTGGACCCCAAAAATCAAGAAGGTCAATGTTGTTGTAGTCCTGATTGCAAACTATTAAAAAGTTTGTGGTTGTTTTATTCTCTTATTTTAGACTGTCTGGTATTTTAAATTGGTATACATGTAGCTGCTCAGTGGCAGATCCAGAACTTTTTGTAAAGGGGGGGGGGGGCTGACTGACCTAAGGGGGGCCACTCCAGTCATGCTTCAGTGATTCCCTATATATATATATATAATCAACCAAATTTTTAAGGCCCCCCAGCCCCCTGGATCCGCCTATTCTGCTGATTACAAAGTACATCAATATTTTAAATGGAAACTGTTCAAGCACATTTTTCCATGCAGTTTGGCTCAATCTAGATTACACCTCCATGTACAAAGTATGAAAAATCTGCAAAATACATGAGTGAATTTCACTGAGACCACACAATTTGTACTCTGTGTTGTAACAATTGTCAATAGCAGTAGGCTTAAAAAATATTTTGAGAACTTGGCAATGTTAATTATAGACAATGCTATTTTAATGTATGTTTATGTACATGTGCACTTTTTTGTATTCTTAAATCTTTGAACTTCCAATTCATTTGAGACAGAGGTACATTTGTAAGTCAATAACAGGAAGAAGAAAGCATATTATCCATGAAATATTACATGCAACTTTTCTCACAAGTAAAAATAACTATTTGAGTATGACTTTAGTATCTTACCTTCATTCATTTATTTTTGTACATATACTCAATATAGTTGATGAAAAGTAATTTGTTACAACACTACAACGTTTTAAAGAATTAAAGAACGCTAGTACTGTTTTCATAGTCTGTATGAAAAATTGCAGCAAAGTCAGCTAGGATGTTGGATTCCATGTATTTCCATTGACTGAAATTATATGAAGACATAATATGAATATGAACATGACTAGTACTGGATCATTCAAAGCAAAAATAAATATTGTAGCTAAAGGACACATATCTTTATATAGTTTCATGAATGGTGGATATAATTTTGCAATGGTAAATCATTATATGCAAATACAGATATAAAATCAAAGCACTATAAGCGCTGTAGGCAGTTAGCCAAAAACCAAGGCAAACATGATTATGAAAACTATGGCAGTGTTGCTTCAATTTTTTTTTAATATTTGAAAGAACAAACATTAAACATTCATATATTGTATATTTATGTTTATTTAATGAATTGATTATTAAGGCAAATTAATTAATATTTTATCAAGGTTTTCAAACTACTACAGGGATCAAAGGTGAGGTCTTACTGACCTGCCCATAGTAAATGTAAATGACCCCCACCTTCACCCCAAGTCCATGATGTCACTCCATACCAAGTTTGGAATAAAATGGCAGGTGATAAAACAGTTGGTAAAACATTCTTGGGCTCTACACTGCTTGAAAGATTTATATGTTTTCTTTAAAATGAGCCATAAATGAAAATTTTTATAGGCCCAGAAATAATTCAAAAAATAATTAAAGTAAATTTAATTAACCTAGACGCATGTTTTGCATCAATAAAATTTAATAATAAACAAGATATAATTGTAACAGGATGCTGTTACGAAGTCTCACAAACAAAGCTCCAATAATTCGTCATTCCCATGGTCGCCTGACATTGGGCAGAGTCCAGTACACATTGGTTTGGTCTAGTAAAGGGATATGTATATGTGACACCTAGGAGATTGACCCTGTATATCATTCAAATCTTTTTGAAATGACGAACAGGAAAAATATGGTTTAGGAGTGGGTATCTCAACCGTTTACAAGTTCTCAAACAGGAGGGGTGGGATGACCCCAGGGACTCCCCCTATATTTCATTTGATTTGTTATATTGTCCCATACATGAATATATATGGTTTTGGGGTGGGGATCTCGACCATTTACAAGTTTCAAACAGGAGGTGGTGGGATGACCCCAGGGACTCCCCCTATATTTCATTTGATTTGTTATATTGTCCCATACATGAATATATATGGTTTAGGGGTGGTGATTTAGACCGTTTCCAAGTTCTCAAACAGGAGGGAGTGGGGTGACCCCAGGGACTCCCCCTATATTTCATTTGATTTGTTTTATTGTCCCATAAATGAATATATATGGTTTTGGGGTGGGGATCTCGACCATTTACAAGTTTCAAACAGGAGGTGGTGGGATGACCCCAGGGACTCCCCCTATATTTCATTTGATTTGTTATATTGTCCCATAGATGAATATATATGGTTTAGGGGTGGTGATCTCGACCGTTTCCAAGTTCTCAAACAGGAGGGAGTGGGGTGACCCCCGGGACTCCCCCTATATTTCATTTGATTTGTTTTATTGTCCCATAAATGAATATATATGGTTTAGGGGTGGGGATCTCGACCATTTACAAGTTCTCAAACAGAAGAGGGTTGGGTGACGCCGGGGATTCCCCAAAATTTTCATTTGATGTGTTTTATTGTCCCATACAAGTATATATATGGTTTAGGGGTAGGGATCGCGACCGTTCACAAGATAACTGTTTATTGTACAGAAATGTTAATAATAGTTCTGATGCCAAATTACTTCAAAAAGATTTATCTAGTTTAGTACAATGGGAAGAGGACTGGCAAATGAATTTTAATCCTGAGAAGTGTTATGTTATTCATATTTCTAAAAAAAGTAAACCTTCCACTTTTGATTATATATTACACAATCATGTTTTAGAAGCAGTAAAAGATAGTAAATATTTAGGCGTAACTATAAGCCATGATCTTGATTGGGGAACACATATAAACAATATTACTTGTAAGGCAAATAAAACCTTAGGTTCGTAGTTCGTAGGAACTTAAAAAACTGCACACGTAAGGTTAAAAACCTTACGTACACATCACTTGTCCGTCCAGTCGTCGAATACTCTTCCCCTGTATGGGATCCGTACAAAAAGCAACACATCACTCAGGTTGAGCAGGTACAGCGTAAGGCAGCCAGGTTTGTCTTCAATGATTATAAAGACAGATCACCTGGAGCAGTTTCAAATTTAATTAAATCATTGGAATGGGAAAATTTAGAAATAAGAAGGAAAAAAGCTAGATTAACTATGCTATATAAAATAAATTGGGGGTTAGTGGAAGTTCCTAAGGACAATTTAACAATATCTGATAGACGTACTAGGGGGAAACATAAATTTAGGCAAATATCAACAAATAAAGATTTCTATAAATTTTCTTTTTATCCTCGCACTATTTCGGACTGGAACTCACTACCTGAAGCAATAGGTATGTCTGACACCCTGGAATCCTTCAAAAGTGGCATATCCACTCTAACATTTGAAGGAGCCACAACAACTTATTAAACTACAAAGCCACTGTACATAATGTATATATGTTATTGTTAATGATTTTTCTTTGTCATATTATTTTTAAATTAAGTCCATATGTACATAGCACACAAGTTCCGGGAAGTTTTACACTCCTACCTAGGAGTCTACTCCCGTATTCGGAAGAAGAAGAAGAAAAACACATTTTCGAATTGAAGGGGGGTGGGATGACCCCCAGGGAATCCCCCTATATTTTCATTTGATTTGTTATATTGTCCCATACATCAATATATATGGTTTAGGGGTGGGGATCTCGACCGTTTACAAGTTCTCAAACAGGAGGGGTGGGATGACCCCAGGGACTCCCCCTATATTTCATTTGATTTGTTATATTGTCCCATACAAGGATATATATGGTTTAGGGGTGGGGATCTCGACCGTTTCCAAGTTCTCAAACAAAAGGGGGTGGGGTGACCCCAGGGACTCCACCTATATTTCATTTGATTTGTTATATTGTCCCATACATGAATATATATGGTTTAGGGGTGGGGATCTCGACCGTTTCCAAGTTCTCAACAGAAGGGGTGGGGTGACCCCAGGGACTCCCCCTATATTTCATTTGATACATATACATATAAATATATGGTTAAGGGGTGGGGATCGCGACTGTTTCCAAGTTCTCAAACATGAGGGGGTGGGGTGACCCCAGGGACTCCCCCTATATTTCATTTGATTTATATTGTCCCATACATGAATATATATGGTTTTGGGTGGGGATCTCGACCATTTACCAGTTTTCAAACAGGAGGTGGTGGGATGACCCCAGGGACTCCCCCTATATTTCATTTGATTTGTTATATTGTCCCATACATGGATATATATAGTTTAGGGGTGGGGATCTCGACCGTTTCCAAGTTCTCAAACAGGAGGTGGTGGGATGACCCCAGGGACTCCCCCTATATTTCATTTGATTTGTTATATTGTCCCATACACGAGTATATAACAAATCAAATGAAATATAGGGGGAGTCCCTGGGGTCACCCCACCCCCTCATGTTTGAGAACTTGGAAACAGTCGAGATCCCCACCCCTGAACCATATATATTCATGTTCAAATTGTTTGAATATCTAAGATAATTATGCATAGACTTCGTTGAATAATTAGAATGAGAAAAAGGGATTGCTAACCATGGATAGAATAATGACAACAAAGAGATGATATGTGCAATCAGAGGACTGTAACAAATCATTTGGCAGACTTTTATATACCGTTAAACATTTTGTCTGAACTGTAAATATAAATATATATTTTTAAGGAAATTTGTTAAATCTAGCTGTATATTGATATTTATTATTATTAATTTTCAATATATATATATTTTTTTAATCCCGTCTCTCATAATTCTTTTTAGAATGGCATTAATATTTTATATTGTTTTATGTATTCGTGTATTATGTTATGTATTGTAATATTAATGGTGAGACGTAAATAAACTAATTGTATTGTATTGTATATGTAGAATTATAATTTATTAATCATGTTTGACAACATTTGTTTAGACAGATGCAAACTGACGAAGATTTGGGAGGCCAACTGACACATTAAAAGTGGCTTCAAAGTTATTGTGAAACTACCTATCCTGAATCAGATGTGGATACTAGATCCAATCTAAGACTCTTTCATCTTGCAATAGTATTAAACATTTGACTTTTCTACACTTTACACAAGTATTACCCATTCCAAACTAAAAGACAAATTGAAAGAGTTGGTCTTGCTTTGTTTCATCAAAAAAGAATGGCCAACGTATATAGAAGTATCTTGTCTTAGGGAGGGATAAATCCTACCTTGTAAAAAATCACTCTGATTCAAACAAAAAATTCTCTGAAACGGACATTATCAAGATTCTTGATTGACAACATATTTGTAACGTTTGGATGACATGTTTCTCAACAAACAATCGTCATCCCCATGGGAAACCCCTTCTTGCCGACTTGTTCCTTTATTCATATGAGGCTGACTTCATACAGGAACTTCTTAAGAAGAAAGAAAAGAAGTTATCAGTATCCTTTAACTTTACTTTCCGCTGTATAGATGATGTTCTCTCACTAAATAATTCAAAATTTGGTGACTATGTTGAACGCATCTATCCCATCGAACTTGAGATTAAGGATACAACAGATACAGTTAAGTCTGCCTCATATCTTGACTTAGGGTCGGTTGAAAACAAAACTTTACGACAAAAGAGATGATTTCATCTTCCCAATTATTAACTTTCCATTTCTATTTAGCAATATTCCAGCAGCGCCTGCATACTGAGTATATATCTCCCAGTTGATATATATGATATTCAAGGGCTTGTAATTCCTATCATGATTTCCTTGATAGAGGGTTGCTGATCACAAGGCAACTTTTCGATTTAGATCCTGTGGTTGTAATAAATACAGAGGAAATTGGTCCTATACTTCTTTCACCGTTCTGCTGTAATAGAACCACAGACAGGTTTTCAATATTAGTAGTGAAAAGTGAAAAGAAAACATATTACAGTAATTACAATTGAAATTTCTAATGAACAATTGTTTAAATTTGTCTACAATGTTTAACTTAAACTGACATACCTTCATATTGTAATAAAACAAAATCATTAGAAATACAAGGATTATAATTGTCAGGGGCGGATCCAGGATTTTGGAAAGGGGGGGCGTAGTATAAAAGTTGGCCGAGCGGAGCGAGGCGAAATTTTTTTGGGACCTTTTTTTGGCTAAAAAACATAAAATAAGTGTAAAATGCATTTTATAGTTAAAGTGTAGGGGTTGGACATTTTTGGTGCCTATTCTCTCCATCAATTGTCTATTATGAAATGATTGGATAGATCCAAAGCTATGTACTAATTAATATATTTGATGCGGGATTTGTCAGTAAAAAATGGACATGGAAAATTCTCGTTTGTTGTATGGTTAGTTAGCATAACCTCACAGATTTATTGTTGTAAACAAGAAATACGGCTATTCAATGAAATTAACAATACGACCAACACGAAGAAAGACAAACAAGCAATTTTCATCCAAATGTTTGGTTGAAATGTTTCACCCAACAAGGGAAGTGAGGGGTTCCAAATCAACCAAAGGCTACGAATGAGTCGGAAATGACAATGAAGTTGTGAATGACGGTCGACACATGGAGACATATAGGCCACACCCAGCAGGCAGGTTGCAGTCGGGCCTTGAAAAAAGTATTCAGTATATCAGTTCGGCGAAACAGACATTCCGGTCAGATATGGGATTCACATGCAACCCCCGCCTAAAAAAATTGCGCCCGTTTTTTATTCATCATGTTCATTTAATGCTAAATAATTCTGTTGAAAATATTTTTTTCTGATAGCAAAAAAGTGAACAAGATTATTGTTTTCAATCCAGATACGGCCAGAATTTTTTTTAAGGCAAAAATCAGGGTCAGAATGTTTTCTCTAAAATATCTCAAACTGCCCCCTCAGATCAAATGGTCCGTACCTTAGACTTTAAATCTATATCTAGAGCTTACTGACTGGGGATCACTATTCAGCAATGTTATTAATGGGCTGGGGCGTGTGGGGTTAAACATGTTTTCGTAGGTAAATAATATTGCTGTGGAACTTTTTTTTTCATGAGAGTGTACTAGAGTATTACTTTCTGTTGGGTGGAATTGTGAAATAGAAGTCAATACGTTCTTGCTCAATACTTTGTCGCTTTGAAGGCGTCATGCTTGTCATCCTCAGCTTAAGCAATGTGTTACTGTAATTTGAATTTCAAAATGACTGAGTGACGTTTTTTTCGACGAACTGGTCAACTCCACCGTAGAGAATCACATGACTTTGACATAATCAATTATATATTACAGTAAATACGAGTGAAAAATATCTTTATAAGTAAAGAATTGTCGCATAAAAATTAAATACACGGGAAATGGCAAACTTCACGAAGTCTAGTCTGATTAATCATTTTACAAAAAAAAAAAAAAAAAAAAAAAGTGCAAGCAAAGGGGGGGGGGCGTACGCCCTCTACGCCCCCCTCTGGATCCGCCACTGATTGTGTACGCCCTACAAAAGACTCGGATAGATTTTAAAGCATACTTAATATCCATCTTTTAGTCAACGCCAGGGTCATTTACACCAAAATATCCTATCTAAAATTTACATTGTCGCAGCTTTTTGTTTGTACTTTGAATTTGTAACACAATGGACCTGTGACAAATTAATAAGATGCTTAGATATGATATATTTTTGTCAAATTTTGAGGACTTTTCCCCAAATAGGAAACAAATGGAAAATCTTTCAGATAAAATAATGCTGTTCGAAGCAAAATTTTATAAAATCATTTAATATGTGTGATATTTTAACAAAACAGTAATGCATAACGCTGAATACATAGATATTCATAAAATTGCATGAAAAAACTTTAAAAGTGTAGGCTCTAATCGCCTGTGAAGAAAAGCGGTTCTGACGCATAAAACTATTTGCTTTTTTCATTGACGAGCACGGGGTCGATACCACTGCTGATGGAGGGTATCCACAGTTCAGTAGACATTGCTATGGTACTGACATGTTTTGTAACATTTTTTCTAAAATTCCCCATTAATAAATTAACAAGTTACTAAGAAACTAAAAGTTTCCAACAGGCAAAGTTGACCTAAGCTATATTTGTCTATTCTTTTTGGGTCTCTTTTGGTCATAAAAATCTTTTAAACGTTTGTTAATCAATTATAATGAACTTTGGACGAACAATTTTGAAGTCATAGAATACCGGAAATGATTTATTATGTGCATATTGGAATTTCCCGAAAGAGAAAATAGAAAATTCACTAGTATATTTTTTTTTATTTTAATATTAATTTTTCTTAATGATTTTTATACTATAATGAGGAATTCGTGTTCTATAAAACCTGCATGATATCAAAAACTTAAATAGGGGGAAAAGGTGAGATATATAGTTTCTGTTTAAGTCAACATGACATGTTTCAAAAGCAATTTAACATTATCAGGTAATATTGAAATTTTTACCGGGTTTATGTTTATTTTTTGCAATAAGTTATAGAATATAAATAAAATAAAAAATATTCACCTGCTTATAATTTCGTTAATGTTACTTTTAGGAAGAACATCCGTTTTCGTTTTTGTTTTATCGGGTATAATATGTCAAGGTGATTTACTGTATACTTATTATACGACCGCAAAAAAATTTTTGTGGTCGTATATTGGTATGACGTTGGCGTCATCGTCGTCGTCGTCGTCGTCCGGCGTCGTAGTCGTCGTCCGAAGACGCATTAGTTTTCGCACTCTAACTTTAGTTTAAGTGAATGGATCTCAATGAAATTTTACCATAAGGTTCAATACCACAAAAGGAAGGTGGGGATTGATTTTGGGGGTTATGGTACCAACAGTAAAGGAATTAGGGGCCAAAAATAAGCATTTTTGTAACTTCCAGACATAACTTTTGTGTAAGTGTATGGATCTCTCTGACATTGTACCACAAGGTTCCATCTCACAAAGGAAATGCTGGGATTGATTTTGGGGGTAATTGCCTCCAAATTTTAGGAATTAGGGGCCAAAAAGGGGCAAAAAACAAGCATTTTTCTAGTTTCATGACAATAACTTGTGTGTAAGTCTATGGATCTCTCTGACAATGTATCACAAGGTTCCATATCACAAAGGGAATGCTGGGATTGAGTTTGGGTGTAATTGCCTCCAAATTTTAGGAATTAGGGGCAAAAAAGGGGCAAAAAACAAGCATTTTCTAGTTTCATGACAATAACTTGTGTGTAAGTCTATGGATCTCTCTGACATTGTATCACAAGGTTCCATATCACAAAGGGAAAGCTGGGATTGATTTTGGGGGTAATTGCCTCCAACTTTTAGGAATAAGGGGCCAAAAAGGGGCAAAAAACAAGCATTTTTCTAGTTTCATGACAATAACTTGTGTGTAAGTGTATGGATCTTTATGAAATTGTACTACAAGGTTCCATATCACAAAGGGAAAGCTGGAATTGTGTTTGGGGGTAATTGCCCAAAACGTTTAGGAATAAGGGGCAAAAAAGGGGCCAAAAATAAGCATTTTTCTAGTTTCCAGACAATAACTTGTGTTCAAGTGTATGGATCTCTCTGAAATTGTACTGCAAGGTACCATATCACAAAGGGAAGGCTGGGATTGATTTTGGGGGTAATTCCCTCAAAATTTTAGTAATTAGGGGCCATAAAAGGGCAAAAAAACAAGCATTTTTCTAGTTTCAGGACAATAACTTGTGTGTAAGTGTATGGATCTTTATGAAATTGTACTGCAAGGTTCCATATCACAAAGGGAAAGCTGGGTTTGAGTTTGGGGGTAATTGCCCTAAACGTTTAGGAATTTGGGGCCAAAAAGGGGCCAAAAAACAAGCATTTTTCTAGTTTCCAGACAATAACTTTTGATTGTGTTCAAGTGTATGGATCTCTCTGAAATAGTACTGCAAGGTACCATACCACAAAGGGAAGGCTGGGATTGAATTTGGGGGTGATGAATCATAAGGGGGTTCAAAAAATTTGGGGGGGGGGATTTTTTTTTCCTTTTTTTTCTTTTAAATTTTCCATTTTAAATTGGTTATTTCTGATTTATATATAAAAGCAAATAATAATGATAGGGTCTGTATAGGTAAATTAAAATTTTTTAAGTTCTTAGACCACTTTCATTCTGTGTCAGAAACCTATGCTGTGTCAAATATTTAATTACAATCCAAATTCAGTGCTGTATCAAGCTTGAATGTTGTGTCCATACTTGCCCCAACTGTTCAGGGTTCGACCTCTGCGGTCGTATCAAGCTGCGCCCCAGCGGAGCATTTTATTTTTAAATATTGTAGGTAAACTAACCATTTTGTTAGGGATGAATGATGCTTCATTGTCGTATATGTCTAATCATCTTTTTTTCAAATAGGAGTAACAAATTTCTTCTTCAATATGTGTACCCTCCATCTGTACAGCATTTTGTAATCTCAATGTAATCTTAATCTAAACCTTTGTCCGTTTGTTTTATGTTTTATTTTTGACGGGCCTCTTTTAAAGATCTCACATTTTTGACCTCTCGAAGCAATATTTCAAAGGACCAAAAATACAATTCAGACATTATAAGAATAAGGAGATGTGGTTGCCAATAAGACATCTATCCACCAAAGTTCAAATGAAGTGGATGTAATCAAGTATAGGCACCCGTACAGCCTTAAACAATGAGAAAAACCAGACCGTATATTCGGCTATAAAAGGACCCGACATGAAAAATATGGAAAAAAAACCCAATTCAATCGAGAAAACTAACAGCCTAATTCAAAACACACAAAACAATTTACGAAAAACAAATATGATAGACATGAACCAACGACAACCACTGAACTATAGGCTCCTTACTTGGGACAAGCACATATAGAATGTGGCGGGGTTAAACTAGTTTGCTGGCACAATCCCTCTCCCTAACCTGGGACAGTGGAGTAACACTGAGACTACTAGAGTCTCAGAGTAACAGTATAACATAAGAATAAACTATGAAAATCAGTTGAAAAGAGCCTCACTCATCAGATCGGTACAAAGCAGAAAACATTTAACACAAAAACACAGACTGGACGTGGCAGCGTATCTAAACATCCCATACCAAAAAAGACACTGAATAAAGATTTGAGAGTACTTACAGTTATTTGCAGCTAGTTAAAAGACAATAACAACTAATTTAAAAATCATGTATCTAAGACTAAAAATATCAATCAGTACACATCCAATGGATTTAGTGTAAAGACGTCATTAACAGTCAGAAAAAACACGACCATGTGCTATGCGAAAATATAGGTATCAACAGATTGTAGTACCGTAAATGTACACATTTTTATGTAGTGGCCAGCTGAAGCCCGCCTCTGGGTGTGGGATTTTCTCGCTGTGTTGAAGACCCATTGGTGGCCTTCGACTGTTTTCTGCTCTTTGGTCGGGTTGTTGTCTCTTTGACATATTCCCCATTTCCATTCTCAAATTTATGTGTATAACAATAATATTTAGTATCGTTTTAATTTACTGATAACAAAATCAATATTTATACCAATAAAAACAATATTCAAAGATCTAATTACAGCATTGAATTGGTAACCTTTAAGAATGGTTAGTTTTCATTTCATTTCATCTGTTCCTGAAAAGAGAAGCAAAATGTAAATACATAAGGTTTTGACTGTAAACTTTGACCTATGCCTGTTGCCATTTTGAATTTCCAATCAGCGTCACAGTAACAATGCTTGTTAATAATCTTCATAGGAATGCATCTGGCAACGTTGATTTCAATTGAGTCTGTGGTTAGACAATTTTGTTTTCTAAGCAGTAAAAGAACCATGAAAATGAGGTAAATTTAAGGACAACGTACATATTTCAGGTGGAAACTCGAGAAACGTCAGGCATCCCCTACTTTAAAATATAAAGCGTTATATGAATATTTTAATAGCAGGCCAGCTGAAGCCAGATACGCATCCACCAAAGGATTGATTGGGGTATAGAAATATGGATTTTCCCCTTCCATCAGTACAAGTCTGTACAAAATAGAGATGTTAAATCCAATGATTCATGTATAGGATTAGTGTTAGGCTCTCTGCCATCAAAGTATCATTGCAACAACTCTCTGAGGAGTTCTAAGGTGGCCTATTGTAAGGCAAAAGAACTACCCTCATCCAACATACCTTTTCTAGTGGTAAACTATTTTTTTCCATCCTTAATCCTGGTCCACCTACCTTTTGTATTATTGTTAATTTGTTCTTATCCTGAATATACATAGAATATTTACCACAGGACTTTAAGAAAGCAGCAATCAATCAATCAGACAAAATTTATAATGTTGATCACTAAACCATGAAATTATGTCAAGGTCATGTAAACCCCGTCTTACAGGCATGCATACCTTGCAATGACTCTATATGCCAAATAAAGTCGACCATACTTAAAAAACTAAAAGAAGTAAGTTAAAAATCATAGTTTTTTATGCAGTCTTCGAACCATGAAAATGAGGTCAAGACCAACAGACATATTCCAGGAGTCAACATCACACAATGAGGCTTCTGCATACAAGATATGGACTATCCAGCTTTTTAACCTTTGAAATATGATTCTTTATTGAATAAAGCTAACATCTCACTTATCTCCCCAAGGATAAAATCTTGGATGGGCATGAAAAAGAACCTACAAAGAACAGCATTAGTAAAAGGAGAGGTTCACGAAGGGTTAAAATTGGCCTTAAATTTTTGATGTTTTTTAAATTGGGACAAAAAATTACAAATTTCCCATAGAAATACTTATGATAATACTATTAAGACAAAAATATATATTTTTGGGCACCTTCCTTTAAAATTTATGAAGCTATGACCCCTTAAATAAACATTATTTGTATTAAAAGGTCAATTTTGGTAATTTTTTCCATAATTTTAATTGTTTTTGGCATAATTAACCTGGGCCGCCATCCACGATCCAAAAAGTTTTTATATTAATGAATTCTATATCAAAATTGGAATCTTTTGGTTACAAAACATTTTGGTCCTAGGTGGCGTGGCAGCCAAGGTTTTTCTAAAGCTTTTAGGTCTGCAGTTTTGCCCAAAATCATCATATTTTGACAAAATGTCCTAAATGGGCTTACTTTTGAGAATATTATGTACTTTTATGAAAAGAACTGATTTATTTAGCAGAAAGGCTTTAGAAATGGACCCATTTACGAACTATTTTGTGACCTTTTTGGTGTTTTATGATAAAGTTGACATTTTAGGCCATTTTGTGCCATAAGTGAACCTTGTCCTTTAGGTTATCATGACCAACATTTTAATCCATGGACATTTTGGTGAAGTTTTGTGATCAGTTACATATTGGTGACTTAATCAATTTGCATTATCTACTAATCTTAATTAAAGCTCTGTCATTAAATGCTTTCATCCAATTATATGAAAATAAAAAGATGTGGTACAAATGCCAATGAAACAACAATCAACCAGAGACCAAAGAACGTGGATGTACACAACAAGGTTTAGAATTGTATACTGATTTTATTTACTAATGAATAATACAATGTAAACAAATTGATGTTAATGTATACTCTTTTGAAAATAGGGTTAACAAGAATTTCCAAAGATAAGTTGGTCCTGAAAATACAAAAATAAACAAAAAATATTCCCAAAATTACATAATCTTAACAATTAAAATATTAAGCATAAAATGTAATATGGATACAAATATATAACAAAATTAATTTAATGTATACAAATTGTATATGAATGCATCAAATAAAAAATAAAATTGAAATAACTATGAGTAGCATTTTTTAATTTTGATTACATATATCAAGTATAAATGAAACAGGATTTCTATGAAAGTATCACAAAACTATTTGAGAATATGCAGGTATAGTACATGTAGTAGAACACATGGCAAAGTTAAATCAAAAGGACACCTAGTGTGCATTAAAAAAAAAATGTGAAAGATGTGTAAAACTATTTTTTTTTTATATTTTAATGTTTCCTGTAAGGTTTAGCTTTAACATTCTGTGAAACCTCTAACTAGGAATAATGGTTCATCCTTTGAACCGCACAAATTTATCATGTCTGCTATAACAAAATTTGCTGAATATAACACACGACATCAGCTTGATGTCACATATAATTAAATTACAATTCTACATGAAATCATGCCCATATTAATTATAACTAATACATTCTAAGGTTACTTGTGGTAAAATTGTATAGGCTGTAGTTATCATTGTACTTTTTAGTGAAATCTTAGCTGTTCCTTGCTATAAACATTTCTGTATCATTATAATATGTATAGACTGATTCAAACTGATCTTTGATGCATTAGAATCATTTCAATGTTTGAGTTTCTGTCTTTAAAAACACATGTTATACCATCTGTAAGAACCTCTACTGACTTAAGCTTAACAAAAAAATCTTATAAAGGAATTGGTTTTAGAAAAAATGTTACGAATAAAACTGTTACACAGATAATATGTCTCCTCTGTACATAATTTCACGTGTATAATGCAAATGTTGAAATTTAAATGGCCATACTGTAAGATGTAAACTATGCAACTTTCAAAGTCAATGGACAATGACATAGGTGGTGGTGCCAAAATAATCTACATGGAACTTAGATGTGGCAATGCTACTACACTACCACTGCATACCAAACGTCGTGACTTACCGATAGCTGTTCCCCTTAAAATCACATTTTTAGAATGTTAAAAGTATCAAAATAAAAAATCCAGTCAACGGACTATAACTAAGAGGACATGTCCAATAATCTCCATATGCATGAAAATGAGATTTCCCCTTTTAACTGATTTAATCACCAATATTTATGCTGTCCACAACAGCAGGCTTAAATCTCTCAGGGAAGACACAAATAATGAATTTCATTCTCTTTGAACCTTAAAATTGTTGAAATATTACAATTCTGGCATAATCTGTCACTGAATAAAATCATGAGATTGATGAACTACAGGTAAACATAAAGTTCCCATATTCTATGTTAATGGCAGTGCTATATATATATTACACAAACTTTCAAGTTACAGTTATAACTCAAAAACAACAAAAAATTATTAGTACAAAAGATAATTTTTCTTCCAGATAAAATTATAAACTAAGGGAAAAGGTATAACGAAAATGCCTCAAAACATACTGGAAATAAATAGTAAATAATAAAGATAAAAAAATATAAAATAAAAAAAATTCAATATTATGCAAATTCATTATTATGGCAATGTTTCAGATCTTTATATTTTCTTATTGATTGATGTATTGAATTTTACTCTCTCTTTATTTTCTTTTTTTAACATGTTTTCACTACCTCGAAGTAACATGAGTAAGTTAACATTATTAAAATTATTGCAGAAATTAAGGGTTCAAAACCATTCAACTTTATATGTATTATAAAATCTTACAAGAAAAAAAAGTAGATTCCATAGAGGTCATAAATTATAATTCTCAAAGAGTTTCATAGATAGATAAATAAAATCCTTTTTAAAACCAAATCTGCATACTGAAAATTATGGAAACAAAAACAAGACTAGTATAGATTTACAACTTTTTGTAGGAGCAGTCAGGAGTTGATGGTGGGTGTGGTCTTTTGTACTGTCCAATATGTTAACTAATTCATATTATTCTTTTTTTAAGTATTCAATTTGATGGATTAATAACTTTTTTAGTGGGAACATACAAGTCAGGAATCTGATTACAGTAGTTGTCGTCTGTTTATGTAGTTCATACGTGTTTCTCGTTTCTAGTTTTTATATAGATTAGACGTTGGTTTTTCCGTTTGAATGGTTTTACACTAGTAATTTTTTGGGGCCCTTTATAGCTTGCTGTTCGGTGTGAGCCAATGCTCTGTGTTGAAGGCCGTACTTTGACCTATAATGGTTTACTTTTACAAATTGTGACTTGGATGGAGAGTTGTCTCATTGGCACTTATACCACATCTTCCTATATCTATTGTATGTTGCCTGCCACTCTGTTTATTAATTTACTAATGAACAAATACAAGACCATAGACATAACAGGTGAGATTTTGCTCACTAATTTAAACCCCTGCTCTTACTCATGTACAGATCGAAACAATGTAGAATTAGACAACAAAGAGTCGAAAAGCCCACAATTAAGCTTACTAATATATACTCTATTTCAAATCTTAAAAAAGTTATAAAATATCAACTATTTTTAACAAGTCTTATACTTCTGAAGTACATGAATGATGATAAAATAATTGTCACCAGAGGCGGATTTAGGGGGGGCCAGGGTGCCCGGGATCCCCCTTTTGTGGGAAAAATTTGGTTGATTATATAGGGAATCACTGAAGCATAACTGGAGCGGGCCCCCTTTTTAGCAGTCAGTGCAGTGGGCCCCCCTTATGAAAATTTCTGGATCTGCCACTGGTCACACAATCATGTTGTTCAGTAGAACACGAGAGAACCATTCAATGTTAACTTGACTAGTACTTACATTAAAAGAATGTCCATTTTATTACTAAACAAAGTATTACAACCCTGCATTCATAAAAGTAAAAATGATTGTGTGGATTTCCAATATGTTTTACATATTTTCTTGAACATTATATATATACATGTACATCAAAACTACATTAAATTAATATTACTATCACTCAAGTTAAATAGAAAGATACAAAACAGTTCAGGATTCCTACAAGCATATCAATTAATTAACCAGATATTTCTTGCTCAAGACCACTCTGAGAAGGTGAAAGTTACACATGGGTGCTTTGAATTCAGATGGTATTTCTTCAATTTTCTTAAAAACAGGATCAAACGAGTAAGAAGTGAAGTTGCTACTTGCACATCCTATAATCAAGATTTTATTTTCCTTCATAATAGTTCCAAAATGTTCAAATCTCTTAGAAAACCCTACCATTTCTGTGCCTTCTTTTTCACTAAACTGAGCAATATTTCCTTCTCTAAATATTATGAAGATATCTTCTCCAAATGTGACCGTCTTCCCAACACCTCCAGAATAAGTTGATGGCAATTCACCAATAACCTTAGTTTCCCCTTCTGTGACATCAAATGACTGGATCAAAAGAGAAGCATTACGATCATTTTGTTTTCCGCCAAAAGTATAGATCTTTGATCCTTTTACTGCTACTGTCATAGATGCAATGGCTTGCTGCAGATTTCCAACTTTTTCACATGTGTTGGTATTAGGATTGTATCTTTCTATGCTAGATAAAGTATCCATGGTTTTGGACATTCCTCCAATGAGATAAATATATCCATCAATGGCAACCATGCCATGACCCCATCTTGCATCTTGGATACAGTTGTACTGGTCCCATTTGTTGAGTTTTGAGCTGAAGTGTAAGACCAGGTGTTGTTGGTTATAGCCCCCAGATATGTAGATATCATTGTTGAGTGTACAAACAGCAAAACAGGGACCAGGCTCAATAGGTAATGGAGCCAAATGGAACTGCTTCTTGTCTTGATAGCTATAACATTGAACTTCTGTCTTGGAGGGATCAGGCATCCGACTACGAGTACCCACCATACAAAATATTTCTTCCTTTCTGTAAGAAGATTCTAACATATCTGCATTAAGCTCTGCTAATAATCTCTGTTCCATCATGGTTTTTATTGGACCAATTTGAGAAAGGTCGGAAAACTTGGTCATTAAGTTTCTGACATACTTTTCATCCATTAACTTGAACTTTAAATGTTCAAAAATGGCTACAAGTACCTCACTATTGATATTTTTATTGGCTGTGTACCATTTCATTACCATTTCGCATACAAACTCCTCTGATGGAGTATTTAGATCTTGATCATCAATAATCTTGAGAAGCTCACCTTCATGTAATGACAAGAACTCCATACAGTTAACTATAACAGGGAATTTCTTTACAAGAAAATTCCACATCAGAGCCTGTAAATCTTCAAGACTATATAGGAATGTCAATCTCCAAAATCCTATGCAGTTTTCAACAGATAGATTCTTTCTTAAAAAGCTTTTGCAAAGATCTTGAAGAGTTTTGATCTGTAGCATGGATGCCGACTGTAGAACATGTACAACATTATCTATGCTTACAATATTCCTTCCTGTGTAGATGTATTCCAAGACCAAATGGAAAGCATCACCTTTCATACCCTTTATTTCTACTGATTTTTCTGTGCTTTCTTTGAAACCTGAAATAATTAAAAGTACTTAAAATAAATATGTCTTTATTCCATAACTATGATACAAGGGGTGTTTCATCAAAATTTGAATACATTTATAGTTGTAGGACTCCTGGGAAGGCACTTTCAGGAATGAAAATAAAACAGCATTAATTTGGTTCTCGGTCTGTAATTTTTTTTTAAATAAATGATGTTGTTAACTTGTCTTCTGTAGATGTATCCCTTTTTAATTCACTTATAATGCATGTTTTCAATGTATAATAATTCATTTGGGATTAAGAAATTTTTTTCAAAAGATTTACTCCTAGACATAAAAATAAGATGAACATCTTTAATAAAAACTTTTTAACGCTTATGATTGCATCTTAAACTAAATTTTAAGCGTCACTTTGTAAAAACACTGCTTTATTCTGAATAAACAACAGTCATGGATCCATAATGTCATATCAAAACTAAGTAAAAACAGAAAAATGATGCCAGGTGTCACATGGAATCAATGTCAGAGACACTTCCATGTAATGCCTTCTTTTTTTCTGCAATACTTTTAATTGTCAATTACCATGCTAACTAAATTCTCCCTCTTATTTGAAATTTGATATTATATCAATTTATGATAATTAAGAGAAAAGCAGTTGAATTGTCCTTAGGCTCCTGTAATATCAGACACTTTGTAAATACTCTACAGATAAATTAGTACTTGGTAAATTCAGATTAAGAGAATAAAGAAGATTTTCAAATATACAGACTCACTCATTTTATTTGGTTCATTTGACACATTTTCTTTTCTTTTTGCAACACAATAATTTCTCATTTATTGGATGTTCTACTAATTGATATACATATAAGTAAGTAATCGCGACTGGTCTTTGTACCAATAAATATAGTGCCACATTCAGCACTCTAGTGATTTCTTTTTCATTAATAAAAAGAGGATTTAAATCCAAGTTTATGATACTAAACCAGATTTTTGGTAACTTATCAAATATACATTTATGTTGTAAATATAGTATTTCCAAACAGACTTCTTTTCCAAGAAATATAATAATTCTGTTAGTACCTGTCTTCAACCCTTATACTGTAATTCTTCATCTTTGCTAAATGACTCTGATTTCAACAAATAAAAGGTCAAATTGTTAAAGGACTGACTCCTTCGTATAAGGACATGTATGTTACCTTTTGACTTACCAGAAGTAAACATCGTTGAGAAATATTGAGACATTGCTGCCAGAATGATACGATGACATTTGAACTTTTGCCCTTCAACAATGACTTCTAAATCAGCAAAATGACCTTCAGCCCATTCTTTACTGATGCCTTGTGACAAAGCTGGAAAATACAAACTCTCTACACTTGGTTCCATTGTATTTATTCTGGTAATGACTACTACTGGATCATACTTTGAGCTAGAATTCTGAAAATATACACAAAAAACCATTCATCAGACTACATACCTTCAAGTCATTTTTTTACTTCTGTTCAATATCTTAACATAATATCAAATGAACATACTTGCAAGACATATATAATTTATAGCTGGCATCATAATTTATTCTAATTTTTTTCCCTGGCTTAAGTATATTTATTAAAGCCAACTTAGAGACTAACATCTGTAATTATTAATTATTTTGCTATGGGACCGGATCAACTTGGGTTGGATAGACTTCGGACCAAATTTGTTTGGGGTTGAATTGACCTGATACCTGCCCAAATGAGATCTCAGTGATTTATAGTTATTAAAATTGTTGTATTGTATTGTTCAATTATAAAATAAAGAGACATCCATATCATTATTATCAGAGACATATATACACGTATATATATATAATTCGTCTAAATATCTCTGGTATAATGTAGCATTTTTATCTATTGTCATATAATTTCAAAATGTCCAATAAAATTAGTAGCTTTGGGTAACTACGTCCTTATAATTGAATAAAGTAACATTCATTTTTGTTGGAAAATTGTTTTAACCTTAATTAAGCTCCAATCAAAAATTGTTGGCTGCCACTCTTAGTGATTAATGCAAGATAACTCTGGTAATTTTTTTCATTATGGGGAGATAATCTTATTAGGATCTCTCTTAGGGTTACAAGAGCGCAATTATTTGTTTACATTTTCTCGGCAGGTTTTTTATGCCAAGATGGTACTCAGAATAGAATCTTGTATGGCTTCTGATTGGATGATACAGGATTGGAATTACTTTTAATCGAAAGCTTATCCAATTAGGTTTAAAAAAATCCAGAAAATCAAATTCACAAAGTATAGAAAATATTTTCAATATCTGCATGTCGGAGCCATTAAAAATCTGCCCTTTTCATTAAGCAAGAAAAAAAAAAGACGATGTTTTTCAACTGCATTTTAAGTCATTTTTTGCCACATGACCATATATACTTTTTTGGTTGTTATGCAACATTGACATTTCTAGTAACAGGAACTGCTACCCATTTTTTCCTAGTTTATGTAGTCTTCGAGAAAAAAATATGGAACACCACTGGTACCCTATGAAAAATGCATTACGAATAATTGCGCTATTGTAACCTTAGACTAAATACTAGTATTTATAAAATTATGAAAGGTTCTTTTAATTGATATATAATATTTTAAAACATTTCAAAACAAATAAATAAAATCAATTACCGATTTTTACTTCATAATTACGGGTTAAAAATTATAAATATAAATAAATGTCTTTAATAAACTATAAATACTTAAATCTATTCAAATTATAAATTTTGTAATGATTTAAAATGAAATCAAATAACTAAATAATGAGTCTATTCCAGGGAGACAATGAAGGCATTGATTCAATAGAAACTCTTACATACAAATGACACATCAAAACAGCATTTGTGCTCCAGCTTCTCTGAATTATCAATAAAGCCAACAATTATTTATCTATAGGATAGTGACTGCTAACGAGTGCTAACCTAGCTATAGTAAAGTATATTTGTTCGAAATTTTTTAAAACCTACTCAGAAAAATGCACGAACTACTTGATTTTCATACCTCATAATTAATTTGTTAAACATTAATATAACATAGTCTTTTTAACATGTAGTTTTTTAAACAATATTTGCCTGTAACGTCACAGTACCCAACTTGCATCCATTTAGCAAAAATTGCAGCCTAAATCTTACAAGTTTTCTAAGAGTCTAATTTGTATTTTTATGATTTAACATTGTGCATGTCTTTCAAAATAGCTAAATATATCTAAATATTCACGAAATGTTCACAGTCATGACAGTATATACATCAACAGATGAAATTTTCATTGGAAAAAGTAAAATTTACGGAAAAATCACCATGTGACGTCCACAAAAAGTCAACTTTTAAAAATGAGCAATTAAAATATGATACTGGCATTCATTTCTTAACAAATGAATAGTAAGCATGGACTTCTGTCAAATTGTTCTTATTATTTGGAGAAATGAAAAAAAAAAAAAAAAAAAAAAGTTTTAGAGTTTTATGAATGTGAATTTCAGCATGGATGCAATTTGGGTACTCCTCATTACAGAATCATGGATCGTTTGGAGGTGGGTTCAATCCATTTTTCTATGATTCAATATGGATTCAAAATTAAATCGGTGGAACTATATAGAAAATAAGGATACATCAGTCATCTACAACATAAACTGAATAGGAACTTTTGTCTGGATCATAAATAAACATAGGTGAAAAAACTGTCAAAATAGGTGCAATTTGGGGGTATCGGGTCTGTTCGCCCTGATTACATGTTCGCCCTGGGTCCGTTCGCCTATAGAGTCTGTTCGCCCAGAATTCGTTTTCCCAACTATTAAAAATAAGATACTATAGTGGTATTAGATATTTATATGATCAAGAAAAATATATATTCTCGAAATTATGAAAAAAACATGGAAATATTTTAAAATGTGTGGGTTTTTTTTTATAGCATAATTGGGCTTCATTCTTACATTAATTTTGTTTTATTTAGTATAATTTTTAATGGCTGTTGATTGTAATTTAGAATGCTGATTAGGTATAATTATGGTGTCTTTGAGCTCACTTATTTTTGTATTAATTGTCTTTGTTGAATTAATAATTAAAGTAACATTTTTTTTAAAAATAAACTAGTCAGCTTGGAATGAGTAAAAACAACGATGTATGAATTGACAGACATAAAAGGGATTTTTGTTTCGCACACAGCTTGGGTTCTTTGATCTCAAGTTCGTTTCAACACATTTCCTATATATGTATGTTTGGGTTTATACCTCTGTTATTCGGAGCTCCCTCGAAAGCTGCGAGGGTACAATGGTATCCATGAACATATATGTGTTCTTTAAAACAATAGTGTAAAAAATTAAGGACATAACTGGTGTGTGATGCTAAGTTCGAATTGGATCCTGTTATAACTGTTGATTGTTTTGAAAATGTTTTAAAATCTATCAATAAAGATAAATACACGCAGATAACATGGTCTTCAGTTGTTTTATATTAAATACCTTGTATTCCTGGTACTCTACAGTGAAGATCAAAGGAAAATAATTTTTGGTAGCAGCAATACAACATAAATATTCGGGGAAATATTCAACAAACTTTAACATACTCTTTTCAAATAATAAGCATTATACAACAAGACTACAAAATAAAAAAAAAAACAGAGCGAATGGACCCAGGGCAAACAGGTACTAGGGGGAACGGACCCGGATTCCAATTTAGGTACCCTCAAGTTAACAGTATATAAGAAACAATACAGACCATACACAAACTGTATGCTTGCATCAACTTACCCAAATGAAATAAAGATTTAATTAAAGCCTGAACATTTTGACATTGTTTATTTTTTTTATCCGCGTCGGTTTTTCTAATATTAATACAACTTGCTGTTAAGATTTGACTAATCAAATCAAATCAATTAAAAGCTTTTTAAAAGTCGGCATGTCACAAAACAATAATTGACATGGGTACAAGTCAAATCGGTACCTGATCAATTCGGCACCTAAAGAAAAATCAAATCGGCAACTGGTCAAATCGGCATCTAGTCAAATCGGCCCCTATTTAAAATCATTTCGGCATTTGGTTATTCAACTGGCACCAAATATTAATTTTACCGTTTTCTTTCTTTTTTATTTGAGAATAGTTTTTCGGTTTTTATTATAGGATTAAACACATTTTTTTCTAGAGGTTATTGATGTGTTAACTGGGGCGATTAACTCACACACTGAATTCAGACTTTTATGTAAAGTTTGTGAGTCAGCGACCCAGTTTACAGATCAATAACCTCTAGAAAAATGTGTTTAATCCTTATAATTCTTAAAACAAACATTTGAAATTTTTCATTAACAATTTTTGGTACATTTGCTACTGTTTACCATCAAATGCATAATTGACATTTCGTAACTAAGGAGTTTGCCGCCATATTGTCTGTCTGAAATCCATTTATGTTCGATTAATTCAATAAAACATAAAATTAATCAACACCTAAATTGTACATCAAAAACTTCATTTCAATGAGATATTATCCAAATTTGAAACGTACAAGAAACTAACAGTTATGTTTTTAAATTTTTTTTTTCAATCTCAATTTGCTTGCTCTCTTTAATCCCATACATCTGTATCACGCATGAATAGATCACAGTAAAGGTTACAAAAATAGTTTCGGCAACATGGTCTATCGAAGTGTAAACCAAGGGGGACAATGCTAACAGACCAAACAAATTCAAGTATTTGTAGACAAATATACGTCGATCAACACCTCAAGTGAAAATATTTAAAAAAAATATGGAAATAAACAGAGTCTTCAATAGTCATGATCGTTAACTTGCTAAACATAATGTTAATTTTGTGTGCCGAAATGACTACCTCGGGTGCCGATTAACAAGGTCCCGATTTGACTAGGTACCGAATTGACTATCACGGGTGCCGATTTAACCAGGTCGCGAAGTGACTAGAATTAATAGATATAGGCTCTTTGAGCTTTTAGATATGGGTCATTTTCAAAAAATGTCGAATTTTGAAATTTTGAAATTGATTTAAAGTTACTTATTCAAACATCCCTCGTCATAAGCAAATCAAAACAAACAGTACTTATAGAACAACATATAAAAAGATGCAATCTTGATAATGTCATACAAGAATATATTGAAACATTTTTTGATAGGTGGTGCAATATTTTGTCTCTCCTGTTACCATGTTCAATAGAAATTTCGGGTTATTTAGAAAAGGTTTCAATAAAATTTTAAGCTTGTTTTTCGTAGCCAATAAGATGGTTTTCAAGAGTAAAAACTTCTATATATATTCATTCTGTGAAATAATAGATTATTTGCCAATTTTCCATGTTGTACTGAAAAATGCCTATAAAAATTGGTTTTCAAAGGTTACAAAAATAACCACCAGTAATGCAAGTCTAAGGTAGCAATTCATAATGTTCAGCATTTTTTCTCTCTTTCAAATAAACCCAACATCAAGTAAATCCCTCGCACGTTGGTTTACTTTTGTCTTTGTTTTATTGGTAACAGGAACGTACGTTAATGATATATCACTATATTAAGTTCTATCCTGAATGCTGTTGTGAAATAACTACTCCCTTTGATGAAGTGATAATGTTTTTCTGTTGTGATTTTGGTTTCCAACACGTTATTGCACTTTTTGCAAGTATAATATTGGTGTAATTAATCAATATGTTGGTAACAGCATAGACATGACAAAAAAGTACCCACTATTTTTTTTCACTAAATATCTTGAAATTTCTTTTCTCTACACTGTTATACAAGAAACGTGCTGTGTTAAATGTTTAGGTTACTTTGCGCTTTTGAAATCAACACTGATCAGTTCAATATTCATAGGGAGAAAAATTTAACGGCTGATTTAAGTAGCAGGATGGACATGAACTTCATGTACGCTGATTGAATTTAGTTTGTAGAAAAAATGTTACATATAATAATAAAGAAGCTACGATTTTTCGTTAGAATTATTATTTACGTTCTAAAAAAGTCCCTTTTGCAGATATCAAGGCGATCAGAAAATAGGAAAAAAATCATTTGAAATGTGTTACTCGGACACTGTACGTGTAACAGTGGTTTGATTCCGCCAGTGTACTTTATCCGGAGGAAGAAAATCCCCAGTGATTTTTATCCACCAACAAAAATTCACTAGGTTTTTCTATCCGGGTCCAGTGTAAAACATCCACCAGTCATTATAAGGTTCTAAAAAGGGTTTTTTGAAGGGGAAACATATATAAAATGTGACTTTATAGTTTTTAGTGTATTTGAAACTTGCATAAATGATTTATGTAAAAAGTGGAGAGTTTTCATCCAAGGAATGTTCACACTAGTGTTTTTAAACAAGGAATGATTACACTAGTGATTTTGTACCGGAATGATTGCACTAGTTATTTTATACCGGGATTAATTACACTAGTGCTTTAGATCCATACATTGATGAAGTGATTAGTACTCATTTTCAACACACGATAACACAATAATGCTTATTAACGAATAAGATTTAAATAATTTTTCTATGCAAATCTTTAAAATCATATGCTTTTAAATTGTCACTAATTGTAATATTTATATTTATTGGATTGTTCGAAGTTTTTCTGTGTATTTGCTTTTCGGTCAACTTCTATAATTGAAACTTTATGTAAGAACAAATCTGCTCTTAAAATTTGGTTTATATCAAGTTCAATGTCCTGATCATTGATAAATTATTTTGAGTTATAAAAACATCCTCCTCATCATCATCAATATTATTTATAATTACTAGATTGACTCAGATTAATTAAAATGGTTCCTTGAAAATCATTTTAATTTTAACCCATTTATTTATATAAACAATAAACCGGTCTAATATAAACAAAACAACGATATCAAGATAGACGCTTTCACACTATTTACATCTGATATTCTCTAGTGAAAAACAGTTACCCGGAATAAATACACGGCGGAATGAAAGTACGCTTACATACACACATAAATTACGCCAAAATCAGACTTAAATGTATTTTAATCTTATCAAAATAGATCTAAGTCGTGTTTATTATTAATGTTCTGACTCATAAATCCTACAAACTTTCATTTAAACACTTACAACTGCATTATCCATTAGAAATAAAAAATTTAGCATGGGTATACTGAAAATTCGACATTTTTTGAAAATGACCCATATAACCATCCCGATATCGTCATGTAGAATCGCTATATATTTTATATTAGTAAAGTGTTATTTGGCTCCTAGAAGTCACTAGAACTACAGGGCAATTACACTACATTATTTATTTATCTCATGTCACAGATTAGCTTATTGTTGCTACTGTGCTACCCTCTTAAAATAAGTATTTACTAAGTCTTGCTTATAGTTTACCTGTCTCGTGTCGACTTTCACCTGTTTACTGGTACACACTAGAGACCAAAAATTGGAACCTGTCGGTGAGGGTTTACCTAAAATAATGAAATTAGTCTCTTTTCATGTCGTTACTTATTCTATAACCTCCTTTATATAAATATAATGCAATATTTAAAACATGTGCTTTGAAATGTACTATTTATTAACAATTGTTTTACTCTTACCCGAAAATATATAATCTAGGAAATGGTATAGAAGCAGTATTGTTTACGCTGGAGACGGAATTAGTCAGGTGACATCGGAAGAAATGAAAGTAGACATGTGACCTATTACATTATACAAGTGAAAGTACACCTGCAGAATTCAGTTTGAAACTCGTCTCACCATACAGAGAAATCTCCCTGTCTAAAATGTGAGTTTTTTTGTAATGAAAATATCTTTTTTTAATGTAGAATTATATCCTCCAATTTTAGAAACTTATACATTATATCAGAGACATATATATGTCTCTGATTATATACATGATTACATGGTTATTATGGTCAGAGACATATAATACATATGATTTTCTCTGTGTGCGATGTGCACACTAATACAAAAATATATTCCAACTCGTTCGTTATGCCCGTGTCTGTAGTGAAGTTATGAATTTTAATGGACGTGATCTAATTGTATTACTGGTAAATATTTAAGTAAAGATTTCGTTACCACCAAAAAACTTAGAACCTTTACTCAAATCTTTCATAGTTAGAATCATAGATACAAAAAGGTTTGGTTTTGAAGTTTGGCTGTACCAGTAGAAAACTTATTACAAGTGGGATAGCTAGCACATCCTCATCATTACAGTGATTTTTATAGCCTGTAAATTCAGGGAAGGTCTAGGTAAACTTGTCAATATGTCCTTTTAATAACTTATTTTAAAAGGTGACCAATCCAACACCTTAATTAGATCTGTGAATATTGTATTTATCTGTAAAAATATCCTCCTCTGAAACTACTGGGCCAAATGTGACCAAACTTGGCCACAATCATCATTGGGGTATCTTGTTTAAAAAATGTGTCCGGTGACCCGGCCAACCAACCAAGATGGCCGACATGGCTAAAAATAGAACATAGGGGTAAAATGTAGATTTTGGCTTATATCTCTGAAACCAAAGCATTTAGAGCAAATCTGATATGGGGTAAAATTGTTTATCAGGTCAAGATCTATCTGCCCTGAAATTTTCGGATGAATCGGACAACCCGTTGTTGGGTTGCCTCCCCCTGAATTGGTAATTTTAAGGAAATTTTGCCGTTTTTGGTTATTATCTTGAATATTATTATAGATAGAGATAAACTGTAAACAGCAATAATGTTCAGCAAAGTAAGATCTACAAATAAGTCAACTTGACCAAAATGGTCAGTTGACCCCTTAAGGAGTTATTGCCCTTTATAGTCAATTTTTAACCATTTTTTGTAAATTTTTGTAATCTTTTACAAAAATCTTCTCCTCTGAAACTACTAAGACAAATTTAACCAAACTTGTCCACAATCATCATTAGGGTATTTAGTTTAAAAAATGTGTCCGATGACCCTGCCCGCGAACCAAGATGGCCGACATGGCTAAAAAATAGTACATAGGGTAAAATGCAGTTTTTGGCTGATATCTCTGAAACCAAAGCATTTAGAGCAAATCTGACAGGATAAAATTGTTCATTAGGTCAAGATCTATCTGCCCTGAAATTTTCAGACCAATCAGGCAACACGTTGTTGGGTTGCTGCCCCTGAATTGGTAATTTTAAGAAAATTTTGCAGCTTTTGGTTATTATCTTGAATATTATTATAGATAGAGATAAACTGTAAACAGCAATAATGTACAGCAAAGTAAGATCTACAAATAAGTCAACTTGACCAAAATTGTCAATTGACCCCTTAAGGAGATATTGCCCTTTATAGTCAATTTTTTACAATTTTCATAAATTTTGTAAATTTTTGTAAATTTTTACAAAATATTTTCCACTGTAACTACTGGGCCAAGTTCATTATAGATAGAGATAATTGTAAGCAGCAAGAATGTTCAGTAAAGTAAGATCTACAAACACATCACCATCACCAAAACACAATTTTGTCATGAATCCATCTGTGTCCTTTGTTTAATATGCACATAGACCAAGGTGAGCGACACAGGCTCTTTAGAGCCTCTAGTTGAATTTAAACTAGCTTTCAGTAACTGCAAATACTCTCAAATCTATCCTTTGTGTCTTATGGTTGTTGTTATTATGTCCCCGCCGTAGTATATCATATTTTTTTTTTCGTTTATTGTTTTGTACATAAATCAGGCTGTTTGTTTCCTCGTCTGAATTTTTTTAAATTTGTCATTTTGGGGCCTCTTATAACTTACTATGTGGTATGGGTTTTGCTCATTGATGATGGCTGTACAGTGATCTATAGGTGTTTACTTCTAAATCATTTGGTCTCTGGTGGAGACTTGCAATCATACCAGATCTTCTTATTTTTATAGGGTTATCAGTTGCTGAGTGGTCTAAGTAGTTCAACTACTGCATTACTAGCCTGTCAACACTGAGGTTGTGATTTTGAGTCCCACATGTTGCAAGTGCATTTGACTTCAATCTTGATTGACTAGGATTGTAAGTTTTCCTACCATGGTTCTCTCCAGGCACTCCAACTTCTTCAACCAATAAAATCTGACCTGCATGAAATAGATAACAGTGCTGAAAGTGTCGTCAAACACCTATCAATCTATCTTATTTTTATTCTACTTTAATCATAGCTGTCTATGTAAAATAAGGAGATGAGGTATGATTGCCAATGAGACAACTATCCACCAAAGTTCAAATAAAGTGGATGTAAGCAATTATAGGTAACTGTACGGCCTTCAACAATGAGAAAAACCCTTACCGTATAGTCGGCTATAAAAGGCCCTGACATGAAAAATATGAAAATTCAATTGAGAAAACTAACGGCCTAATTTATAACAAAACAATTTACGAAAAACAAATATGACAGACATGAACCAACGACAACCATTGAACTACAGGCTCCTGCCTTGGGACAGGCACATAAAGAATGTGGAGGGGTTAAACATGTTTGTGAGCGCTCAACCCTCCCCCTAAACTGGGACAGTGGTGTAACAGCACAACATAAGAATAAATGATAAAAATCAGTTGAAAAAGGCTTAACTCATCAGATCGATACAAAGCAGAAAACATCAAACATAAACACAGACTGGACGTGGCAGGGTATTTATCCATCCCTCATCCCTAACAACAAAAAAGTCACTAAGTATAGATCTGAGAGTACTTGCAGTTACTGACTGCTAGTTCAAAGCCAATAACTAATAAACAAAAATAAAAATCATGTATCTGAGACTAAAATATCAATCAGTACACATCCAACAACCAATGGATTTAGTGTAAAGACGTCATTAACAGTCAGAGAAAAACATGACCTTGTGCAATGCCAAAATAAAGGTATCGACAGATTGTAGTATCGTTAAAGTGCATATGTGTATAACAAAACTATTTAGTGTGATTTTAATTTACTGATAGCAAAATCAAAATTTTATACCAATAAAAATAATATTCAAAGATTTAACTACAGTGTTGAATTGGTAACCTTTTAGAATAAGTTTATTTAAAAGATTGATAAGTTTACCTGGATTGTATATAAATTTCCGGGCTCTGTAAACAACATCACCGTAAAACTTAGGATGTGCTATTCCGTCTGAAATAAGTTTTTTTATCGTCAATTTTTGTGTAGAGTTTCTGGTGTAAAATTGAATCTAAATCTAGGAAAGGACACTTATTGCTGTTAATTTTGGATTTATTTAAAGTAAATTTGGTAGTATGTTTAGAGAATTCTTGATTATTTAACGAAAATATATGATCAAGATAACGGTAAGTGTTGTTGAATTTATCAATTAAATGGAATTTAGACTTTACTAAGTTTGGCCATAAACTGTGATTCATAACAGTACAGGAACAAGTCTGCTATTAAAGGGGCACGATTGGTGCCCATAGGAATACCTACAATCTGTCATAAAAGACAGTTATAGACTTATTACCACTGATGAAGTTGCTGTCATGGGTCACAGACAAATGTAGATATTGGTGTTCAACTTGTTTCTTAAATTTTTATGCCCCCACCGAAGCGGAGGGGGCATTAAGTTTTACCCTTGTCAGTCCGTACGTATGTACGTCCCAAAATTGGTTTCTGTTCTCTAACTTAAGTTTGCCTCAACCAAATGTTATCAAACTTATACACAATTTTTATTACCACAAAACACAGATCAAGTTTGAATTTTGGTGGCGTCACTTTAACCGTTCTAGAGTGATGCCCCTTTATAAATGGAAAAATTGCAAAATTTTTCATTTCCGTACTCTAACTTAAGTTTGCCTCATCCAAATGTTGTGAAACTTATACACAATGTTTAAACCACAATACACAGATCAAGTTTGAATTTTGGGGGCGTCACTTTTACTGTTCTAGAGTAACTTTAAATAATTTAAAGCAGTGTAAGGGAGGTAATGTATAAAGTAATGGCTAATGAACAATTAAGACAATTTAAAAGCAGTGTAAGGAAGGTAATCCAAATACAACGTTTTGATTATCTCCCTTACACTGCTTTTAAATTATGTTTAAAGAAATGCATATTTATAAACAAAGACTAGTAAAAATATCTGCAAATGTTGCATCCTACGCAACAGCATAGTGTATTGCACAAAAGGAAGAAAAAAAAAGGGGGGGGGTAAATTTTTTTTTTTTTTTTTGTGGGGGGAGGGGGGGGAGGGGGGGGTCAATTCGCAACAGCGAAGTGTATTGCACAAAAGCAAAAAATTGAATATGAATTCAAATCATATAACCAATTCTAAGTTCTTTGACTACAGTTATTCTGTGTCAGAAACCTTTTATGTGTCAAATATTTAATTACAATCCAAATTCAGACCTGTATCAAGCGCGAATATTGCGTCCATTTTTGCCCCAACTGTTCAGGGTTGGACCAGGGTTGGACCTCTGTGGTCATATCCAGCTGCGCTCGGCGAAGCAATTTATTTTTGTTGATACTTAATATTTTTGCCCTTCAAAAATTATTGTTTTTAACACGATCAGATTTAAAAAAAGTATAAATTCAATGAGACCTTTAAATTTCTTCTTGAAAAGTCAATCATTCATTGATTTAAAATTTAGCAAGATGAAAACGCATGTACTATTACAGAATAATGACACATATTGTCAGAGCAAGAGGTAATCATTAAAAATTTATGTCAATACACATCTGAAGAACTAATTTTTATTTTATTTGTTTGTATGTGTAGGTTTATGATTTTTTTATGCATATTCTTAACTCATAAGCACCATACCTTCTTTCCAGGTAATTCCCCTGCTGTGAATCTTTCTGCAATTTTATAATACAATGTATCAGGGAGAGTTTTAATAAATTGGTTACATTACAAGGATACAGAAAAAAAATGAAGATTTATTAAACATCGTATTAAAGATTACCCTATATACTATTATATTAAAAATAGAATCACTGTTGGATGATATAAGTATGAATTAAGAAGACAAATTTCTTGTGAATCTGTACAGAAATGCAGTACCTGAACATTTGTACATCACCTGTTGATTTCCATCGTAGCTTTAACTAAGTCAATAACATATTAATTTTTTATGTTTTTTTCTGGTTCATTCTGTTCTCTTTTATATCCTTTATTATTGTAAATGTATTTTCTATTTCTGAATAATAATCCTAAAAATGTTTTGTACATTGTTTCATTGCTAGTGACAGTCGATGCCCCTTTAATTGTACATTGTTTCATTGCTAGTGACAGTCGATGCCCCTTTAATTGTACATTGTTTCATTGCTAGTGACAGTCGATGCCCCTTTAATTGTACATTGTTTCATTGCTAGTGACAGTCGATGTCCCTTTAATTGTACATTGTTTCATTGCTAGTGACAGTCAATACCCCTTTAATTGTACATTGTTTCATTGCTAGTGACAGTCAATGCCAATTTATGCATGAGTCTTGTGTTGCCTAAGCTAACACAATCATAGTTTGAATAATTATTTTTTATAATAAAAATGTCAGTTGTCAGGACTTCTTACAATTTAGAGACAACATATGTTTGAATAAAAAGAACTTCATAATAAATGAACACACTCAACAATAAGCACTGTTTGATTTAAATGTTTGCTTTATTATGTAAAAGCAATATTTACCAGTATTTATTTGGGAGTGGTATGGGGATTTATATTTCAAAGTAAGTCCTGCTGGTCTAAGTAGATGAGGTAGGTTAGTGAATTCTATTTCGTGACTTCTAAGTGGAGATAGCTCTAAGTCATTTAATGAAAATAAGTGTGATTTTATTTTAAACTTGTGTTTGTTTGCTGGCAACAAAAGAAATCATATTCATTTTGTACTGACCAGTTTGGAGTAGTATGTGGATTCAGATTAATTGTTGATTTGCACTCTGTGGTTAAGATTTTTATAAGATATTTATGCCCCCACAGTAGCAGAGGGGGCATTAAGTTTTACCCTTCTCTGTCTGTACGTCCGTACGTACATCCGTACGTCCCAAAGTTGGTTTCCGTTCTCTAACTTTAGTTTGCCTCAACCAAATGTTAGAAAACTTATACACAATGCTTATTACCACAAAACACAGATCAAGTTTGAATTTTGGTGGTGGCACTATAACCGTTCTAGAGTTATTCCCCTTTACAAATGGAAAAATTGCTGAATTTTTCGTTTCCGTTCTCTAACTTTAGTTTGTCTCAACCAAATTTTATGAAACTTATACACAATGATTAATACCACAAAACACAGATCAAGATAGAATTTTGGTGGTGTCACTTTAATCGTTCTAGAGTTATGCCCCTTTACAAATGGAAAAATTGCTGAATTTTTCATTTCTGTTCTCTAACTTTAGTTTGCCTCAACCAAATTTTTTGAAACTTATACACAATGCTTATTACCACAAAACACAGATCATTTTAGAATTTTGGTAGTGTCACTTTAACCGTTCTAGAGTTATGCCCCTTTACATATGGAAAAATTGCTGAATTTTTCGTTTCCGTTCTCTAACTTAAGTTTGCCTCAACCAAATGTTATGAAACTTATACATAATCTATATTACCACAAAATAAAGATCAAGTTTGAATTTTGGTGGTGTCACTTTTACCGTTCTGTGTTATGCCCCTTTACAAATGGAAAAATTGCTGAATTTTTGTTTCCGTTCTCTTATTTAAGTTTGCCTCAACCAAATGTTATGAAACTTATACACAATGCTTATTACCATAAAACTCAGATCAAGTACAAATTTGGGTAGCGTGAATTTTACCGTTCTTCAGTTATGTCCCTTTATAACTTATACAACTATATGCAAGCGGGGGCATCATCTGTGTCCCATGGACACATTCTCCATTTATTTTTTTATAAGTATCTTTGGAGTATAACTTGAAACCGTACATATTTAGCTTCAGTGATTATGACGAAAATTTCAATACAACATAGAAATAAAGTGATTTAGTAAAAAGTATGATAGTATAGTGACATGTTTTCTACTAAGTTCAAAACTCAATGACGCTGGAATAATGATTTGAAACTCTCCCTAATAGTAAAAAATCACAGAAATATTAGCAAAAGGGGAATTAACTGGAATCAAGGTAGGGTGTTAATGTGTAAAGTATATGCACAAAAAAATCATATACCTACATGTATTTAGAATACAAGGATTTTATTTTTTTACGCTGACAATATGTGTCATTATTTTGTATTGGTTCATGCATTTTCATCATCAGGAGTTAATTTTTTTTGTCCAGGTAAATTAATCATCCGATTATTGGCTTTTCAAGGAGACATTTAAGGGTATCAATGAATAAACTCCAAAGAGAACAATGGCTATTGTATTTTTTCAATAGGAAAGCTCAACTTGCAAAAGTTTAAATGGACAGGTAAACACCATATGATTCTGAGGAAAAAAGTTTCATTTCTTTTGCAGTAAGAAAAGTCATCTATAACTAATCAAACAAAGAATTCCATTATCCAGTAAAATAACAATAAAGAACTGACATTTAAATGCCAAATTTTGCTCTCAAAAATCTAATCACAACTCAACTGGTTTGCTGAAAGCTGCCAAAATAACCCAACACCAAAATATCTCAATTTCAGTGGTAGGAGACATTTTGCTATGGTGTTGCATGAAATATATTTCAGGTTCTAAATTAAACTATTCTATAAAGACATTTTTACAAAGTAATGAAAGTGTAAAAAAAGGTGAGTTGATTTTCAACTCTTTTTCAGTACATGTAGTTATTCACACCCAGTTTAATTATCTCCCTTTAATTGAACATGATTATCTTCCTCCTCTTTTGTTTAAACATTTAAATATAATCTTCCAGCTATCAATTTTATTTATGAAGTAGATTTTTTATAATCAAATGTTTGCTTTTACTATTTATCGTCATTAAAAAGTGTATGTTCAAATTCTTAAATTAGTTTTAAAGATGTAAACTTAATCTAACATGAAGAAAGGGTTAGTCTGGGAAAAATTTAAGGTTATCATTTAATTCTTTTTTCAAAATCATCAAGTTGGTTAAGGAAAATGTATGATGAAGCTTAGTATTCTTCCCAAGTGAGAAAAACTAAAAAAAATCCAAAAGTTAATTTTGAACTCATTTTTTGTCAGAATGCTCATTAAATTTCAATGTTTACTAATTAGTTCAGCTAACTGTATGTTGATTTTAGAATATTTTGAAGGCTTATCAGTTTCTAGAAATATGCAGCAAAAACCTCAAAACACAAATTGTCCAAAATCAGACATTTTAGTAAAATCAGTCATTTCAGTAAAATCAGTCATTTCAGTAAAATCAGACATTTAAGTAAAAATATTTTTATATTTATTAGTAAGAGTAATTATTAGCCTGCCACTTGTTACATACAAAATAGGGAGATGTGGAACAAAGGTCAAAGAGACAGCAACCAAAAAAATTTATAAAAAGACTTCAACAAAGTTTAATAAATCATTTTATTGTGAAATCTTATAATCATGAAGGTTATCTTTATCTCTTGATAGATGAATAAGATTTAATTTGAATGGGTTTTGTTAGATAATACACAAGGAAGTTCTAACAAGTCACGATAAATGAAAAACTACCAAGACAAAACATTATTTATAATCATTTTGTATTTTCATTTCTCCAGGAAGTTCATCATGTTTTATTGTATCACTTCCTTTTATACTTTGATTTATATGTAATTTATATTGTAGTTTGAAGTTTGAAGATGGGATGTTTTAAGATACTTGTTTTACTTAATATATTTTGGCTAACAACCTACACCACTGCTTATATAAGACCTATCATTGGTATGTATATTTTTAAATCTTTGTTTACAAAATTAAACAAGAGGTTTTTATGAGCTCAAGTTGGAATACATCTATGACACTGTATAATTTGAATAACAGGATTGATTGACTGATTGAGTGCTGTGTTTAATGCCACTTTCAGCACTATTGGCTATTTCATGGCAGCCAGTTTTTGTTAGTGGAGGAATCCTGAGTCCTGAGTGCCTAGAGAGAACCAGTACCTTCAGCAGGGATACTGCCAATCCTAGTCAATTAAGATTGTAATCAAAGGCACCTGCCCCATGTGGGATTTGAACTCACAACCTCAGTGTTGACAGGCTAGTGATACAGTAAATGAACTACTTAGACCACTCAGCTGTTGAGGCTCCTGAGTAAAAGGAAATGTGTGTAATATGTCAATGAGATAGCAACCTAATAACGAAATAAAAAAAGATATCCAGAAGTCAACAATAGACAGTTGTTTTTTTTATCATATGTCAAGCTCTTAATTACCCTGAGACAAGCAGTCAATAAATTAAGCAGAGACAAACTGAGAAATGCCATCAACACCAAATTCCCTAAAGGACAAAACCAAGATATAAGGAAAGACAATCACTGATAATAGCTTCCTGACTTATGACAGTCACATTCATGGCAGGATCAAACAAGCTTTTAGAGTACTCAACCCTATCTGTTTTTCATCTCAATCAGTGAAATCAAAAGGCAGGATTTAAAACATACAAGGAAAACCAGATTAGAAAAGGTACTTATATACCTCTGTAACTATACTTTTTTGTACCCAGGCTTTTGGGCTGCCTTGTCTGCTGTCCGTCGTGAACTTGGGCAAAAACCTTCTCTGAAACCATTGTACTAAATAGTACTAAATTTGGCCTACTTCATTAAAGAATGTCCAATGACCAAATTTAAATTAAAATGGCCACTATGTTCAAAATACCTCATACAGGCAAAATGCAAATATTTGTCAAATATATTGAAAACAATGATAGATAGAGGAAATGTGATATGGTTAAAGTTCAGACTTGTGAGATGGCTCCAAATAGGAGTTAAATTGCCCTTAAGTAAAAAATAATTATTGACCTATTTTAACATATTTGAATATTGTCTTGCAACAGTAATGTAAAAAAAAGTGAGAAAAACAATGCTTGACAGATTTTTAAGCTACACTTCCTTGTTTTTGCTTATCCATTTTTAAACAACTGCAAAAAATTTTTGCAGTCGTATATTGGTATGATGTTGGCGTCGTCGTCGTCGTCGTCGTACGAAGACACACTGGTTTTCGCACAATAACTTTAGTTTAAGTGAATGGATCTCCATGACATTTTACCATAAGGTTCAATACCACAAAAGGAAGGTTGGGATTGATTTTGGGGGTTATGGGTTATAAAGGAAGACCAGTAAAAATATCTGCAAATGTTGCATCTTTTTTTTTTTTTTACCAAAAAATCCATATGAAAGATTTGACACGATATTTTAAAAAGAAATTGTGGGGGGTCAATTTTTTCTCATTTCAGATTTCAGAAATTAAAAAGAAAAATTCTTCAAATATTTTTTTTTTTTCAAAAAAAAAGTGTGTGTGTGTGTGTGTGTGTGGGGGGGGGGGGGGTTAATACGCAACAGCATAGTGTATTGCACAAAAGCAAAAAAAAAAGGGGGGGTAAATTTTTTTTTTTTTGTGGGGGGAGGGGGGGTCGATTCGCCAAAAAAAATTTAGCATCGCAACAGCAAAGTGTATTGCACAAAAGCAAATTGAATATAAATTCAAATCATATAACCAATTCTAAGTTCTTTAACTACAGTTATTATGTGTCAAATATTTAATTACAATCCAAATTCAGACCTGTATCAAGCGCGAATATTGCATCCATTTTTGCCTCAACTGTTCAGGGTTGGACCTCTGCGGTCGTATCCAGCTGTGCTCGGCGAAGCAATTTATTTTAACTGTTTGCCTTGATTTCTTTTGAATGCTTCATTAACTATAAGTGTTAAAATTCATTTTTCAGATGAATAAATATGTAAGAAGTAAACGAATAAAAATACTAGTTTTAAAACTTACAGGTGTTGTAGCTCAAAAGTCTTCTGGTGGCCATGGTGACACAGGAATACCAGCAGACTACATTAAATGGATAGAAAGTGCAGGAGGTGGTGTTGTGCCAATAAGGTAAGAGCAAATACAAGCACTGTGTTTTTAATTACACTAAATATAACTATATTCAGTATTGTAGTAGAAAAATTGTGACCAAACAATAACATTTGTATTGAAAAAAAGAAAAATAAACCCCTATGTGTAGGTCCACATATGGATTCGATTATAAATCTTTTTTAAATTTCTGAAGATGTGCTCACTATTTTTTATTTGCTGGAACAGGCTTTTCAAGAACCATTAGTGTAACTTAATGAAAAAAATGTATAATGTTTAGTCTGGTCAGGTGAAAAAAATGATCTGCTATTGACTGTATTTTTTATTTACAGGGACAAAGAATCTGAAGAATACTACGAAAAAATGTTTAAATATACAAATGGGTAGGTTAGAAGAATTTGTATAGTTCTTACCATAGTTTCTTATTTCTCAGCAAACTTCTTATAGAAATATAGTAATGGTAAAACAAGGATGCTTCAACAAGGAGTAAGTTGAAAAGTTAAATGATTGTTGATCATAAACAAAAGGTCAGCTGTCACAAATACACAGTGTCTGCATGTTAATAATGTAAAAAAAAATGTTCAATATTGATGATATTTTCTGGTCTCTGACAAAGTATGATCATTATATAAAGGTTTAGTAACTCATGAAAATTGAAAAAGGCAATTTAATTATTATTATTGAAATTAAATTATGAAAGTTGATATCAAACAATATCCAATTTGAACTAGTTTTTCAACCTTTTCTCTTATGGTAAAATCTATCTTTGTGTTAAATAGAAAATTCTGCAAAACATTGTTCTTGTCTTTGGCACCTACACAGTTTGACTAGTTTCCAACCTCAAACTTTGGCATAAAACATTTTTAAAAAGCTTTTTGTATGCTTCAGAATGGAATTAAAGGAGAGGTATGATACGAGCCATTATTTCGCCCCTGAAACTTCAACAAAATAGTTAACTTAATCCATCCTTTCAAAATTATGTTAATTATATTAATAAATAATATCATTGGTATAAAATGGAAACTTAAGTGACGGAAGATTCACTTGTGATGTCACTATGATGTCATACATGTGTTGAAATTGACGTATTTGACCAAAAATTGTCATTTCTCACAAATTTTTGAACAAAATAGGTATGATCAAAGGCTTTACCTAAAAAGATATTTTAAACACATTAACATCTTTGTAAATTACATATTTAAGGAAAAATGTTTTTTAGGTAAAGCCTTTGCTTATTAGGGAGATGGTTGAACACTCACAACCATATTGAACCCCACTACATTCTTTAGGTGCCTGTCTCAAGTTGTGAACCTGTAATTCAGTGATTGTTGTTGGTTGCTGTCTGCTGTATATGTTTTTTTGTATTATATGAAATGGAATTAAAATCCATTTGTCACTGGCTTTATAGCTATATTTTCCAGGCCTCATATCTAGTTTTAACAATATAGTACCGTGAGGTGAACATTCTTTAGATTTTATCTATGTCCATGTCAAGTAATTCTGTAATTTCAAGCTACAAAACTTTTAAGAGCTTACTTTATATAGATAACTATTGTTTATTTTTTAATGCTGTAGAGTGACCTATACTAGTCGTTTAAATCAAGAATGTTTATATCTTTGGTGGATATATAGTCTCATGGGCAATCATACTACAGATCCTCATTTTTATACTTAAAATATTTTGCCAAAGATGTCCCATTGTATCATGTATTTTATAAAATGATTTGATGAGTCAGTTTGATTAATAGATTGTCAGTAGAATTAATATTCTATTTCATTGCAGAGTACTGCTTCCAGGAGGCGGTGTAGATCTGTTTACATCAGGCTATGCTAATGTTTCAAGATACTTCTATGAGATGGCACTGAAGGCATGTACCTAACACTTAAACACATGTATATTATAAATACTGTGAATCCAGTAATGTTTGGGATATTCTTATTATTTTTAGAACTACAGCTGGATAAAAAGATACATTTTAAATTTTGATAGCATTATTAGTATGAAGCATTTCCTGAGATCACAAAAATTTAATCTTAACATTTTCATGCGACCACCGTGCCGGAAGGTGGCATTAAGTGTTACCCTTGTCCGTCCGTCCGTACATATGTAGGTCCCAAAACTAGTTTCCATTCTCTAACTTAACAATTTTGCCTCAACCAAATGTTATGAAACTTATACACAATGCTTATTACCACAAAACACAGATCAAGTTCGAATTTGAGTTGCATCACTTTATACCATTCTTGAGTTATGTCCCTTTATACTATTATATGCAAGTGGAGGCATCATCTGTGTCCCATGGACACATTCTGTCATTTTTGGTCTATAGTTCAACAATTGCAGTAATAAATGCATGCAACAGTTTACAGTTTACATGTTTTGTAACAGCATTTATAAGACCTGTATAGTCTTTCAGAAGTTGTTGTGAATTGATAGATTATCGTTGGTGATCTCAACGAGATTGATTTTCTCGCTTGAGCCGGTACGGCGAAAGTGAGAAAAGCAATCGAGTTGAGATGACCAATGATAATCTGTTTATCGCTATTTTACCTATGAAGACGTTGTTAATTTCCTTGACAACGGCATGTGTTCCCTTAGTTTCTAGCGATAATTTTCATATCACTCGACTCCATTTTCATATCACTCGACTCTGCTGAGAAAGGAAATTATCAGTCAGCAAGATCAAAGGAAAAATTTGTAAAAATAGCGATAATAACTATTACAGTATTGGCACATGAAATTTAACATGAAATTTAATAGGAAATATGAACATCTCACTATTCTGACTATAGATCTTCATTTGTTAAACTAGTAGTAAATCTTAAAAATGGAATAAGAGATTCTTTCTAGAGTTCAGTATTAGGTTTATTGATTTATAGATCCTTTCAGATTTACAAAAATGATCATCTTTTACAAAGTTTTCTGTTAAATGCTAGTGAATGACTAGTTTAGCTATAGCAGTCAGAATAGACTTTCAAGTAATTAGTTTTTCCTTTTATCTAACTTTAAGAAAAAAATGCCAGGTATGTACACAAGCTACTGTACCTTAGCAGGTCACACAGTTATTCTTTTCTCAACTTCCTAAAGGCAGATAAGTTATTAATCACATTTCAAGTAAGTTTACTAATGGAATATCAAAACATGCCAATGGTTTTAATAAGAACAAAAGATTCTGATTATAGATTAGATTATGATGTTACAGCAAAGTGCCTTTTCAGCATTTTATATAAAAAAAATACATATTTTTTTGCCATTTTAAACAAATCTTTGTTTCAGAAATTAATAGTGCATGCATGAACTATCAAAACAGCTAACTACAGCATCAGTCTATCTGAATATATGATTATCACCTTTCGTTTACTTGTCACTAATATATGTAATAATTAAATAATTTTACCCTTTTTAGAATTGGAATTCAGTCTGTTCCTTCTTTTGGGTATTTAAATCTTATAATTTCCACTATATGTTAAATTCACTAGAGTAAAGATTTTGTGCATATCTGTAAAGTACTTTATCAAATATAATTTTACAAATCTTTATATTTTAGGCAAACAAGGTCCTTAATGCTCCTACTCATTTAGAAGTGTTGATTTGTAATCATTTATTGTACACATTACACTTTCTTTCTTATGCTTTATACTTGATATATTTTTCTAAAGTCACTGTCACTACATATCGTTAAACTTAGGGTCTAATAGATATGAAAGACATCACTTATTTAACCAAGGCAAAATATAGGACGGTAAGTCATGATCATATTTCTGTGGCATTTATTATTTGGTAGATGTCACATAAATGTTTGATTGATTTATCTTATTTGTAATAATGAAATAGTTACAAGAAAGGAGAATCTTATCAAGGTTTTTGACTTTGTATTTTAGGCTTATGATAAAGGTGACTATTATCCTGTATGGGGAACATGTTTAGGATTTCAGGAGTTATCTGCCCTTACTGCAGGAGTATTGGTGACAACAAATGCCAGCGTGTGGGATAAGTCTCTTCCTTTGAATTTAACTGAAGGTAAAATTTCAAATTTAATCAGTCATGTCCACTATTGTTTACTGAATTGTACAATTGGTATAAATATGATGTTTGATGAATAAAGATAAATTTATAAAAAAAATTGATATTTTCAGTTTAACCTTTTTACTTTTCAGATTACAAAGAAAGTCTTATGTTTGGTAATCTTCCTGATGATGTTAAGAACTATCTAATGAAAGACAATGTAACACCTAACTTCCATTCATATGGTGTAACAGTTCAGGTAGGCAATTCTTATGGTGTAACAGTTCAAGTAGGCAATTCTAATGGTGTACCAGTTCATGTAGGCAATTCTTATGGTGTAACAGTTCAGATAGGCAATTCTAATGGTTTACCAGTTCATGTAGGCAATTCTTATGGTGTAACAGTTCATGTAGGCAATTCTTATGATGTAACAATTCAGGTAGGCAATTCTTCTTGTATAACAGTTCAGATAGGCAATTCTTATGATGTAACAATTCAGGTAGGCAATTCTAATGGTGTAACAGTTCAGGTAGGCAATTCTAATGATGTAACAATTCAGGTAGGCAATTCTAATGGTGTAACAGTTCATGTAGGCAATTCTTATGGTGTAACAGTTCAGGTAGGCAATTCTTCTTGTATAACAGTTCATGTAGGCAATTCTTCTTTTGTAACAGTTCATGTAGGCAATTCTTGTGGTGTAACAGTTCAGGTAGGCAATTCTTCTTGTGTAACAGTTCAGGTAGGCAATTCTTCTTGTGTAACAGTTCATGTAGGCAATTCTTGTGGTGTAACAGTTCATGTAGGCAATTCTTATGATGTAACAATTCAGGTAGGCAATTCTTCTTGTATAACAGTTCAGATAGGCAATTCTTATGATGTAACAATTCAGGTAGGCAATTCTAATGGTGTAACAGTTCAGATAGGCAATTCTTATGATGTAACAATTCAGGTAGGCAATTCTAATGGTGTAACAGTTCAGGTAGGCAATTCTAATGATGTAACAATTCAGGTAGGCAATTCTAATGGTGTAACAGTTCATGTAGGCAATTCTTATGGTGTAACAGTTCAGGTAGGCAATTCTTCTTGTATAACAGTTCATGTATGCAATTCTCCTTTTGTAACAGTTCATGTAGGCAATTCTTGTGGTGTAACAGTTCAGGTAGGCAATTCTTCTTGTGTAACAGTTCAGGTAGGCAATTCTTCTTGTGTAACAGTTCATGTAGGCAATTCTTGTGGTGTAACAGTTCATGTAGGCAATTCTTATGATGTAACAATTCAGGTAGGCAATTCTTCTTGTATAACAGTTCAGATAGGCAATTCTTATGATGTAGCAATTCAGGTAGGCAATTCTAATGGTGTACCAGTTCATGTAGGCAATTCTAATGATGTAACAATTCAGGTAGGCAATTCTAATGGTGTAACAGTTCATGTAGGCAATTCTTATGGTGTAACAGTTCAGGTAAGCAATTCTTCTTGTATAACAGTTCATGTAGGCAATTCTTCTTTTGTAACAGTTAATGTAGGCAATTCTTGTGGTGTAACAGTTCAGGTAGGCAATTCTTCTTGTGTAACAGTTCAGGTAGGCAATTCTTCTTGTGTAACAGTTCATGTAGGCAATTCTTGTGGTGTAACAGTTCATGTAGGCAATTCTTGTGGTGTAACAGTTCATGTAGGCAATTCTTCTTGTGTTACAGTTCAGGTAGGCAATTCTTCTTGTGTAACAGTTCATGTAGGCAATTCTTGTGGTGTAACAGTTCATGTAGTCAATTCTTCTTGTGTAACAGTTCATGTAGGCAATTCTTGTGGTGTAACAGTTCATGTAGGCAATTCTTGTGGTGTAACAGTTCAGGTAGGCAATTCTTCTTGTGTTACAGTTCAGGTAGGCAATTCTTCTTGTGTAACAGTTCAGGTAGGCAATTCTTCTTGTGTAACAGTTCATGTAGGCAATTCTTGTGGTGTAACAGTTCATGTAGGCAATTCTTGTGGTGTAACAGTTCATGTAGGCAATTCTTCTTGTGTTACAGTTCAGGTAGGCAATTCTTCTTGTGTAACAGTTCATGTAGGCAATTCTTGTGGTGTAACAGTTCATGTAGTCAATTCTTCTTGTGTAACAGTTCATGTAGGCAATTCTTGTGGTGTAACAGTTCATGGTGGCAATTCTTATGGTGTAACAGTTCATGTAGGAAATTCTTCTTTTGTAACAGTTCATGTAGGCAATTCTTCTTATGTAACAATTCAAGTAGGCAATTCTAATGGTGTAACAGTTCATGTAGTCAATTCTGATGGTGTAACAGTTCATGTAGGCAATTCTAATGGTGTAACAATTCATGTAGGCAATTCTGATGGTGTAACATTTAAAGGTCGGAAATTCTCATTGTGTAACAGTTCTGATAGGCAATTCTTCTTGTGTAACAGTTCATGTATGCAATTCTAATGGTGTACCAGTTCATGTAGGCAATTCTTATGATGTAACAATTCATGTAGGCAATTCTAATGATGTAACTGTTCATGTAGGCAATTCTAATGGTGTAACAGTTCATGTAGGCAATTCTAATGGTGTAACAATTCATGTAGGCAATTCTAATGGTGTAACAGTTCATGTAGGCAATTCTAATGTTGTAACAGTTCAGGTAGGCAATACTTTGATAACAGTTCAGGTAGGCAATTCTTATGGTGTAACAGTTCAAGTCGGCAATTCTTCTTGTGTAACAGTTCAAGTGGGAAGTTCATTTTGTGTAACAGTTCTGGTAGGCAATTCTTCTTGTGTAACAGTTCTGGTAGGCAATTCTAATGGTGTAACAGTTCAGGTTGACAATTCTTATGGTGTCACCGTTCAGAGAGGTAATTTTCACGGTAGAAAAGTTCAGGTAGGCAAACCATATTGCATAAAAGTTTAGGTTAGCAGTTCTTGCGGTGTAATAGGCAGCCAGGCAATTCTCATGGTGTGACCGTTTATGTAGACAGTTTTGATGCTGTTATAGTGCAGGTGGGCTACTCCTTTTGTGTAACAGTTAATAAAGGCATTTCAAATTAGATAACACTAAATTTTTTGGGTAATTCTAATGGTTTTATTTAATTGCAATTGTATTCTTGACATGGATAATTTTTGTTAGGCTTAAAAGAATTGAGTTGACTGTTGATTTAGAAAAAAAATTGTTCTACAATATCTCAATCAGGGGGAATTTGTCAACCCACACTTTATGTACTGGTACTTCATATAAAATTCAAGAAAAAAATATTTTCTTTCAGACATACAACAGTAACTCCAGACTGAAAACATTTTTTAAAGTGTTGTCAACAAATGTAGCTTCAAATGGGAAAGAATTTCTCTCAACAGTTGAAGGTCAGTTTCTTTAATGTCCGCGTGTTAAACATGAATCATTTTATAATGATAATTTCTTATTTACTGGTTACATTGTACCTTTCAGTCAATTTCAGACTGATATTGAAACTGACTAGAAAGGACAATGTTATCACTGATTTGGACTGTTGAGTCCAATTTTGGTTATGGTGGTTTGAATAATAATAATTGATAACTTTGTTTGAATATACCATATGTTAAAATTTCAGACAAGCATTTCAGAATACAGTTTTTGTCCTCTTAGCTATTGTCAAAACAAAGGACTTGTCACTGGTTGTTATCAAAGTAAAATAAATAAATTTCTTGAATCTTACCTATATGGCCAATGTTTCCTGTCTTAAATAGTTGTCAAGAACCTTTATGAAGGCTGAAAATTTCTTCCTTTTGTCATTTTCCCCCCGATATATTTTATCTAAATCAATAAATATTCCTCAAACAAGTTGGCCTATTCATTTCTCCCATTTTAAAGAAATGTTAACTAATAATCTCATAAATATTTATCCAAGGTGCTTTCTAATTATAAATATATATATTATTATTTCAGATATATTGGGTTAAGAATGAAATATTCAGACTCATTGTTGTAAAACAAGGTTCTCTTCTTACCCTCACTGTACTATTTCTAGATGTAAGTTAAGGTATAAAGCAGACCTAATAAACCTTGAAATATAATTTATGGTGTAAATGTTGATTTGTGTACATATATTTTTATGCCCCCGCCGTAGCGGTGGGGGCATTAAGTTTTACCCTTGTCCGTCTGTACGTACGTACGTACAAACGTACGTCCGTACGTCCCAAAATTGGTTTCCGTTCTCTAATTTGAGTTTGCCTCAACCAAATGTTATGAAACTTATACAAAATGCTTATAACCACAAAAAACAGATCTAGTTTGAATTTAACCGTTCTAGAGTTATGCCCCTTTATAAATGGAAAAATTGCAAAATTTTTAGTTTCCGTTCTCTAACTTAAGTTTGCCTCAACCAAATGTTATGAAACTTATACACAATGCTTATTACCACAAAACACAGGTCAAGTTTGAATTTTGGATTTTTTACAAGATATTGATTATTGGTTTTTATCTGGTGGGGTAAGCCTGCCATTGAATAAGTTAAATTTTATTTTTGGAGATTTATCAAAAGTTCGAAAAGGTGACCCATATAATTTGATTTTTCTATACATGAAACAATATATATACAACAGTAGATGTTTTTCAAAAGATCTTTCACTCAGTGCCATTAAAGAAAAGCTAAAATATATGTACAATTTAGAAAAAATAATGGCAGTCAAAAATAAGAGACAAGAGCACTTTGATACCATGTGGAATGCATTTAAAGAATTATTTTTATAACTCAATTTGTCATTTATTATTTACAGATAATTATTGTCAAAACTAACATATTATATTATTGTATCTAATAGCACAACTTATTATGTACTGAAAATCTTACAGGATATTTTAACCTCTTCTTTTTTTTCATAAAATACTTTAGCCTTCTCATGTGCCACACAGTGGTACATAAACATTTAACTCAAATTATCTTTTCTTCCGTATTTATGTTCTCTTTTCATATAAATATAAAACTGAATTTTCAACAATGTTTATTGTCATAAATAAATATATATTCAAATGTATTGCTAATATTACTGTATGTTTGTTTGATGTGTTGTATTTGTTGTTATTCTTGAAAATAATAAAAATTAAAAAAAAAAAGTTTGAATTTTGGTGGCGTCACTTTAACCGTTCTAGAGTTATGCCCCTTTATAAATGGAAAAATTGCAAAATTTTTATTTTCTTCTAAATATCAAGTAATTTTTAAAAATGGAGTTATCTTCCTTTGTCCAACTACAATCAATGCTTTATACAATGCAATGTTTAATTTTGACTTCCACTGATAAAACACAGATCAAGTTGAATTTGGGTAGTGTCACTTTAACCATTATCGAGTTATGCCCCTTTATAAATCGAAAGATTGCAAAATTTTTAGTTTCCATTCTGTAACTTAAGTTTGCCCCAACCAACCATTATGAAACCTATACACAATATTCATTACCACAAAACTAAGATCAAGCACAAATTTTTTGTTTCTGTTTTCTAACTTTAGTTTGCCTCAACCAAATGTTATGAAACTTATACACAATTGCTTATTACTACATAATACAGATTAAGTACGAAATTTGGTGGCGACACTTTTACCATTCTTGAGTTATGTCCCTTTATAAACATAAAATTGCTGAATTTTTCGTTTCCGTTCTCTAACTTTAGTTTGTCTCAACTAAATGTTATAAAACTTATACACAACCGTTCTAGAGTTATGCGTGTTTACAAATAGAAAAATTGCTGAATTTTTAGTTTCTGTTCTCTACTTAAGTTAGCCTCAACCAAATGTTATGAGACTTACACACAAGGCTTATTACCACAAAACTCAGATCAAGGTCAAATTTGGGTAGGGTCACTTTTACCGTTCTTCAGTTATGTCCTTTTATAACTATATGATAATAGATATGCAAGTGGGGGCATCATCTGTGTCCACATGTGGACACTATCCACATTTATTTAATTAGATATACACTACATAATCTTTAGGAAAAGTCTTCTCAAACCTCAACCATTAGCTCTCAGATGTTTTGTCCTCTGAATGATGTTGGCTATTCAGGTTTATACAGCTTGTTAGAAAAATTCTGTCAAACATTATTCACTGTCTTCATGTCAATCTTATTCTGCTTTTATTTTATTTTCAGCACATAAATATCCAGTATATGGTATACAATGGCATCCAGAAAAGAGTAACTTTTTATGGAACAGTAGATATACTGGATTAGTACATGACTTTCAGTCTATACGGGTCTCACAACATTTTGCCAACTTTTTTATCAGTGAAGGTAATTTAAAAAAAGAATAAATACAGCTAAAAAGAAGGAGATGTGGTATTTTTCCAATGAGACAACTACCCAACAGAGTTCAATGTGGTTGTTTTAATCAAATATAGGTTACTGAAGGTCTTCAACAATAAGCAAAACCCATACCTAATAGTCAGCTTTAAATGGCATGACAAAATGTAAAACAATTCAAAAGAAAAAAACCAACAGCCTGATATATTCCTTGTCTGTGTATTGTGCTTGTTCGTGCATTTTCAATAACTCATTCAGTAATGGCCTTCAACAGTTTTAGATGTTTTTGGGGGGTTTTCCTTTGACTATTTTGATAAAATTACAAAATTACTGTGACCTAGAATTAACCTACAAAAACAATTTTTTCATCAGAAAAATGTGATATACTATTAAAACTCAACAATTGAAAGCTTGTCTTTATTTTAGTAAGAAACCATATTTTTGACTCATCTAATTTTTATACGCCCGTTTACGGGACGTATTATGGTATACCGTTTTCCGTCCGTCTGTCCGTCCGTCCGTCATCAACATGTTAGACAATAACTCAAAAACGCTTCAACCAATTTGTATGAAACTTTGGTGCTTTGTTTATATCTATTGATGTAAGCTCGATTTTTATAAATTTTAGATTTTACGTTTCCGAGTTGTGGAATTTTTTTCATAAAAAAGGGGGGATTTTCAGTTTTCAGATGATAACTCAAAAGTGCTTTGAGCAGTTTTCATGAAACTTTGGTGACTCATTTATATCTATTAAAATAAGCTCCCTTTAGTTTTTTTATAAATTTCTGATATGACATCGAGAAGTTATGGAACTTTATTCGTTGAAAAAGCGACAGGCGTATCATGCCCTCATGGCACAGCTCTTTATTAATTGTGGTCCAATGAATAGAATGAATTGCAGTCCTTGTGCAACATATTGAAAGTAATTATTAGTACAAAAATATTGATAGATTATATATATAGTTTATACATTTGTAAATTTTGTATTAAAGAATGCACATTTTTTGTCTATTTTCAGCCAGGAAAAATAAACACAAGTTCCCAAGTGTTGAGATGGAAGCTAAAGCAATGATTAACAATTATCCAGTTTGGTATACAGCCGATTCTACATTTGAAGAAATGTATTTCTTCAACTATACAATTAATTAAATCATGCTTATGATATCAATCTGTTTGATTATTAAACAAAAAATCTTATAAACATGTAAATAGAATTTTAAACGGAAAAATCTTTCACCAGAGGATTGTTAACCTGTAAGTTTTCAAAGGTGACAATACAAAGTCATCTCAAAATTCTGAAAAAAGCATGTAATTTTAATTATACTTGAAATTTCTTAACAAATTATAGTACTGTTTGGTTTCGTTTGCTTTTTTTTTAACTTTAGATGTAATAATACCTTTAGTTATCCTTTTACATACTATTTTATTTTGATGTACTTTATGATGAGACCATGTCAACAAGTCCCTCGGCAGTTTATTTTATAATATGTCATCCTGTAATAACTGTATTATTGTATTAACATATGTATGTTTCTCAGAAATCCTAGGTCTCCAAGTCACTGTAAATATTCATCAACAATCATTTTTGACTGTGATATCTTATAATTGTATTCATTTTTACATTACTGATCCTGTTTAATAAATATACATTTACTTTTACATGTATTTATTGACTATCAAATACTGTAAATTCAGAAATTATTGCATACAATTGAGAATGTAAACGGGGAATGCGTCAAAGAGACAACAACCTGACCAAAGAGCAGAAAACAGCCCACGACCACCAATGGGTCTTCAACACAGCAAGAAAATCCTACACCTGGAGGCATGTTCATCGAAAATGGATGTCACACTATACTCCAAAACATATAAATGAACTAAAATTAAAATGCACTTATTATTGCGATTTTTGAAGAATGGAAAAAAATGTGAGATTCGTTATTGCGATACTCACCTAATTGCATTATTCACATTAATAAAAACCTCACAATTATTTCTGAATTTACAGTAACATATGCAGTCTCTCAAACAACACTGTAAATATTATTGTCATCATTTGGCCTACATTGTCAAGACTGAATATTCACATATGCATTTTAAAGAACCACAGAACAGAATGAAATCAAGCTTGGTATGAATGTTTCTCAGAAGGTCCTTTCCAGGCTTGTTACTTTGGTGCTAAGTTGTCAACAAATATGGCCACTTTGGTGCCAGTTTATGAACAAACATGGCCATTTTAAGCCTACATTATTGGCTTGGCTTTGGAAAAAAAAATTCAAGAACCATTCAATCACTTGGTTCCAACCCTAGCAGACCACTTTTTATGATTTTCTAAAAAGTGTGAATTTGTATGCCAATAGGAAACTTAGGTCAAGGTTGATATTGCAACTCATTGGGAATTTGATTTTAAGTTTCCTTTCAAGAATAGATGAAGTTAAATTAAATACAACCATGTAGAACTGTTCTTGAGAAGGTACTTAATAAATGTTTTGACTTTTTTCCTGACGAAAAATACAATATTGCTCTAAGGGGCAAAAATGCTCATTGGTCCAAATTTCAAGTGACCCAATCAGACCAAACTTCACTGACATGTTCCTTCACGGCTTTTTACAAGTGTTTTTTTTTTTTTTTTTTTTTTAAGGACATTATATATTTATTTATTCACCAAATATGCTTGTTACATTGTTACTTCAAGAAACCAAGCTTTTCTTGATGTATCCTGTTATATTCCACTGATTAACCAGGTTAGTAATCAGCTGCTGGTATATATGTATGTACACATTTCTTGAAATACAATTGTACAACATTTTTATGCATTATGTTTTTATCTATTCAATCGTCTATACTTCTTTTTACAAGTGTTGTTACCTTGGTGTCAATCTGCAATTCAAATTGTCAGCAAGTATAGGTAAAAATTTACATTAACACCAAATGAAAAATTAGATTTTGATTTTTATTTTCAAAAAGGGGCCTTGTTGGCTGAGTGGTCTAACTAGCCCATCTACACTATCACTAGCCTGTCAACACTGAGGTTACAAGTTAGAATTCTGCCTGTGGCATATTTGATTGATTGCATGTGGAAGGTTTTTCTCTGTTGGCACTCAGGCTTCCTCCACCAACAAAAACAGGCTGAATCGATATAGCCAAGAGTTCTGAGAAATGCGTTAAGCTCCAACAATCAATCATTTTCAGGAAATTATGAAGTTAAATAAAGAAAAAAACTAAGCAGAAATTTTTTTCAGAAGGAATTTACTAAATGTCGCTACTTTTTTGTTTTGATGAAAAGTCCTACATGGTTTTAATTTGTCAAAAGGAGTCCGATTAGTGTTCTTATTTTGCTACACTGCAATATTTTTAAGACCCTTCAGCTATGCAGGCGAAGTTTTGTCAGTTGAGTGATTCAGGAGTGGGGAGTCTCTTGTTCCGTTATGATTATATATGTAGCTGTATCGTGATATATAACAAATTCTCCATTCTCTGAAATTTAGGTTCTACTGTTGGTGGTTGTTGTGTTTTGTGCTCTCCAAATACTTTTGGTAATTTCTGCTAGCCTTTTTTATTTCAGCTTTCACTTAATTTGTGCTTAAACTTAACATAGAATACATTCCTGTAAAAGAATACCAACTGCAACATTGGGAGAATATATATAATGAAAGACTTGAATCTCTGAAATTTATTGATTAAAGAATATGTAAATATTGAAAATAGTTCTGTTAAACCTGAATTTTGAAGAAGAATTTTCCACTGAAAGAAATATAACTATTTTAAACATGACACAATAAAACAATTTCTTTAAAGAACATTTATTCATTTTCTCACAAGCTGCATACATAGATGGTGTTATGTTACTTTAGTATGTCTGAACAGCATTTCTCACTTTTTTAAAGATATTTAATGTTTATATATTGAAGAATGAATTGATATATAGAGCTTTTAATTATCATTTGTATTTTTTTGTTTTTCTTTATACTTTGAAATATTGTGTGTATTTTTTAAAAAATAGATAGAAAGAAAATTGTACATTATGAAAGTTATTGATAATATATGTTGAGATGGACCAAAATACACCATTATGTTCTTTTGCTACATGTGTACTTTTTTATTTACTGGGTACATCATTTCTATTAAAAAGATAAAAGAAATCAGATTTTTTTTCTAAATTAATTTGTGTATATAAATACATTCATATTTTATATGTTATACTGTTGGACCCTGAATGGAAATGTATAATTGCATCTTGAATCTAAAATACATATGTCAACCTATAAATGTCTACCAATTATTGAGTGGCATGGGATGGCTTTTTCATTGTCGTATACCCAACATATCCTTTTATTTCAATATTCTGCAAATGTGAGATCCAACAAAATTTATTCTGCGTCTTATATAATTTACACTTCTAATATAAATGCATGATGCTTGCATGTACTCAATGTTTCCTCAAACAAAATATATTAAAGCAAAACAGTTTTGTAGTTTTAAGAACACAAGTTCAGTTGGTTAAAAGGGTAACTGCTCATAATATTTGAAAGACCTTACAGGTTAAAAATTGTGCTGTTTCCAGGTCAAACTAGATATCATTGAGATAGGAGCCATCTCTGTGGGCCCCGCTGTAAATAACGTGTGGTAAAAAATTTGTATGGATAAGCTGATATGAAGCACTTTTTTAAGTTATTACATAGTCTCGTTATGTGCTGAGAGTGATTTTATTCTATGTTTTTTAGTTAAAGTGTTAAATTTGGCCTAGGAAGTTGTACATACATTATGACACACCCTCTAGTGTTGGTTAATATACATGTCAAGTATAAACTTTGAAATCAAAATGGTTCTCAAGATATAGAGCAGACATGATCTGTACCATAGGACATGGGGTTGTCAACTGAAACCAAAGTTTTTGACCTTGACCTTTGACCTAGGAAGTTGTACATACATTATGACACACCCTCTGGTGTTGGTTAAGGTATAAAACCACTAATTCATAGCCCCATTGCTTTCTATGTTAAATTCTGCAAATTCAAGCATTAATGGCTACTTTGTCTTAAGTTCAAATAAAGTGGCAGTTATTTCATGTCAAAACTGTACCTTATCCTGACTTGTGCTGAAAAAATCAACATACCTTTAATTGCATATTAGAGCGTACTGGTTCCCGGAAGTTTGATAGTACAAAAACAGGAACTTCTGATCTGAACAACAGGCCAAATGAGCCCTCCTATTAAAATTTCATATACTTCTTTATTATTCAAATAAAACTTTCAATAAGGGTTCTACAGTGATCCCAAGTCCCCAAGCTTTCATTTGATACTAAAACTACCCAAATATTCCAACTATTGACAAAGATACAGCTATGCGTAGGAACTATTTTGTTTACAATATGTACTACTTTCTTGTATGTTCTTTCCGACCGGGCCTGAATTAGTGGTTCTATACCTATAACAGCACCAAACTTGTTATATTGACTTCTGCTTGACTTAATTTCCTTCTGTGATCTATTTCTAGCATAGAAAAACACATCAAGCTTTTGTCAAAACACTATATCACTGAATTCAAGCTCAAATTGGACTGGTAGTAGCATATGCGTTAAACAAAGAAAACTACTTATGGATACTAATAGTGACAGATATAACACTTTTTCAATTTTTCCCAGCTCTGATTTGTTAATATCTACTCAAATAACAGTGTTCTTACCTATATGTTTATTTTTATCAGAGATTCTTCCTTCAATATAAATACAGTGGTCCAAACATAAAATATAATTGATAATTTTGTCCCCCCTTTTTTCTACATGTTGGAAAAGGAGAGTGATTTGGTAAAAAACCATACTTTTATGTATAAACATGGATCAACAAGAGCAATTTATGTATCTCCAAGCTAGACAACTTGCTAAAATGGTTATAAAATGCATTTCAAGTGAGATTTTGAATTTCTTACATAAGTATACACCAATTTTCCTTGAAATAAGTAATTCACTTAGAAACACAATAAAACATGAACACTCACTAGATAATTTGACCAAAAACAATATTTATACTGTAAACTAGTCATGATATACAAGTCATTGGTTTCAGTGTTAGATAATCCAAAAATTGAAATTTCGGGTAAAATCTTAACTGTGTGCATGCTAAATGACCAAAAAAGGCTAAAATACCTTATTTTAGCAATTTGAGGGTTGTAACTTGACACTAACATAATTGTTACATAAAAAAAAATAATGTAACATGATTTCTGACAACAAATGTGACCAATTTTCACTGTAAAGGGTATGATTTCTAAAAATAGAATTTCACATGCCTGTCAGTAATAGGTATAAAACCACTAATTCATAGCCCCATTGCTTTCTATGTTAAATTCTGCAAATTCAAGCATTAATGGCTACTTTGTCTTAAGTTCAAATAAAGTGGCAGTTATTTCATGTCAAAACTGTACCTTATCCTGACTTGTGCTGAAAAAATCAACATACCTTTAATTGCATATTAGAGCGTACTGGTTCCCGGAAGTTTGATAGTACAAAAACAGGAACTTCTGATCTGAACAACAGGCCAAATGAGCCCTCCTATTAAAATTTCATATACTTCTTTATTATTCAAATAAAACTTTCAATAAGGGTTCTACAGTGATCCCAAGTCCCCAGGCTTTCATTTGATACTAAAACTACCCAAATATTCCAACTATTGACAAAGATACAGCTATGCGTAGGAACTATTTTGTTTACAATATGTACTACTTTCTTGTATGTTCTTTCCGACCGGGCCTGAATTAGTGATTCTATACCTTAATATACATGTCAAGTATAAACTTTGAAATCATAACTGTTCTCAAGATATAGAGCGGACACGATCTTTACCATAGGACATGGGGTTGTCAACTGAAACCAAAGTTTTTGACCTTGAACTTTGACCAAGGAAGTTGTACAAACATTATAACACACCCTCTGGTGTTGGTTAATATACATGTCAAGTATAAAGTATGAAATCATAACGGTTCTCTAGATATAGACTAAGAGTGGACACAATTTGTTACGGACGGACAGACAGACAGACTGATCACTATAGGGCAACCCGCCACTAGGCAGGGCCCTAATAATGGCAGTCCTATTAACATCAATTGAACTTGTCATACCAGAATTATATCCCTTTCTGGATATCTTTATTATGTAATTTAACCTATAATTTATAAAATTTATAAAATATAATATATCCCTAAAATCTATCAAATCATTGTGCTTGAAAGGTTTATGGACAGATAAATAGGTTATAGCAATATCACTTTCGGAATAACCTGATTGGTCCTAACAAACATGGACATCTATGTGAAAAAAGACATGAAATAAAATTTAATATAATAGTGCATGTTACTAGCCAGAAACTTAAAGAAACAGCACTGTTGTTTCTTTTACCATATGAGAAATATGGTCACAACAATAAAAGAAAGTACTGAACAAGAATGCACACATCATGATGCTAGGCAATTCCTCACCCATAATTCAAAGTATCGGATAACAGGAAGTAGGTTTCTGAAAGATTTGAAAATGCTCAAACGTTACAAGTTATCACTGATAAGGTGTTGACTGAAAGTACTCGATAAAAGTGTGATGAAAATTTTATGTTTATTTAACATAATGAAAAATTCAAAATAATGGAAAGCAGGAACTTAGAAAGTAGGTGTCTGACAGATTCCCCTAAAATGCTCAAATGTTACAACTCATTGCTGTCAAGCTGCTGTCCAATCAAGTGATTCTGTTTTGAAGTACTGGAGAAAAGTGTGGCCTTTTAAGTTTATTTAACGTGTTGAAAAATTCAAAGTTTTAAAGGTTAGTTATTCAAGTTTTAAAATCTATTCAACATATTAAAAAGTTCGAAGTATCAACAAACAGGAAGAAGGTGTCCAATAGATTCCAAAAAATGCCCAGGGATTACAACTCAGCACTGTCTAACTGATGACCAAATTTGAAGTCATTCTGGTCAATAGTACCGGAGAGTAGTGGGACGAAAACATTTCTTGGACAATGGACGGACAAGGTGAATGCAATATAGCCTCCACTTTCAGAGTGGGGTATAATATTTCTAAAAGAAAAGTTCTCATATCCTTTGAAAAATAATTATATAGTGTATACCCGCTTCTATATAAGAATTATAAAATTGTTTTTTTCAATATGTAATTTTCCTGCTGAACACCTCTGCTTAATGTTCTGTATCTGTATCTGTATGAATACGTTGTCGATACCAATACTGGCTTTAATACAACGGTTTGAAAGAGCGCCGCCGATTTATTGACGGGGCGTGAGAGCAGATTTAAAGCTCTCTACGCTTGATGCGCGCACTACAGTGTCGTCTAGCTGATTCCACGCGATCACTGTCTTTACAAAGAATGAGTTTGTATATTGTGGTGTTTTGCTTGGTGGAATGTCAAAACACTTAGAGTGATTTTTTACTTGTTTTTCCACAATATTTGTTGCGTGGTATTCTTCGAATTTCTTGGCAGTTATGGTTCTCTTCGGACGTGCTTTTTTGAGGAATTCGTCTGGTTCAATAGCGGGAACCAGTCCCTCAACCACTTTGTACATAAATATTAACTTCTGGCATGTTCGTCTTGTCTGGAGATCTTGTAGTTCCAGTTGGGCAAGCATTTTGGAGACACATCCGTCCTCTCTTGACTTGTAGTCTCTGGTGATAAATCTTGCCGCTTGGCGTTGTATCCTTTCAAGCTTATTTATGTTAGTTACTGTGTAGGGGTCCCATACTATGGCTCCATATTCCATCGTTGATCTGACGAGCGAGATGTAAGCTGTTTTTTTACAATCTTGTGGGCAGTATTTCAAGTTTCTTCTTAGAAAGCCTAGTGTTGAATTTGCTTTCTTTGCCACGTTTGATATGTGGGTGGTCCATTTGAGGTCCTCCGAAATTTGTAAGCCTAGGTACGGGTTATGCTGGACTTGCTGTAGTATGTGTCCATTTAAACTGTAGAATTTATGGCTCTTGTTTCTGATGCTTAGGATGTAGCATTTTTTGGCATTGAACCGCATTCCCCAGTTATCTGCCCATACTTCTAGGTTTTTGAGGTCTTCTTGAAGTATGTCGTGGTCTTTCTGAGATTTCACTGTTCTGTAAAGAAGGCAGTCATCAGCGAAAAGTCTGACTGAAGATTTGACGGCGTCTGGGAGGTCATTTATATGGCAAAGGAATAGCAACGGTCCCAGGACTGTGCCTTGTGGGACTCCAGAGTCCACCGTTACTTCTTCTGATTGTTCTCCTTCCACTACCACTTTCATTTTCCTGTTTGTCAAGAACATATTCAGCCAGTTGTTTATTGGCCCACGGATTCCATAATCGCCCATTTTTGATAGTAGTTTCTTATGGGGTACTGTGTCGAAAGCCTTTGAGAAGTCTAGTATGGCAATATCGGTTTGTAGTCCGGCATCATATGCTTTCATGAAGTCGTTCATAGTGACAAGTAGTTGGGTTTCACATGAGTAACCGGATCTAAAACCATGGTTTAAAGATGTTAAAACATCATGCTTTTCTAGATGTTTCATTATGTGCCTGCATATTATATGTTCCAGGATCTTACATGGTACTGATGTTAACGATACAGGTCTGTAATTTTCAGCAGCATGTTTATCGCCTTTTTTGAAAACGCATGATATGTTTGCGTTAAGCCAATGTTTTGTATTTGGAACTCACCAACTTTAAATTATGAGAATTGTGAATGTAAATATACCTTTGTTGCAGTGTATTCTTGGAGTTTAGTGTGGCATCCAATTCGCTAAACTAGTATACATTATTGTTTAGGTGCCAGCTAAAGCCCTCTTCTGGGTGCGGGATTTTCTGGCTACATTGAGGACCCAATGGTGGCCTGGGCTGTTTTCTGCTCTTTGGTCGGGTTGTTGTCTCTTTGACACAATCCCTGTTTCCATTCTCTATTCTATAAACAATAGTGAAATCAAGAAAAAGTCGGCAAATTCCCTTTTCATATTAAAGGTTTAATGTATTTTTTGGAGTAATACTGGACGATAAAAGACTATGCAGTTGATACATTCATGGAGTAACAAACAAGATATGCATGTTTATTCTATGTTTAATCAATAGTAAAAAATCTGACAGCACTGAGAAAAAACAACACAAGCATGAAAAACTCTGATTGAAATTACTACATAAGCATAACAAAAATGTTACAAACATAAAATACAAATGAAAATAAACACCAAGAAATAGTGCTACTTAGGGAGCTACCATTTGATTTTTATGGGGGGGGGGGGGGCTAGGATGAAATTTGAAAAAAAAAGCAGGACAGAAGTTTTGAGTAAAAAAAAAGGCAGGATGAGCAACTTGGCAAAAAAAAAAAGGCAGGATGACAAATTATGTATAATAAGTCAGGATAAACTAATAAAAAAAAAGGCAGGACCGAATAAAGTGAAAAATAAAAAGGCAGGACCGAGATTACAACTAAAAAAAAAGGCATGACACAATTTTTTATCCTAGTCCCCGCATAAAAATCAAACGGTAGCTCCCTTATAAAATTATCAATCATAATATAGTATTTTTTTCTGAGTATTTACTGGTGGTTTTTAGATAATTGTATTTCTAAATCTTCTGTAAACTTTAACAAATAAAAATCACACTTTATTTATTCATTTAACAAAGAATAATAAAAAGATATGACTCTTCAGTAGAGTCAACATTTATTTCAAAATGAGTACCTACGTTTGTGTACATGAAAATTTGTACATGTCTTAAAAGTCCTCACACTTATATACAGGTATTGGAATGAAGTTCTGGTTTGGTGTGATTTTCCAGAAGCAGACGCTCTTTTCACAAAATCTTAAGACAAAAAATGATCGTAAGTTATACTGAAATGTTCATGACTTAGCTAGGATAAACCATGTATGGCATGGTGGCTTGACTAATAAGATCAAAATATCTATATCTGTAAAAATCTCATATGAACTGAAACATCTGAACTACATGTGTACAGGTATTTGAATAATAGACCCTTATAGCTTACTTAGTTTCAAGAATATACAATAAGCCATGTCAGAGGAGGTGCCGCCAATTACAAAATTTCTTAACTTTAAAGGTACATAAATCAATTATATTACAAAGTTTAATGTGAACTGGCCAAATACTAAGCAGATTCCAATATTATGTAACCCCCACCAGTACATAATGGGGTTAAACCACAGGCACTTGTCTCTGAAAAAAATTTACCTACATACTTTAATATAACACAAGGTATCTAACTCCTATATTTGAGAAATGTAACCCGTAATTTTGCAGTTGTCTATTCCAGTGAAACTTGTTATCCGATAAATCTACATTTAATTATCTACAAAATGGTGTATAACTCGTCTATTTCTATTATTGGAATCATTCATATTAGGCCTTCCAAATATGTGAACCGTAATTATTTCGTCTTCTCACAGCCCTTTGGATATAAGCTTGTTATACACCATTTTGTAGATAAATCAATGTTACTGAGATTTATGGGATAACAAGTCTCAGTGGGATAGATAACTGGAAAATCGAAATATAACGGAAGTTCGTGACCGGGTGGCATTTCTCAAATATACGAGTTAGGTACCTTGTGTTATATTACAGTATATAGGTAAATTTTTTTCAGAAACAATTGCCTGTGGGTTAAAACATCACAGTAGTAATTTCTTGTTTTTAATTAAGTTTATTGCTGAAATTTCAGGTCAAAATATAACATCACTACCTCATATACAAATTCTAAACTGACCTGAAAATATCGGATATATTGGTTACAATACTATGTGGTTATTCTGTAATTTTCTAAAAATAAATAATTTCTATTTTCTATTTCCAATGTTCAGAACTACAAATTGGCATGTTCATAAAAATGCATCATAAGATGATAATTGTAGTCTACTTCTGATTCAATAATCTTAAAGCTGCTATACCAGATTTTATGCAACAGATGAAAAGAGGACGAAATTCCATGTATCTCTTTTAACATTTACAACAAACTTTACAACATATTAAAGTGATACAAAAGGAAAATTAAATAAAACAATTAAAATCTACATAAAGTATAAAATTCAATTTAAAATTGTTGAGTTTTAAAAAGAAGAATTTATATTTTGAAGCTTATTTAGCTCTGCAATTCACTGAAAAATAAAAAAATATATCGGATAGAAACATTTTCAAAATTTTTGCAAAATGCAATTTGCAAAAATTTGCTTCAGCATAAGTTTAATAGCCCTTTTAAGAAAACCATTTCGGAACTCAAACTATAATAGGAAGCCAGTTATTTCCCTTGATCATGAGTATTGTAATAGTGAAAAATATATAGAAAGTTATTTATAACTTAAATCAAAAACATTATTCAGTTTTATAATGAAGTTTTATTACAGATGTTTTGGAAGGAAAAACATTTTTCATACAAATACATTGAAAGTAATGGATAGAAAATATTCATATATCCATTTAAAAAATGTTGAGGTTTCTCTACAAAAATTCTTCAGTATCTCTTATACTTAAATGAACTGTTATGAATATATTACATTTTTTCATCTCATTAAAACAAAATATCTTTTTCCATAAAAGACCTTCAATACATTTTTACTGACAAATTTGGTTCAGACTGGCTTATAAATAAAAAATCTAGTTTCTATAGGATTAAATGGGAACAAATGGGAATCAAACGCCAGCATGTTTGTCATATCACAGGCATCTACCATTTATCATTTCACAAAATTTGGCAGAATTACACCTGATAGTTCAATATGAAATAAAGATTATATTCGAATTACAGAAGTATCTCCTTTTACAGTATTTTTGTAAAGTTTGGATAACTATAGCTCAAAGGGCGCTTAAGGACAAAAGAATACTTCTAAAAAAAAAAGGATAGTTGTGAAAAAGCAAAACTTTTTTAGTTATTTTTTTCTACCTTAAAATTTTTATCATCAAAATGTCAAAATTTACAAAAATATGAAATATTGACAAGAATATCAAATCAAAACACGTGTATAAAAATAGCACAATAACATTTATATTTATATCACAGATTTTATGATGTAAAATATATAAAACATGGTTATTTATGTGTTTATAGGCTTGTAGTTTTTACTTAGTCAGGAAAGTAAATAATTCATTTGGAAAGTTCGCACTCTTAGCTGTTATGAATACACAAAAATAGCCATATTTAGATATAAAATCACAGGTTAATAATAATGCACAATTCCCATTAACATACAAATAACACAACAACATTATTAAAAATTAATGAAAAAAAAAATCGTAGTAACCATTTTATCATATCTACATATTCAAACAATACTTTCAACCACACATTTATTAATACTTCTATGGTAAAACAACAGGTTAAAGAATCTTTCTCAATTTGTCAATAACATTTGTAGGTTAAAGAATCTTTCTCAATTTGTCAATAACATTTGTAGGTTAAAAATCTTTCTCAATTTGTCAATAACATTTGTAGGTTAAAGAATCTTTCTCAATTTGTCAATAACATTTGTAGGTTAAAGAATCTTTCTCAATTTGTCAATAACATTTGTAGGTTAAAGAATCTTTCTCAATTTGTCAATAACATTTGTAGGTTAAAGAATCTTTCTCAATTTGTCAATAACATTTGTAGGTTAAAGAATCTTTCTCAATTTGTCAATAACATTTGTAGGTTAAAGAATCTTTCTCAATTTGTCAATAACATTTGTAGGTTAAAAATCTTTTCCATGATAATTTTCTGTACTTCTTTTTATCTAAACTGATTCATGAATTCCTTATCACAGATAGTGCTATTTCAATCTATAATGCATGAGTCACTGATAGAATAAAAAATCTCTTGAATTCATTCTATAATGCATGAGTCATTGATAGAATAAAAAATCTCTTGAATTCAATCTATAATGCATGAGTCACTGATAGAATAAAAAATCTCTTGAATTCAATCTATAATGCATGAGTCATTGATAGAATAAAAAATCTCTTGAATTCAATCTATAATGCATGAGTCATTGATAGAATAAAAAATCTCTTGAATTCAATCTATAATACATGAGTCACTGATAGAATAAAAAATCGTGAATTCATTCTTCTGTTTCTGTTTCTTTTTTAACATGTTATACTTATTTAAAAATAGGAAAGAAGGAATTCCTAATACCATTGGTCGATACAGTGAATCTGGCTGTTCATCAGACCACTCAATTTTCAATAAAGGTTTGCCTGCAGACAATTTATCAAAATACACAAAAAGGATGGACAGTAAACAAATTGAAACATTAGGTTCTTTTGCCACATACTGATCTACATAAAATATGAAAACAATACATGATATATAATGTGGTCTTACAGCTTTATATATATCAATAAACTACATAAAACCAGACTTGTTGAAAGTTTCTTGATTTCACTTCACTTTCACTGAAGACCACTCTATAAAAATAAAGATTTTGAATCATCATGGAGGGGCATAAAGGGGGGGTATCTGCACGGAAGAACGCGAAATAAATTTGCCATTTCACGATGAACAAACAATTAAAAATTACTTGCACGTTGATCTTTTTACCGATTTCACGAAACACGGTGAATAACGAACCTTTTTCACGACTGCACGTGAAATAAAAAGGGCAAAACACATTGCACGAAAATAACCCTTTACCACCCTCATCATGTCCTTCATCTTCAGACATCAATCAAATATAAGATTGTTAAACACTTTTTTCCTTCTAGTAAAAAATCAGTTTCTAATTTGACACAATTTGCTATGATCGTTGATTATTGTGAAAGACGTCAGGCTGTAATCTCCTTAGGTTGTGGACTCATTTCCTTTTCTGTCACTCGTTTGTTGAAAGGAAGAAGACAAAACACCTGTAAAACAGATAAACATTATTGTCTGCAATAACTTTTTTTAAGGCAATTATAATGTACAACTTAAAGATGGAATGCGCAGTTTAATCATTCAAGAAACATTACTGTAAATTAGTTTCCTTACAATAATAATTAAAGAACCTTTGAGAGCACGCTCACATACCCCACGCCCCACATTGTTACTGAGCAAAACAAAATCTCATAAGCTTCCATAGTTCAAAGACTCATAACTCCAACAACTGATAAAAGTTTCTTTTGGATATGCACATCTACATATTATGTCCTTATTCATATCTACAAAATTTCATGAAATTCTATTGTGTGGTTTCAGAGGAGTTGCATTGACAAACTGTCGCAGTAGTCTATTATGGCCAAAATTCTAAATTCAAAGGGGCATAACCCTCTATGAATCGGTAAGGGATCAGTAGCTAACCATATAACTTATAATGAGAGGACTATAACTACCCAACTCAAAAATGCGGAAAAATGAAATGTTTAAAAGATTTTCTATATCTAAGAGCCATTAAACTTCTACAAAAATCACTCAACAGGAACTGTACTTCTTATGGTACGACTTTTTGTCAGATATCTAAGCATTGCTAAAAAAAGTGCCGGAAACATGGACTGGCAGACCTTAGACTAAGCCAGTAGGGGACTATTAAACAGAGTTTATATGATTTGTGTAATGACATTATGTAGTGTCAATATCTGAAAGTTAATGGGAAATCTCTTCACTTGGATCACTTATTATAAATGACGTTGTCTCCCCCATGATTAAAGACAAAATCTACTCTTTTTCTTTTCGAAATCCTATAAATCATTTGATGAAATAAAGGTGTTAGATAAATTTCGTTAAGATACCAACCTTACTACACAAGCAAACAAAAACAGCCAAAGGCATTTTGCAATAGCTACTCATAAGATCTTACTGAAATACATTTGCTTGGACAGACTTAAATACATCACTTTTTTATAGATTATAAAATATGACAATGACAGACAACATGATTCTCAAACAAACTTATGAACTGAAAAAGGAAGCTAAACTGAGTCAGTCCTGTTAACATAGATATATGTCCTTCTAACCTAATGTCTTGTACACAATTGAAATAAAAATAAGACAATTTTGAAATTCTGAAAAGATATGAAGGCAAATCATTTTCCTGCTGCAGGTAGTATTCCCCTTAAGAGGATCAGAAACAATATACCTGCACTTGGTAAATACCTGCAAGGTACATTCTTGTCATATATCTTTTTAGAATATTCAGCGGTTCTTTAGATTATAAGTATTTCCCATTGTCAAATGGAAAGCTATTTCTTGTTTGTGGCCATAATAATTGCACCAAACTATTAGTAACATTGACTTCTGAGGGTCTCAAATTAATTATTTCTTTTATATTTGGCTTCACCAGGTTCAAATTCTTTCAAAAAGAAAGATTCTTCATTCAAATAATTCCCAACTGTTGCAAAGGTGGCCATTTTTGATAAAAAACAAAACAAAAAAAAAACCCAGAATTACTCTTTTCCCCTTATGATTAAGTCCATTAGAAAGTTGTTGTTTTCTAATTTTGCCACAAAGAAACGTCTTTTTATGATCAAAGTAACCAATTTATATTGATTGATTGATTGGTGTTTAACGCCACTTTCAACACTATTGTGCTATTTCCTGGCGGTCACTTTTTATTGGTGGAGGAAGCTGGAGTGCCTGGAGAGTACCACCGACCTTCGGTAGGAAAACTGATAATCCTAGTCAATTAAGATTGGAGTCGAGTGCACCTGCCCCGTGAGGGATTCGAACTCACAACCTCAGTGTTGACTAGCTAGTAATACAGTAGTTAGACTACTAAGACCACTCGGCCACCGAGGCCTCCCCCAAGTTATATATTTGAATAGAAACATGGGATTCCTTATATGGAGTACATCTGCTGTATTTTGGATTGTTCATTTCCTGTTCCTAATTTTTGGTCCTGACCGCCTATATTTTTTTTTATGTATTTTACTGTTAAAATAAAAATAAGGAGATGTGGTATGATTGCCAATGAGAAAACTATCCACCGAAGTACAAATGAACTGGATATAAGCAATTATAGGCAACCATATGGCCTTCAACAATGAGAAAAACCCATACCGTATGGTCGGCGATAAAAGGCCCCGAGATGAAAAATATGAAACAATTCAATTGAGAAAACTAACGGCCTAATTTATAACAAAACAGTTTACAATTCAGTTAAGTTAAAATTTCTGCCCATGTTTGTCTGTATAACCTGGCACCCATTCATAAGGTATTACCCAGCTAAAAATCAATTATTACCATCTTTGAGACAGCTACCATTAACTATTTTGTAGATTTAATTACCTTTAGTTTTGAGGTTATATGTATGTTGACAAGTATATCCCTAACATGCTATCATATGTTTTGCTGATATAATTTACTACATCTTTATTGCACCATGCATAATATATTTCCATTTAGAGCACAACACATCTTTACCTCTCAAAGACTTAACTAAAGAAGGATAAAACCAAATTACATGGGTATTTTAAAACAAAAAAAAGTGTTTAAATGGTGGATTTCTCTATTCAAACTTAAGTCTGCTTAAATTCTAGCTGGTTACAAAAAGGAAAATCTATTACTTACGTCACAGATTATTTTCATTAATCTTAATATGGCTATAACATTTGATAAATTACTGCATACATGAGATCTGGCACCATAAAACTAGGTTTAACTCACAACTTTTACTGATAGCTGAGTCTGAACCATGTCAGGAATATAATAGTCATTGTTTCATTGTTCCATCAGTTAATGAAGTGTTTTCCTGTCCTAGCATGTATGTGTATTTTCCAGTTTTGACACCACTGTAAATGCTTGTATAGTACATTGGTTGCTTACCTTTCCTAGTTGTATCAGAATTTGTTGAATATTGTTTGATTTAAAGACTAATATTGTGCTTAGTTTTGACTATTTTTAGTATTTTGTAAGCATCCCAATAAACCAGTGATAAGATGTTAATTGAGACAATTTAATACCATGTACAAATAAACACATATGTTTAGTAATCTTTCTTATCCCTAAAAATCCAAAACATAAAAGTTAATATTGTAATCACACAAATGACAAATTGTATTGCAATTGCTCTTTGAAACAGTAGATTCGATTGAAAATTATCTTATATTTTGTGGGGGTAAAATCAATGGTTTTATCTATTGGAATGCGAAAAGCAATTACAAATAACTATTCCCTAAATCTAAAATTTCATTTTGAGAGGTACAATTCAGCAATTGCATTATAATTGTAATAATGGTGATATATCATATTACTAGCTAAGTTCAATCTTCTATTTAACTGTAAGAAAATTTTGTTGTGCAGAAAAGCTCAAATTCTGACAGTAAAATCAACAACCAATGTCAACAACTATAAACACATTTTACCCAAGTGATTGGAACTATCAATGTAGGAGACAGTGAGTTAGTAATATTTTATTAAATAAAAACAGAAATGTTTTACCTTCAGTCTACTTAAAAAGGAGTTTTAAAACTTCTGCAAATCAAAGTTTCAAGTTAGTGATAAAGCAAGAATGAAATGGAAAATATCTATAGTTTCAACCAAATACAAACATGGAAAATATCTATAGTTTCAACCAAATACAACCATGGAAAATAACTATAGTTTCAACCAAATACAACCATGGAAAATAACTATAGTTTCAACCAAATACAACCATGGAAAATATCTATAGTTTCAACATAAATACAACCATGGAAAATAACTATAGTTTCAACCAAACACAACCATGGAAAATATCTATAGTTTCAACCAAATACAACCATGGAAAATAACTATAGTTTCAACCAAACACAACCATGGAAAATATCTATAGTTTCAACCAAACACAACCATGGAAAATATCTATAGTTTCAACCAAACACAACGGTACCATGAAAGTCCAAAAATTTAACTTCAGCTGAATGAATGGACTATTTATCTTTCTGTAAAAAAAAATTATCTCTAGCAACATAAAGTTTAAATAATGTCTAGTTCTTATATTAATATGCTAGGAAAAATACATAATGAAAGTGCAATAAAAGATTAAAAAAAAAGGATAGAGTGATTGACAACATTACAGTGTTGTTTTATAAAAGAGAAGAATATAATTGACAATGTGATAGTACTATATACTGTGGATTTATGCATTTTTGTGAGCACCAATCTATGTGGATTGAGGGAAAGTTGCATTTTGCAGGGTACTAGATGTTTGGTTTTAACAAATTCTGAATACAAGCCTTTAGAAAATTTGCATTCTGTTGAACTGTTTAATCTATGGTTCACCTCTATTTCATAAACAAGAGTGCACACGCTGAAATGTCTCGCCTGTTTTACTGACCATTGATTTTATGTTGAAAGTCTTAAAGACAAAGGTTTTACTACAAGAATCACATAAACTTAACATTCTTAAAGATCCATGACAATAAGGTCAAGGTCAGATAAAAACTGTCACCCAGACATGTACACCTCACAATTATTCCATACACCAAACATAGTTGACCCATTGCTTATGGTAATCAAAAAACAGACCAAAACACCAAAACTTAATGTTAACCAATGAACCATGAATATGAGGTCAAGGTCAGATGATACTGGCTAGACAGACATGTACACCTTACAATCATTCCATACACCAAATATAGTTGACCTATTGCTTACAGTACTTGAAAAACAGACCAAAACACAAAAAATCAACAACGACCAATGAACCATGAATATGAGGTCAAGGTCAGATGACACCAGCTAGACAGACATGTACACCTTACAATCATTCCATACACCAAATATAGTTGACCTATTGCTTACAGTACTTGAAAAACAGACCAAAACACAAAAAATCAACAACAACCAATGAACCATGAATATGAGGTCAAGGTCAGATGACACCAGCTAGACAGACATGTACACCTTACAATCATTCTATACACCAAATATAGTTGACCTATTGCTTACAGTACTTGAAAAACAGACCAAAACACAAAAAATCAACAACAACCAATGAACCATGAATATGAGGTCAAGGTCAGATGACACCAACTAGACAGACATGTACACCTTACAATCACTCCATACACCAAATATAGTTGACCTATTGCTTACAGCACTTGAAAAACAGACCAAAACACAAAATAATAACAATGACCAATGAACCATGAATATGAGGTCAAGGTCAGATGACACCAGCTAGACAGACATGTACACCTTACAATCATTCCATACACCAAATATAGTTGACCTATTGCTTACAGTACCTGAAAAACAGACCAAAACATAAAAATTAATGATGACCAATGAAACATGAAAATGAGGTCAAGGACAATGGGCATATGACAGATGGAAACTTCGTAACATAAGGTATCTGCATACAAGGTATGAAGCATCCAAGTCTTCTACCTTCTGAAATATAAAGCTTTATACAAATAGTTTACGCCGCCGCTGTCTCACATACTGCGACTTTCATTGCAGGCGAGACAAAAATTGTATCCTGCCTATAATGATGAATCCACAGAAGTAATATTTAAAATTTTGTTTACATTGATAAAAGTAAAAAAAATAAAAAATCAGAAAAAACTCTGGTGTCATATGATTTAAGCTCATTCTATTAATGTTTTCCTCTTCAAAATTCAAAATTTGTTGATTTTAATTGACCTTTTTTCATTCCTAACACCTGTGATGAACAATTTCTAGTGAGTATTTGACCTTACCAATATTAATCATTGCCAACAAATCACAGAATAATGAAAAGGCAAGAATGAGGTAATCTTAGCATTCCATTTTGATCTTGCCCCCATCCAAAGTGAAAAAGGAAGATCATTTATTTCTGTATAATGTTTATATCAAAATATTTTAGAAGAATTTTAGTAAATAGGATAATTCACTATAAAAATTAACCCTCTCAATTTTAGAGCTTAAAATGTATTTTAAACAATTTTTAACTCCTGTTACCAAAACAGGAAATATACTGTTTTGTACGTAACGAATATTCTGACATCTGCATATTTTTGTTCAGTCAGGTTTCCCATTGCTTAATACATACCCCTGAACACGACTATTCTTTAAATCAGGTTATGGGACTTTTGCTTACAAACTTTTTTATCAACTTCATTTGATACCTATTAGGGACACAGTCTTATAAAAGTTATGAAAATACATCTTAACACAATTCCCATAACCAATCTGTTTATGCATGCATATAACATCTATTGTATAAAATACAAAATATGTAAATTTCTGTTAAAATGGGTTTTTGTTCTTGTTCATTTTTCATTCTAACAATTTTCTACCAAGGTAAAAAATCAACAGAATCTACATATATCAAACTCAGGGAGGGATACTATACAGAAAACATAGCTTACTTTTCTCGTTGAGAGTAGACTTTGAACTTTGTGAAAAATTGCATGGAACTAGGCAGAAAACCTGCATAGAATAAGAAAAGCATATAACATACATCAAGAAAAATGGTGCAAGATACATGTATTTAGTTAAAAACAATGCCATGAAATGTGTTAGCATATAATCAAAAATAGTAGTTTTAAAGGTACCGGGTATTTTATAACAGCCAATTCTTGTAAAAAAAAAGGCAGTTTCCCAAATTAGCTATTTCAACATCATTTCATGACATTTTTATAAAAAAAATTCTATTCTACAGCCATCTACTTATCAAGTTAAACAATTTCCAGTTTTCAAATCTCATAATTGCCATGTTTCTTTAAGGGAGGACCATTACAGTATTTTTTAAAAGATCTCCATTAATTTGCCAGTTTTAACCATTAACTTAGAAACTTAGTAACAACTGTCCTTACAATAATGTACTTGGACATAGATTTAGTTCCTTGTTTCTGTAAATATAAAAACTTAAGTCTTTGTCCCTTAGGGCTGCTCCATAAAAACATACATGAAACCCAGGAAAGGCACTTTGAAAAAAACTTATCTGGGGCTCGGAGTTTTTGGTAAGAGAAATTCTAAAATTGCTTCTATAGATGGTTACTTCATTTTCAATGTGCCTTCCCTGGGAATCATGTATCTTTTGATGGACTCCTACATTCAATTTTACAGCAGTGTCTTAGATTAAAGTTCAAGATTTGTCTTTTGAGTTTTACGTGATGCATATCTGGTAGATAAATTGGGTGATAACTTTTTACTGGAAAGGACTATGATAAAAGTGGGACTTTTGACATTCCTTAAACCTGGTTCATTTCATTACTAATGTGCCTGTGCCAAGTCTGGAGTATGTCAGTCATTCAACAATTCACCATTTCAGAATCTAATGCACTATGGGTAATTTCATTGTTTGTATCCCAAAATAAAAATAATGTCAAGCCAATGGTGAACTTTCCATTGTTTAGGATGGTTTTTTTAAATCAATCAAAATGTTTAAGTGTACCCATTTGAAAATATTACCATAATGCATAATAGATGCTTCAATGATGTTAAAGAATGATTCTGAATTAAAAAAAAATATTTGTTGGACTAATTTAAAGGATGTTGTGAAAAAACGTTCATATTTAATACAATATAAATATGACTCCCTCTTTGCTGTGTCTGTGTTTTTGAAGTCTTCATTGTTTTGATTCAAATTACCATTTACATAAAAGAAAAAAATTCAAAATGTACAACAGTTTATAATAACAAATATGAAATCATGCAAAGTTTTTTATGCAGTTTACAAGAAAAAGAAATAAATTAGAAGGCTATACCAGTAAAACCTTTCCTGAACTACAACTGCTATTACTTAATAATAGTAGACTGAACCAAATACTTCGGGAAACTGTGACATTTTAAATGGCGGAAGGTAACCATCAAGACAGATTCTACTGTATAGCATCACAATAAATGTGCTTTGACAAACCTGGTCTGTTGAGTAAAGTTTAAAAGAAGCATTTGGATTTGTTATGACATATCGTTTTGATGATGGACTTGTCTGTACTTCATTTGTGTCGCGGAATCTGTACAAACCAATACAAAGTATTCCTAACTTCTTTAGTGCATAAAGGAACAAGTCTCCATAACTTCCCTCTTCCTGCAACACATGTTTTTTTATAGATAATATTAATTCTATAATTTATCTAAAATATGAAAATTCTATGTATACAATATAGTACTAGTACTGTTTTACAAGTTACAAATGTAAAATGAAACTTTAATGTTACATTCATAAGCTTGAAGTATTGTTTATATTAGTTATTTTCAATGTTAAAAGCAGATCTACTTTTTTAGGGAAATGATACAACAATGATAAACAAGATTGACAAGAAAAAAAGATCTGCCATCTACATATTAAATCTTCATCAAAGCATGGTTTGTGTCAATTTACCTTACGATTGAATATCATTTGTTAATTTTCATAACTTCAATTTAACTATTGAAAAATAAAGTTTTCATAAGCTAACTTCTGTGCTAAGTTATTTGATCTTAAATGGATTTTATGAAATGCTGCTGTTTTTGCTAACCAAAGAGTAATGAAATTAAATCAAATGTTTAACTTCATCATTTCTATTGATATTCTGTGTAATTAAACAAATATAGCATGTTCTGACACAGTTCATGAGGAATATTTGATAAAAAAAACCCAGTCTTGAGTAAGAAATTTCCCTTCAACTAGCAGCTCAAGAAATTTCAACTTCTCTAGAATGGTATTTTTGTGAATCTCCCAAAACCCCCAAACCCAACAAAAGCAGATTTAAAATGGCATGTTGTATAAAATAACCTCACTATTTATCATATACACTCAATGAGAGCTGAAGAATGTATATCAAAGTCTTTATACATGTTAATTTTACCCCAAACCCTGAGAGTGGTCCTTCAAAAAGTGATAGCTGAGCAACTCTGCATCGATCCCTATTGGCTAACACACTAGGAGTACAGTATCCCCCTCTCATTCCAGCCCCCTCAGCAAGAATCTGTTCTAACTCAGGTGTAGCTCCTCCTGTCACCAGTGTTCGTATTAATGTTAAAGCATTGTCATTAAAATAACTCTGTAAATATATAAAAATGTATAAACGATGTAAAGTGGTACATTTATATAGATTTACACATATATATGGATAATATTATTATACCCCCCGAGCCTGCATTTGAGAACAAGGTAAATGAGACATTAATAACTATAACGGCTTGTGTTGTTGGGTTGTTATCTCATTGATCTTTACCAAACAATTCCTTTTCCTATACACTTATCATTATTAATGAGGAAATTAAGACTAGTACACCTCCTTCTTCGTAATATTTTAAAGTTTTTGATTGACATTTTCCATGTTAAAAAATTCTTGCAACAGCTCCTTGAGGGGTCCGTAGATAGCCTGTATTAAGGCCAACCCTCCTGCATCTTTCTCAAAATGGTCAACTGTATAATATACCTTTTTTTCTTCAGTGGCAACCTAAAGTTCCCACCTACATCCTTGCTGACCCACTTCACAGAATATAACTTCTGGATTTTTGTAAATTTGTTCTTGTCCTAAATTTGCATGAAATATTGCCACTAGATGTTAAGCAAACAATAATCAATCAATCAATCATCTACTAAAGATCAAAAGGAGTTGGAAAAAAGAATATCTACATGTTTATTGTACAAACTAGACAGATTTTACCAAATTTATGTAATCAAAGCATATATACATATTGTTCAAAGTTCACAATTATCAGAATATTTGAAAGAACATACTTCTTTTTAAATGGAAAATACAGATTCTGTAAACTGGTTTCAATTTAAAACTATAAGTGTGTCTTTTCTGAGAGAGTTATCTCCCCTACTTACAGTACTCATCAATGAATCCAGTACACTAACAGCAAATGCAGTACCACATGCAAATGGTTGTGTCATGTAAAGAGGTGTGTCAGGGTCATCTTCATCATCCTGATCTAAAAACTGTACATTGGAATCATTCGCTGAAAAAAAAAATGCATATTTTTTTTATGAAAATAAATGTTGAACTAACTGAAAGTTTAGGTAACAAAAATATGAATAACATTAAATAGTCCATAAACTTTTACAATGCAGAATTTACCATTGCAATAACTAAAATTAATATATAAGGTGAAAAAGCCAGATATCTGTAACAAGGAAATTGTGTAACAAAAATACAGTTTATTAGACAACAGGTAACGTCACAGTACCCAAATTGCACCTATTCAACAAAAATAGCAGCTGAAATAGTACAAGTTTTCTTTGAGACTATAAACAATTTGTATTTTTATGATTTGACATTATACAAGTCTTTCAACATAGGTAAATATATTTAAATATACACAAAACGTTCACAGTATATATCAACAGATGAATATTCATTGGAAAAATTAAAATCTACGGAAACATCGCATGGCAATGTCCACAAAGAGTCATCTTTTAAAAATGAGCAAATACAATATGTTACAAGCATCCATTTCTTAAAAAATGAATCTGTTATTCGATTTTTAAGGATGTGAATTTAAGCATGGATGCAATTTAGGTACTCCTCATTACAGAATCAATTTTTTTGGATGGTTTGGAGGTCGGTTCAAACCCATTTTCTACGATTCAATATGGATTCAAAATTAAATTGGTGTGAATATATAGAAAAAAAGGATACATCTACAAAATAAACACAGAATGGAAACTTTTGTCTTGATCATAAATAAATGTAGGTGAAACTGCCAAAATAGGTGCAATTTGGGTACCGTCACGTTATTTTGTTTATTGGGACGATTTTAACTGTTTCTCTCAGCCCCAGCCAATTAAAAAAAAACAATGTGCCTTCCAAGAAATATTGTACCAAAAACTACTTACCTAATTCAGTAATTAAAGGAACATTTGAACCACACACTGAACCCCTCCTTGACTGTTTTGCTGGACTGCCTATAGGTGAAAACCCAGGTGGAAGGAAACCTGCAAAATAATAAACATAGATAAGCTACACTGCAAAAAATAGTTGTATATATCCTTAAATATAAAAACAATAGTGCAGGCACGGAAATGTCTCACCTACTTTTCTGATCATGACTGAGTTTTATGTTGCAAGTCTTTCACTATCTTGAATATCTCAGAACAAAAGATTGCAATTAATTTATATCAGATTTATTAATTGTTGTTGATGTGACCGTCCATGGTCAGAGAAAATTTTGCTATTTAGAGGGTTCCTATAATTTATTGTTTCATGTTTAGCTACAATGTACTATCAAAGTGACTGAAATATTGTATATTTTCATGTAGTTAATATGTGGTTTTCCCCCATACCGTGAAATCCACTAAGATGGGTATACTTCGGATTCATTATCATTCGTGGGATACCAAATTTCATGGATTTGGAGGGTACAGGTTAACTATACAAATCTAAATGTTCAACGAAGTACAAATTTAATATAGATTTGTATGCGGATTTTGGCAAAACCACAAAATAAAAATTCCAAGAAACTACAAGTTTTCCTCAATCCACAAATATTGGTTTCCACAAAAATATATCCACAGTACAGTGAATTTTACTGGTAGTGAATCAATAGTTTTCTATCTCTAAAAGGTTGAAATAAATTTTTACAATAAGCAAACTTGGTGTCCTATTTCTTGACTAATATTTTTTATTTAACATACCTCCGGCTCCTACTCCTTGTGCAGAAGCTTGTAATAAACCGATACTATCATCAAATGTCATTGCTTTAATGTTTAATGAACATAAAATGGCTTCCTTATCCACTAAATGTGGATCATCTAAATTCTTGTCCTTAGCAGATATGATAACACACATATCACAGAGGTTAACATTCACTGCCCGCAGATTGGCACGATTCAATGGAGAACCCTGGAATACAAAAGATTAAGATTAAACCAAAAAGTATTGTTATCAGACCTTTAAAACTAATACACTCATTTCAGATCATTTATTTTTTTGGGAAAGGCCCTAAAATTATTTTGACAAAAATTAAATAAGCAAGGCAAAAAGCAATTTAGGTATAAAACTCTTTATACATTCTTTTCCTTTAATATTTTTTACACTAGTGTATCCCAAACTCTGTCTGACGGACAAAATGTCAGACAAAAAATCTTTTGGTCAGACAGAAATTTACAGATTTTTTACTTAAAAATATAGTAGAAAAGGTCCAATTTTTTTTTCGGTCAGACAAACCCTCAAACAGTTTGGCACAGACTATTACACTTGTGTATTTATTTTTGCTTAAATGAAATGCATTCTGCAATTTTGAATGCACTTATAAACTTTAATGGAAAAAATTATCACTTATCATACATAACACTGACTTTAATTCTGTGAATCTCATTCTACAAAGTTTTCTAGAAATTTTAAAGATTTAAATTTTTAATATTATGAATTGCATTACTACAAGGAATAACATAGTTATTAGTATGCAATAATGAATAACAATACAATAACCAAAGGACAAGAAAAACTTACAGGTAAAATAGATAATTTTGGAAAGTTTTGAAGTGTTTTCCATTCTCTTTTTAAATATTCCTGATTTCCAACTATCACAACATTTTTCAGCTCTTTGTAATGGAAATTGCTTGCTCTGAGAGGCATCACAAGATTACGTAAACCAATAAGTGGAGATCTGTCATCAGCAAATAAACAAACTACAACATGGTTACATAGAACTGTCATTGAAGCTTTGTCACGGTCCTGAAAAAAAATCAATAAATCATTAAACAATAATTTGTAAAAGATAACTATGGATGCTCTGTTATGAACTATAACATAATTATTATACATATACATAAGACTCTTAACCAGAATAAACTATTGACACAAAGATATGTCTCGCCTGTTGGCATAAAATTCAGAAAAAGACAATCTGATGGACAGCAACACTTCAGATTAATTCATAGTCGCTGGACCATGAACTAGTGGGCAGCGCCTCGAAATGGTGAACAAACTTATATGTACAGACAGTAATGTAACTTTATAGAAAATATTGTTGTCTATTGTAAGTAGTTCCTATCAAACTACCTTAAGCAGAAAACTTAACATTGAAAATTGGTAATTAATGAAAGTCACTGGACCATGACCTATGGGGGCAGGGAGTCAATGTTGTCAAACTGATATGTACTGATAGTAATGCAACTTTATAGAAAATATCATTAATCTATCACAAGTAGTTCCAATTAAACTAACTTAAGCAGAAAACTTTAAATTGAAAATTGTTTATTAATTGAAAGTTGCTAGACAATGACCTACGGGGGAGGGCCTTGAAATTGTCATCAAACTAATATATATAGATAGAAATGCAACTTTATAGAAAATATCATTGATCTATCACAAGTAGTTCTTATCAAACTAACTTAAGCAGAAAACTTGACACCAAGCAATACTTATGTTTCGCCTTCCGCGACTTTCATTTAAGCAAGACAAAAACAGTATACCAGCTGTGAAAAGAATCAAAATTCCAATGGACATGATAGACACAAGTAGAATCAAACTAACCGATACACCTTTTCGCTATTTGTCTGCCAATACTGGACATCACCAAGGTTCCCGTAAAATTTTGATATCATAATAGAAAATGGCTGAGGCCACAAAGAAAAAGTGATTGTTGTATGACATCAATAGTTCAAGTATCACAGACTTCAAGGTCAAGTGTCTCAGATTCTCAAATAGTGATAATGTCTATGGACAAGATGAACACCATTAGAATCAAAGTTTCTATTACAGATGATTCCAATGAATGTGATGGATTTTAATGCAATCAAATTCACAATAAAAGCTCATTCCAATGAATGTGATGGGCATCAAGTAGAATCCAACTGACCATTACAGCAGATTCCAAAGGATGTGAAAGTCACCAGTGGAATCCAACTGACCATTACAGCAGATACCAAAGGATGTGAAAGACACTAGTGGAACATGCCGGCAGAATCCAACTTACCATAACAGCCGATTCCAAAGGACGTGAAGGACACCAGTGGAACATGCCGGTGGAATCAAACTTCCTTGGTTCTTCTCCTGGAGCTACACTCTGATCATTTGAAGTATCTACAGGTTCCTTCTCCAAGGGAGGTAAATGTTGTTTACTTGGGCTAGTAGGCCTAAATATAGAGGTAATCATAGATCAATTTATCTAGATTGTTAATTGAAATGGTAGACAATACATCTTTAATAATATTTTTTCAATGCTGTGGAATAGTTTTACCTCTTTACAAATTTTCAAAATATAATGCTTAAAGCATAAGACAAATTTTGTCCTTCTTAAAAATAAAAGGTTATACATGCTGCAGTTTGTTCATTCATGTCCATAAAAATGTCTTTGATTTTCTGAACAAGTTTAAAGATATTTATACTGAAAGAAATCTGATCATGGTTATCAATGAGATATATTTATGTGGATGCTCATGCTTTTTTTAATCTATAATAAATCTATAGAAAATCTTCTTCTAAAGCTCCAGTCTAAAACTATGTTATCATAAATATATATAGGTCTGCATATGCTATAATCAATCCCATGTTTTCTGCTAACATAGTTATGCTTCTTATAACAGAGGCCAATCTAAATTCATACTAAATATTTATACTATTTGCACATTCCAAATATATAATAATAAACAGCTGCACCATGAGATTGTGATGTGCCTTTCCCAAAGTAATCATACATCTACATTTTTAATGTTCAATGGGCAAAAACAAACCTGAGTTATCTTTTTAAGAAAAAGTTCCATGACAAATGGCAAAAGTAAATAAAAATCAGTATGAGCTTGACTATATAAAACTTTTGAAAGGTTCAGAAATCGCAATAATTTACCTCACATTTTTGTCCATTCTTCAAAAATCAGAATAATAAATGAATGCAATAATTTCTGAATTAACAGTACCCGATTCATAAATTCCTTACAATCACTATCCAACTTATGAACAGCTGTACCAAGAAAACATTATACACCAGCTCCCTTTATTTTGACCATTGATGTAAAAACACTTTAGAATAACAGCTCTGAGCAAACTCTATATTAAACTTGAGACATTTATTTAGATGGACTGAAGACAATGGTATACAATAATATGTTGGCAGGCGTTTTACAATTATTGATGATTTGAAGCCTTTTTTTTATCTATATCTTTGATAAAATGAAATCATTTCCCTATGTTTAGATGCTGCAGGCTCCTTTTCCAGTGCACTGAAGCAAAGTACATCTATGTGTCAAATCATGCCGCTATTATGCCAGTCATCTTATACATACCCTAAGTCATAAAAACTGTAAACAATAAAACAAAAAGTGTCATGGTAACACATTTAAAGCTTAGAAATAACTATGAAATATTCTTTCATGGAGATATGAAAAATTGCAGAAAGAAAGAAAAATTGACTAATATATCTACTTCATGCTGATGTTTGAAACAACACATAATTGCATTTAGTCCTCAAAATGAAAAACAATAGAAAAATTACATTCTAAAACAATGTCTCCTAGCAAAACAGACAATTGAAGGAATTCTGCACTAAAGATGGAGACAAATTAAATAAAAATATAAAATAAATAAAACTAATGAGTTTATTGTCACAAAACTACTTTAAAAATTTGTCTAATGAATGTCAAATTCAAAATTAAATTTAATTCTACACCTACTGTCTTTAGCACTTATGTTTTTTTTCATAAATATGCAAACAACAACTAAAAATAAAACAAACATTCATTGCTAATACTTGTGTATAATTGTGTGATTTTGAAAAAAGACTAAATCAATTCCTGAACATCAATTTAGCAGTACATGTCTTATAGTTCACAACATGTATGATATGTGCTTCAAATATTATAACTAAATATAAGTAAATCTAAAATGTTTAAAAAAAAATATGCAAAAATAATAATTTCTGTCTTTCTTACTCTTTATTTGCAGTTTTAGACCAAAGCTGTGCCAATGCCCTGAAGATGTCAAAAATAACCATGTAAATATATAATACTATTGAAGGTACATTCAAACCTGTACAAAGTGGACACCAATGGAGTTAAATATGTCTTATTTATACAAAGGTTATTGTACACAATATGAGAATAAAATTTATTTTACATTTTTTTAGGCATTGATTTGCTACCAAGAGTTGTAATTGAAGCCAGATGTGACTGTTGTTAATCAGTATTCATGAACTGTATCAGATAATATCAGAGCTACAACTAGTCATATTTTTGGTACTTTGTATACTTTTTCAATTACAGATAGTTATAATTTCTGGAAATATATGAAACTAGACAGTTTTCAACTAATGTTCGTGTTATGAATTGGTTGACAGTAGAGTATAATAACTACATAAGAACTAAAATAATTAAAGAACTTCTGTGAGCATGCTCTCATAACCCACGCCCCCACATTGTCACTTGTCACTGGGCCAACTAAATCTCACAAGACACCTAAGTTCAAAGACTCATAACTCCTACAAAAGTCAACAGATAAAACTTTCTGGTGGATACGCACATCTACATAGTATGTCCTAATTATCTACAAAGTTTCATGAAGTTCTGTTGTTTGGTTTCAGAGGAGTTGTGATGACAAACTATTGCAGTAGTAATATAAGGCCAAAATTCTATATTCAAAAGGGCATAACTCCTACCAAAAAAAATTGAATTATGATTTCCTGTTGATATGTACATCTACATAGTTTTTACTTATTATCTATAAAGTTTCATGAAATTCTGTTGTGTGGTTTCAGAGGAGATGTCATGACAAGAACATAACTGGCAGACAGTCTGATGGGAGGACTGACAGGTGGACTGACTGACTGATGGACTGACAGGCTGACGGACGGACGGGTCCAAACATTATACCCTACCCAACTTTGTTCCGCGGGGTATGATTTGTAATACCTTACATTCTCAATATACATTTAGTTGATGATTATAATTTCATCTTTTAATTTAAAGTAAATGTGAAAATGAGTTTTGCTGTAAAGATATATTAAAGACTTATAAAGTAACATTTGTTATCTAATGTAGTCTTTCCCCTTTAATATGTTTTCATACCTCAAGAATAATAACAAGATTTACTTATAGAAAGAATTTTCTCTGTTAATGGCGAGATATTCTATGCATTTTGGATGGAATGGTAAACTTTTATATTTTCATGGAAAAACATCTTATCTAAGTTTGTAATATGAGTTTAGCAGAAATAAAATGTCAAACTATTTGCAAATACCAATGGAAAAAGGAGATAACTCTTGCAAAATTTGAAATATAAAACCATTTTACAAATGGACACTGAGTGCATCACTCACTGCATATCTCAGTTGTAAGCATACAATACACCTCTTACTTAACCAAATATGTACATTATTATAAGATCTTCTACACACCAAACAAACATTATCAAACAAGATCATTTACCGTACAGATTTTCCTATAGTTTTACCAATGATTTGTATAGCAAATCAAATATTATACAAATCCTTGGTTTTACATAAATACTATTCTACCATGCAACAATAACATTAGACTGCTGCTCTTAAATATTACATGTCTTGTAAGAGTTAATTACCCTTCTAGTAAGAAAACATCTTCAACAGGTTTTGTATAACAATAACAGAAAAGATTCTGTACACTTACAAGAACTTTTTCCAACTTTGTTATTAATCTGCTTTTTTTTTTCATTTTCTTTATTGTGATCTGTACACAAATTCCCATTAAACAGATATTGTCTACATTGCCAGGCTATAAATGTTCCCTATGCCCTCGAGTGTAACCCTGAATATACCGGTATGTGTTTTTGTAATATGTATTAACTGAATGTTAAACAATGCTGCTGCAATCAGCTGTCAATTCTTCTGGGGAAATTCATATATGTTAGGTTTTCAACTAGTTTCATTTTAAGAAATATAAAACTTCAAAATTTCTTAGCATTCATTAAAGAATCATGGATTCAGTCATGTTGGCTTTTTAGTAGCTCTTAAATTGATGATCATTTTTGCTGTTTACAGTTTCTACCTATCTATTATAGTTTTGGAGATAACTTTGTCAAAAAATCATCATTTAAGGGCAGTAACTCCTTAATGGTTTTGATCATGCTGCCTATTTTGGTCAGGTGAGCTTAAACAAGGTAATTAACTCTTACAAGAGATAACTAACATTTAATCTGTAATGTACAAGCAAGCTGCTCTTCCTTAATAACCTCTTTTTATTCCTGTGCTGTGTTGTTAACAATTGGCTTATAATAGGACAAATTAGAACATGCGTGTTCAAGAATATTAGCAGGTCCCAAAGTTATTATTGGACAGGAGAGGATCAAATATCACATAAACATACCAACGGTTTCCTTTAACACTGGAAATTCAAAGTCAAAATTTTAAAATAAAACTTCTAATGCCGGCATTTCCATATTATTCTATCATCATTCAGCTTATTATTTTGTTTAATTTTGAGAATTAAAAACTAACTATGTTTCCAATATAAGACTTGAAATAATGTTAATGGCAGGGAGAACTTATAGAACAATATTTTAAGCATCTATAAGCATTCCAGCCTACTGCATGTACAAAATCAAACATTTGCATGCTTTTTACTTGATCTTTACATTGCTAATCTGGGACCTTTAATGGAAGCAGTACTTTTCCCTTTAGCGAAAGGAAAGGAGAAAACATTTGATATTTTTTCCTCACTTTCTTCAAACTCATCTGGACTGCAAAAATTGAGACAAATTAACATTACAAAAACCGCCAATAAAATTTAAAAAAAAAAATCATCATCAGCCATAGAAGAAACACAAATTTATAGATCAATATCAAAGATTTGTAATAAAATAAACATAAAATATCAATGAAAGCATCTTATTATGCTGTGTCATCAATTCACATGTTAACCAACTTCTTGCAAGTTGCCAATCATATTTAGATTGTTGCAAGGGCTGTTAAAAAACTTTGAGTGATGAAATCAAATTTGCAAAATGGTCAACATATAAATGGTTTTTGCTATATAACAGTAAGAAAACAAAGATGACAGTTTCTTACTACAAATTTTTTTTAAATTTCATATAATTATGTCTAGAGAGTGTATGATAAAAGGGAAATAACTCCTGAAACATTGCCTTACCCAGCATTCACTGCAGCATTTACTTTTGTTGATGTTCTTCTTTCTTTATTTTCTTTATTCATCATAGGATTTGCAGCTAAAACAGACAAACAAATGTCTAAAAGTTCGGTCACAAGTAATATTACATATTTTTTAAACACAAACTATTTGATACACACATAAATAATTTAGCTTTTCATGAAAAAAGTCATGTTTGGTCATATCAATTTATCTATTAAATTACTGAATATCATAACATAATTATTCAAGAAATTTGCGTTGGTTCATCTTATATCTTTAAATGTGTTCAAATAAAAGTTTTATACTGAAAATATATTAATGTTGTTAACATATTCTGATATAATAGGTTTGACTAAAGAGTTCAAACTGCAATAATGAAAATCAGTTAAGTAGACAGAGAGAGTATTTTAGTATATTTATCTATCAACAATGTAGAACGGCAGATTTATTCTTCTTTTGCTGATACTCAAATAAATTTCTGGATTATATAAATTACAGTTATAGTGTATGCTTCCTCAACAATTACAAACTGAAAGTGGCATTAAACTCCAACAACTAAACAATCAATATAGGTGGAGTATCTGTTTGTGCCGACCCTCTTATTGATCAAAATGTACCAGTAGATCATAACAAAAACACCTATTTTGTCAACTTAGAACTTTTTATGATTTATTTATTCACAGAGCTACTTCTCATGTATGCCATTCTGAGAAATATTTAATTTGTCTATAAAACCAGTTTACAGTTGTAAAGAATGATTTATTAGTAAGCAAAACTAGATGCCATAAATGCACATCTAAGATCTCTGTTCAAGCATCACATTAACAACTTATTTAACAAATTTTCAGAAATTTCTTTTAAAACAGTTATGCACCAAATGAAAAAAACAATAAACCACTAGAGAAAATTTTGACTTGAATCAAATTTAGTTGTTTGTGTAGTAGTAACATTGATTATTTTACAAAGCACCCTAGATAAAACAGCATAATATAATTTTACCCAATACGAAGAAGAGAAGGAATACTATAACCCTTGTTTTGCGAGAATCCAAAATTTAAAGTTCTATAAGTCTAATTTTAGTGAATATATATTTGACCTACCCCAAAGTATGTATAAGATGGGTGATTAAATGGTGATTAGATATACTACTCAATATGACTGCATGTATCTATGTCTAGCTTGTTAGTATGCCTCTATATATATCATCTAACTTGTTAGTAAGTGGCATTCTGGCTCATTAATGTACTTTATATTTTGTTATTGGTTAGTAGAAGCTCTATGACTAGTTCAATATTTTGCTTTTTTAACTCACAAGCTAGACCAACTCTGGTTCGTTTATAACGTTTCAGTCGATTCAAAGCTATAATATAATAATATTAACAGGCAATCTGTTACTACAATATAACTACTAGTAAATAAAGTACAAGTATTTTTGTTCATTGGGGACATTTTTTTTTATTTGAGTTTGACCCTAAAATTTTATATTTTTAGTAATTAAAGTTGACTTTTTAATGCAAAGTTTGAAGCCATAAAGTAAAACCACCCAAAGCAAGTATTTTCCACAACTCGTGGAATCTGTCATCCACTAATGAATATACTTTTACAGTTCTACTTTGACAAGCATTCTTTTATATGTATATTTAAAGCTGAACATGGTTTATACAGTTACATACTATATAAAAGCATTCTATAATACACTGACTGCAAATAAGTGTTTAGGTCGTAATCATATTTATAATATGTAATAATAAAGGGCAAGGTCAGTTGAACCCTGTCATAGGGGTATGTATACAACATCAGGATTCAGAAGACTAAATGTAGTTGATTCACAACTGATAGTTAAGGAGAAACTGTCTTTAATAAAAATAATTAACGTTGATCAATGGACTATATAACAAGGTCAAGGTCAGAATTAAGTGAGCCTTGTTATATGCATGTGTTCACCTAACAAGATTCTACAAACAACATATTGTTCACCAACTGCTTATAGTAAATGAGAAACTTTAACCTCATCATTGAACCATGAAAATGAGGGCAGGTGAACTAGGTCATATGGATATGTACCCTTTGCAATGACACTATAAATCAAATATAATTCAGCTATAACTAGCATCTATTGTCTCATTATGATATTTAAAGTTTATCAATGAACTATTACAGTAACGTGGTCAAGGTGAATGGAACCATCTGATTGAATTGTACACCTTTCAATGATTCTATAACACCAAATGTAGTTGATCTTGTACGCATAGTTACTAAAAAGATCATTTGATCAAAACACCTAATGAGTTATTCATTGAACCATGAAAATGAAATGGCAGGACAGATGGAAATTTCAAACCATAATGCGCATTTCAAAAATATGGGACCAATTCTTCTCACTCTGAACTATAAAACCTCATAGAAATTGTTTATGGTGCTGCCTGATTATCATCTGTAAGTCTCACATTATACTTCAATAGCTGCAGGTGAGACACAAATTAAGGCACAAAATTTGGAACTGAAATAAATAAATTAATTTTGTTTGAATGTGAAAATGTTTGACTGAACACCTTAATACATAAAATAAATTGTGCGAACATCTTTGAATGTCTCAGAAGAAAAAATATTTAGTGAATATCTGCTCATGTGCAGAAGTTGTTTGTGCAATTTATTGTTTAAATCAAACAAAAAATGCTGATAAAAAAAAGGTGATTTTAGAATATGGGCGCTGTGAAGTCTGTAGCTAGTACCCTAATCAAGAAACCAAACATATTCATTTTGAAATAACATAAAGGTTCCAAAATTCTCAGTCACTTCTGGTATTCAGTTAACTTCGAAAATGATTTTGGAATAATAAAATTAATAAAAATAATAATAAATTCTTTATTTAAAGAGGTAAACACAGTTAGTTACAACAAACTAATTTTCCCCGACGCCCTCTCATACAAATTACAAAATGTGATTTTGGTCAAATATTCGTTGATGTCCATGTAAAAACTATGTTCCAAGATGGGGCCATAATGCTTACTAAAGTTCATCCAATTTGAAAATAAACTGTCTTGTTATATCCCTACAAACAAAAGCTGAAACAGGTCATATAATTGATGTAAGCAGAATTTTAAAATAATTTTAGGGGAACCTTCTGTTTATGGCAAAGGCAGAATTTCAGTCATTCACCACCCAACATACTTCTAAAAGGGGAATACTTCAAATCTTTTATCAACATAAACTGCATATTTACAAGAAAAATGAACAAAGCAGTTACTTACCACTCATTTATTACACAATGAATGCATACTTAACTGTACACTTAATTTTTCCCAAGCTCAGAATACAATTAATAAACTTACAAACAATGTGAAGCTGTTATAGAAATTTAACACACTGTTACAAACAATCATCATTCCAAAATGTATGTTTGTTAGACTATTAGTATTCACTAACAGAACATGCTTGAAATCTCACCACTTTCGGCTATTGCAAAGTTCCCTGTAGTATAATTATAATAATTTGCTAGCACTAACAAAAATACTTTTAAATAAGTCAAAATTAATGACAACATTATATAGTGTTTTGCCATTAGTGACATTATGTGAATGACACTTAGTAACAACAAATTAGTGACAATCATTCGAGTAGACTTATACAAATGTATATGTCCCCATGCCTCTCACCAGTTCTTAACAAAGCTTGTGTCCCTGTTTTAAAAAGAAAGTGTTACTGTTTAAATTCTTATTCCAATTGTGGTAGAATTATGCATTGTTCTTTCATAGAAACAGCGGAGCTTCTATCAAAATATTAAAAGAAAAACTAAAAAAATATCAAAAGGAACATAAATCTTTATTGACAAAATTTTGAGTGTTTCAATTTAACACCTCATCAAAAAATGAATATAATGTTTGATAAATTTTTATATAAATTCCTCATTGTAAAATCAAACATTTTCTTGTATCGGAATATTTTAGAATTATACAATTATTTTTTTTAATACATATTTGTTGAAATTTTCAAATATCTAAAATGTGACATTTTGTTGGATGAATATCCAAAATTACTCACAAAACTTCAAATTATGAAATATGGAATTTACTAGGTAGATGCAGGTTTTACTTCTTGAAAGTTATCTTCCCAATATAAAAAGAAGTCCACATAGATACATAACGGCTATTAATTTTATTTCCTTTTTTATAATTTAAGTATACAACTACAAAACAAAAATCTGAAATATAACTTACAATGTACTATACATTTTATATATACATGGTTAAATGAAGTATTGTGGTAATACTTGTATTTGACGAGTGCCAAAAGAGGGACGAAAGATACCAGAGGGACAGTCAAACTCATAGATCGAAAACAAACTGACAACGCCATGGCCAAAAATAAAAAGACAAACAGACAAATAATAGTACAGATGACACAACATAGAACTAAAGACTAAGCAACACGAACCCCACCAAAAACTGGGGGTGATCTCAGGTGCTCCAGAAGGGTAAGCAGATCCTGCTCCACATGTGACACCCGTCGTGTTGCTTATGCTTTTACAAACCCGGTAAATAGTCTAATTCGGTAGGTCACATTCGTGAAAAGGGAAGGGTATTGTAGTTACGAGGATGTTTCATAGTTTAATGATAATTGGAAATTATATACCCTTGGCCACTGTCTTTTGTTTATGAAGCTTGAAACAAATAAAAAAAAAATAAATGTGGATAGTGTCCACATGTGGACACAGATGATGCCCCTGCTTGCATATCATATAGTTAAAAAGGGACATAACTGAAGAATGGTAAAAGTGACGCTACCCAAATTTGAACTTGATCTGAGTTTTGTGGTAATACGCATTGTGTGTAAGTCTCATAACATTTGGTTGAGGCTAACTTAAGAAGGGAACAGAAACTAAAAATTCAGAAATTTTTCTATTTGTAAACACACATAACTTTAGAAAGATTGTGTATAAGTTTTATAACAATTGGTTGAGACAAACTAAAAAATTCAGCAATTTTTATGTTTATAAAGGGACATAACTCAAGAATGGTAAAAGTGTTGCCACCAAATTTCGTACTTAATCTGTATTATGTAGTAATAACCATTGTGTATAAGTTTCATAACATTTGGTTGAGGCAAACGGAAACCAAAAAAATTGTACTTGATTGTGTATAGGTTTCATAATGTTTGGTTGGGGCAAACTTAAGTTACAGAATGGAAACTAAAAATTTTGCAATCTTTCGATTTATAAAGGGGCATAACTCAATAATGGTTAAAGTGACACTACCCAAATTCAACTTGATCTGTGTTTTATCAGTGGAAGTCAAAATTAAACATTGCATTGTATAAAGCTTGATTGTAGTTGATTCAACTATAATCATGGACAAAGGAAGATAACTCCAATTTTAAAAATTACTTGATATTTAAAAGAAAATAAAAATTTTGCAATTTTTCCATTTATAAAGGGGCATAACTCTAGAACGATTAAAGTGACGCCACCAAAATTCAAACTTGATCTGTGTTTTGTGGTAATAAGCATTGTGTATAAGTTTCATAACATTTGGTTGAGGCAAACTTAAGTTAGAGAACGGAAAATAAAAATTTTGCAATTTTTCCATTTATAAAGGGGCATAACTCTAGAACGATTAAAGTGATGCCACCAAAATTCAAAGTTGATCTGTGTTTTGTGGTAAGAAGTATTGTGTATAAGTTTCATAACATTTGGTTGAGGAAAACTTAAGTTAGAGAACGGAAACTAAAAATTTTGCAATTTTTCCATTTATAAAGGGGCATAATTCAAGAACGTTTAAAGTGACGCCACCAAAATTCACACTTGATCTGTGTTTTGTGGTAATAAGCATTGTGTATAAGTTTCATAACATTTGGTTGTGGCAAACTCAAGTTAGAGAACGGAAACCAATTTTAGGACGTACGTACGTACAGACGGACAAGGGTAAAACTAAATGCCCCCACCGCTACGGCGGGGGCATAAAAACACGACAAACCCAAGAAAACTGGAAACGAGAAACAAAAGTACTGTCAAAGTTTATATACAGCAAAAAGTATTTAGAAAAGCTGACAAAATAAAACAGAGCCAAGCCTGTTTTGCAAACACAGCAAACTTCAATCCATTGCATTTTTATCATATACCTTTTGTAAAATTATCTTAACCTCTCTTCTTTTTTAAATTAAATAAAAAGCATGCATAATTTATGTACAACATAAAGAGTGAAGAATTATTTTCTTAGCTGCTTATAATCAATTACAACCATTAAAAGTTCAAGCTTAGTACCAGCCAATAATATGCTTTATGTGATAAATATTTATAATATGCTGCTGCTGTCAAGACACACACATACACACACACTGTGCTGTTTGTTAGTAACAAATATCACAAAAATTTAAAGAATTACAGGAATAAAACAAACTTTGATACAACTTGTTTTCATTTTATGTAAAAAAGTTATACTAACATTTCAATTATATTACCAATCATTAGTTAAATAAACCTTAGATTTAAAAAATCTCTGTGAAATTGATTTTCTTCAACCTTTCTTTATTTTGTTTAATTTATTTTGTTGTTGTTGTTGAAAGATTGAAAATTGTCATAAAAACACACTCACATTAAGTTAACATTTTTTTGTTGCTGTCTTAGCAGATGGCATATTTTAAATTGTCAGAAACTGACATAAGCATGCAAAAAGCAAAAATCCCAAAGCCTAAGAATAGAAAACCCCCTTAGGGAGCTACCATTTGATTTTTATGGGGGGCTAGGATGAAAAATTTTGTCCTGCATTTTTTTAGTTGTAATCTCTGTCCTGCATTTTTTTAGTCGTAATCTCTGTCCTGCCTTTTTATTTCTCACTCTATTCGGTCCTGCCTTTTTTTTTATTAGTTTATCCTGACTTTTTTGACATAAATTGTCATCCTGCCTTTTTTTTTTACTCAAAACTCCTGTCATGCCTTTTTTTCAAATTTTATCCTAGCCCCCCCCCCCCCCATAAAAATCAAATGGTAGCTCCCTTATACAACATATATTTTTCAAAAAGCTTCTTAAATTAACAAATAAAGTTTATTCTCTGAAAACATTTTAAGATTACACAACATTAAAAGTAGTTGACAATACTGAATCTTTAATCATTTGAAAACATTAGCCACTTTGGACCTACACCAGTCATTTCTCTTAAATAAATATGAAAATGTGTAAAGCAAATAGGTAGATAAACATAAGTAAAAAATGATGACAAAAGACACAACATGAAATGGTAACAAACCTATAACAGCTGTTGCTCCTTTCTTGAATAAAGCCACTGATAGAAAATAAAATGAAAGAATTACCTCCCTTTGAAACTTGGAACTTGATAAAGCCTGAACTTGATGTTTTGCTTTTAAGTTATTTTTACAAAAGCAGGCATCAAAACAGTTATTTTTTTTAGAAGTGTTCTAAAAAGCCACTTTGGTAATTCCAAAAATGATAATTGAACAATGAATTAAAAAAACTTCAAAGATCAATTGTTACAAAAACTTCAACATGGACAAAATTAAACAGGTGTAACCGGAGAGCATGATTCTACTTGCAAAATCGTATGTCTCCACCGGGACTCGAACCCGAGACCTCTGTGTTACAAGGCAGCGTGTATACCGACTGAGCTAAAGAAGTACTTCCTTAGCTCAACCTCTTACAGCTGACTAAGTATCTACTAATGAAGGGAAGCAATCCCGTCACACAGGATTGAAAAATAACAGATTATTCCCTCTCTATAATTTGAAAATACCAAATATGAAATTATGTCTGATGGACTACAGTACATACTGCTAACAGAAATTGAAACATACAAATACCCACATTATATTACTGTAATAGTATTTTCAAGGAAAACTATTATGCATGAATTTTATCTTCCCAAATACATAAACTTATAATTTTGAAGAAAAACATATATTTAGTTTTGTTGAGAGACACAAGTGATGAGATTCCTGAAAAGTGTTAATTAATCTTGCTATATTTATTGAATCTGGTCATAGAAATTGTTTTTACAGGTTATCTTACAATTAGAAATAGCTTTAAATTAGGCAGAGGTTAACCATTTAAATCTTAACACCATGCAAACAAATCTTACTTTCAGAGACAGTTATATTATAACCTTTGTTTATAGAAAGTTAAAGGTTTGGTGAAAACACGAATATGATTGGACATAAGCCAAGATGTACCAAAACTATTCATGCTATGCCACACATATTACCAAATGACATAGAGCACCTATGTCCTCCCATTAATAGCTGTGCTACAACTAAAAATTGGTTTCCTTATTACTTGATCATGAACTATTGATTCCATTTACATGTATACCCTGTCATTTGGTAGATCTAATAACCAACAAAGCAAAACATCAAACACAAAGCATCTATAAATAGCATTGAAATAATAGAAAAATCTATTTTTATCAATTAACTGCAGCTATAACAATCTATAAGACATATATCAATGTCACTGAATCTATAAAAATAAATCTGTAACTATACACAACATCGAACATTCTATTTATCAGGGGTTTTTTTAGCTTTCAACGAAAATAGCTGGTTTCTTACCATGTTGACTGTAAATTTCCGCAAGGAAATGTTTTATTTTGTAACATTTTCTATGTGTGTGAAATAGTATGATTGGAGCAATCTATACCAAACTAAAAAGCATTTATATACATCATAGGGTAGAAAACAGACAATGGGGAGGATGGAGTACCTATAAAGCTGAATTTAATCCAATCTTTTTTTTAAGTTGGTATATTCAATGTATTAATTTGTGTATTTCTCATTGTATAAGTTTTTTTCCTTATGATGAAGATAAAAAGGATAGCTTCCACAGAAAACCAATTTAACCCTGCAACATGCTTATGTGCCTTTCACCAAGTCAGAAATTTTATCAGACTTGTTTTTATTCTAAGTAAGGTTTTTGACAGTTTTAGTATTTTGTTTTTAAAGTCACTTCTGCTTCTTTCATACTTCTTCTTAGACTTAGTCCATATAAAGCATGATGTAGGGTGTGTCTTTTTTTTAGTTTATTTATGGTTTTGTGTTACTGTCTTATGTTTACTCAACATTTACATTGATATCAACTGGTCTCCATGTATCTAGAATAAAGATCTTTTAAGGTAATGATTATTGCTGATGTCACCTACTGTGCTATTTTCTGTTGAGGTATTTTTATCCAAATAAAAAATAAATTAAATGCATTATTTATAAAACTTACATGGTCTGCAACGACATTTTTTGATAGCCCTAGCTTCTTTAAGGGCTCCATGACAGGCTTGACAATAATAAAAGGCTCTAAAATAACAAATATAGAAGTGTGTATTAAATGATAAAATATATTGAACAAAAGACTATATCAATTTAGTTTAGTTAGATAATTTACCAGTACACATGTACTTCCAAAAATCTAAAAAGAATATAAATTTGTATATAAAAATGAGGAGATGTGGTATGATTGCCATTGAGACAACTATTCACTTGACTTAAAATAAAGAGGTAGTAAGCAATTCTAGACCACTGTACGGCCTTCAACAACCTATTCCTTATAGTAGGCTATAAAAGGCCCCGACATGAAAAATGTGAAACGAACGACCTAATATATAACAATACCAATTTACAAAAAACAAATATGACAGATATGAACCAATGACAACCACTGTATTACAGACTCTGACTTGGGACAGGCACATAAGGAATGTGGGGGAGTTAAACATGTTTGTGAGCACTCAATCCTCCCCCTTTTTGGCAAATTTCAGCAGTAAAACCAGAAAAATCTTGATTATTTAAAGAAAAAATATCATCACAGTAACGGTAAGTGTTTTTAAATTGATCAATTAAATATAATTTAGACGAATCTTTACTGAGTTTGTCCATAAACTGTGATTCATAACAATACAGGAACAAGTCTGCTATTAAAGGGACACAATTGGTGCCCATAGGAATACCTACAACTTGTCGATAAACTTTATTGCCAAAACATACATAGATATTGTCAAGGAGAAAATTTACAGCTTTAATCATTTCATCACAGTTCCATTATCTATATGTAAATAGCAAAGTCATTTCATGTGTCATATCCCACATCTACTGCTTCACTTTCTCGGGTTATTACTAATTAACTGGAAAATTTGCTAAAACTGTTTAGAATTTTTCAAATCCTAACATTAACTTATTATACTGGCACTTATTTATATTTTAAAAGGGTCTTCTAGTAGTAATACCACTCATGTTTACACCGGTATATTCTTATGGTGAACTCCTTATATGGAAATCAATGAATGTATCTTAATTTTCAGTCTATTCATTAATTCCCCAAACTGACTGTTATTCATTTTTTTAATCAACCTGTAGTTCCTTGATCTCAATTTTTCTTGGTCAAACTTAATTATGATGTCACTTTTTTTTCTAATTCACTATTTTGACGTCCCGAAGAAAAAATTATTCCTGATGACGTCACATAGAATGAACACTATTTCAAAAGACAATTGCTTTAAATTACAATAATATACCTTTTAACTTCTTCAGCAGATTCAGCAATGAAAAATCCTTGTGTAGCATTTTCTATTTTAATCTTTGATCCAGGATTGATAGCTAGAGTGCTCTCCCTGCCATCTTCTGTACGTACTTCAATAGCCAGTAATAGTAGTTCTAATTTGGAAAAACATAATCTGAAAATAGAGACATGTAAACTGGAAAACAAAAGATAGTGCAGCAAACAGAGACAGCGCAATTATATATTTATTTTTCATTAATTATTTTGTACATAAATCAGGCCCTTAGTTTTCTCGTTTTACATTAATCATTTAGGGGACATTTATAGCTTACTATGGGGTATGGGTTTTGCTCATTTCTGAAGGCCATACAGTGACCTATAGTTGTTAACTTCTTCGTTCGGTTTCTGGTGGATATTTGTCTCATTAGCAATAATACTACATCTTCTTACTTTTATATGTTGAGCTTTAGATCTTTTATAATTTTGGTTAGCTTGTGTTGCTTGGTTGCTGTTTCGATAACATCTGGTTTAATTCATAGAAAATGCTGGTAAGATTTTAGTGATCTTCTTTCAAATTCTGAAACAAAAGTTGGAGAATTCTTATATTTTAATCAATTCAACACAAAATTAGGTTTTGATCAAGAGCAGGCTGCTTTAAAATCAAAGAATTTCACGTTTGGTTTTGAGAATCCTTCAATGCTGCAATATGATTTAAAGACTTTTCAAGCCAAGTTCTGAATTTCAAGGACATTACAGCTTTGCATAAACACTTAAATCTACAACAGCATTATTTAATGCAATACTTACTCTGCAGCTTCTGGGAATGTCATACCATTAAAGGAACTAGATAAATATTCTGTGTACATCTCCATAGCTGTTCCTCTCAAGTAATCTTTCTGCCAATCAGGTAACTCCATATTCTACACATAAAAAAGTAGATAAGATCTTATGGTTATTTGGGTAATGCAATGTATAAAAATTCTAATTTCACAATCTTTGCAACCTGCTGGATCAATTTAAATTCTATCAAACTCTTTATAAATAGGATATATAAGGAACACAGGCAAATCTTTAAAGTTTTTGGGGTTATTTTTCTGGTAATTTTGATACCCTGTCTTTTCCTTTTGACTTTGAAAGTTAACAGGATTCATGCCTTGTAAAAATCAACCAAATTTGAGCTGAGAAATTGTACTGTCGTTGCTCTTTTTTCATTCTGGTGACCATCTATTAAGCTTAACAGAGTTTTACAGACGGATGAGCAAACAAAGGGATTTTTGTGATTAAGTCCAAACGGACTGTGACAGAACAAAACATGCAAAAGAACTATTCATAGAATCCATCTAAAAATGTGGTTAATGTTATATATTTTCTGCTTTAATAGAAAGTTTAATGATATCTCTTTTCATTCTTTTCTCAAATATAGGAATCATTTTGTCATTAAAATGTTTCAAGTCAAGATTTGTCTTTATAATTTCATTATGCTTTCAATACAAAAATATTAAATTAACATACAGATATTCAGGACTATATTCATATCATTTTATTGATAATGCATTTTAGTAATTAGATCTATATCGGATATCCTTTAATGAAAATGTGAATTACATACAAAGAGTTTGAAATCAATACAATGATTAACTGCTACAAAAAGTGTATGAATTTTATATTGCTTCTAATGGAAAATCCATGAAAGGTTTTAGACATTATGCAATTTAAAAAAACTTTGCTTATTAGGTCTGAAGTGTTTTTTTAATGGAAATAGCTACCGGTAAAAAATCAATTTATATAATTAGCTTTTGCATCAGCTAAATCTACTCAGAATTTATTCAAATTGAAAGTATTCTTTAAAAATATTTATTCCACATATTGAAACAGTGTAACATGTTAGTTTTTTCTTTATTTTAACTTTTAGCAATATATATCTGATATATCATATGCTTTAATGAAATTCTATAATATACTGCAACATATGCATCAAACCAGAAGGATGAAAGCTTTCTTGCTTTCCATACAGGGTTTACAGAGTAAAGAGAGATGGGGGGGGTATATACACCAATAAGATAGCAAACAAGTGACACAAAAACAAAAACAAGACATTTAATGGTAAACTTATGGCCTTTAACAATAGACATGTATTGATACAAATGTCAAGCTCTAAATCTACCACTGTAAAAATATAAATGGAGAATGTGTCCATGGGATACAGATGATGCCACCACTTGCATATAACGTTATAAAGGGACATAACTAGAAACTGTAAAAGTGACCCCACCAAATTCAAACTTAATCTGTGTTTTGTGGTAATAAGCATTGTGTATAAGTTTCATAACATTTGGTTGAGGCAAACTAAAGTAAGAGTATGGAAACTAATTTTGGGGCATACATACGTACAGACAGACAAGGGTAACACTTAATGCCCCCTCCACCGTAGCGGGGGCATAAAAATTATGAATGAATTTGATTCAGCCTTTTTTTTTTACATGTATATGCTAGGTTATTTTGACCTTGCTATATTGTGTGTGAATACTCATTACTTTTGATGACCACGCGATAACCAAAACTTGCTAAATGACTTTCTTTTTACATAGTGTTACCCTATAAAAGATGTGTAAGGATACAGCAGGATTGACTTCTTTCAAAACTAGATTTACCCCATCATATGTTATGGTTCATGTCACTGATTAGGATCATTGTTGGTAATCATTGTTGTTTCTAAATGTTTTAAGTCCATTAAGATTTTGATGTTGAGGTCAGATCTTTGTAGATGCTGAGTGTCAGCTTTGACCAGAATTGTCAGTTTTCCTGTTGAAGGTTGGTGGTTTTCTCAGGGCACTCCAGCTTTGTCCACCAATAAAAATTGGCCGCCATGAAATAGCCAATTGTATCAAATGGGGTGTTAAACACTAAAAATCAATCAATCAATCAGATCTTTCTTTAATGGTCTGTTGAATTTATTCACATTTTATCTAGACTGATATAAAATGTGGACCCTTGTCTATCACTGAAGAACATTATGTGTGTTGTGTTGTTTTGATTGCTGTTCATTAAAATTTACCCAACATCTTCTTTAATTCATATGTAATCCAAAACCATATTATTTTCACACTAATGAAGAATGAATGATCATATCTTATAATACAGTATGACCATTTGACTTTATTGAAAAGAGTTTGACTGTAAAATGTATTGTATATTTTCATAAAGAACTACCTATCATTGAGATTGGAGCCATCTCTGTGGGCTCCGCTGTGAATAATGTGTGGTAAAAAATTTGTATCTTTATCATTGGACATGGGGTTGTCAACTGAAACCAAAATTCTTGACCTTGACCTTTGACCTAGGAAGTTGTACATAAATTATGACACACCCTCTGGTGTTGTCTATATACATGTCAAGTATAAATTTTGAAATCATAACGGTTCTCAAGATATAGAGCGGACACGATCTTTACCATAGGACATGGTGTTGTCAAGACCTTGACCTTTGACCTAGAAAGTTGTACATACATTATGACACACCCTCTGGTGTTGGTTAATATACATGTAAAGTATAAACTTTGAAATCATATATGTTCTTTAGATATAGAGCGGACACAATTTGTTACGGACAAACGGACGGACAGACTGATCACTATAGGGCGTCCGCCATTCGGCGGGGCCCTAATTATAAAAATTGCTAGTTCCCCATCATAAAAGCTTTTCCTAATACCTTATACAAAATTCTCTATATACAAGACAGAATTAAGTAAATTATCAAAGTAGTTAAAAAAAACATATAAACGGCCATTGAGACTAGGCATATAGCATTACAAAACATTTACCAGAAGTACAGTCATTTATTTCTTAATTATTGCTTATACTGATCTAATAAAGTTAAACTCCATTCATTTTATCGATGTTTTTAGATTTTATTTGTTTGATGAAATTTAAATAATCTGCAGTGTGGCCCATTAATAGATTTTATGACCAAAAACTCCTTAAAACTCAATGTATTAAAATCTGGGATAACCTTAAAATAATATATCATTTTTATCTAATAAATGTTTCAAATCAAATAATATTGCAATCAAGACATCAGAGTTGAGGAAACACAAATATCTTGATAACATTCCATCTCATTTATTGACATTTTAGAATTACTATAAAATCTCTTATTTTTGAACTCCAAATAATTTCAACTAGTTCAGTTATTTCATTTTGGAAGATTACATGCAATTACACTTTGCTACTGTATAATCTCAGAATAATCTCTTGGGGCACTGTATATAAAATGTTAGAAAATTGGTTGGCTATCTGTGTCATCTGAAAACAAATGCCACACTATGGCAATAGGCCAAACATACTTTCAATAAATCAGTATCACATTAGCAAAAATAAATAATGAACCTCAGTCCTGTTCCCAGTAATAACTGGCACACTAGTCCAGTCAGGAGTTGTATGGCCATTAAACTGGTGTTGGATTTCAATCTGATATTGATGTTTTTTTATTTATTCCCGTTTCCAAGTATAAATTAAATTTCTATCAATAATTCCCTAACAAAAGTAAGTATACCTCCAGTTGACTTTATTAAAGGATTGTCTACAAGAAATGCATTTTAACTTGTGTTAACATAATTGATTTTTAATTTTTCATGATTATAAAATAAAAATGTAGACAAGAGGCTGTCGAGTGACAGCAAACCGGATTTTCCTGCAGAGGTCAAACCCTGAACAGTTGAGCAAGTTTAGACACAACATTTAAGCTTAAAACAGCTCTGAATTTGGATAGTAATATTCAAAATAGATTATTATCGAATTAATAATGAAAATGATATTTGCAAATCTGAACCCCCAAACAGGATCATGTAAAAATTAAACATTAACACACACAACAAAAATAAAATACCACATAACAAATGTGACATCTACCTTCATAACACACATGACTTAAAAAAATAGTTATAAAGAAATTTTGACAACTAATGACTAAAATTAATTGAACAGAATTCATATACTTATGTTATCATTACTGGTTCATGGAATAAGTTTGAGTTATTTCCCTTTGAACAGAAATGGTTTAACTAATAAAGCAAACATAGTTCTATAAAATTAGATATGATTTAACCACTAAAAATAGTTCTCTAAAATTAGATATGATGTTACACAATGTATATCTATTTTCAATTTATAATCAAATATAATTAAAAGTTCCAAATATTTTTTCTTTCATTTGTCACAAACTAATATAGATCTGCAAATTATCTATCAATGTCAACAACTTTATCTACACAATGTAATGTAATGAAATATATCCTTTAATAAAAATAGATTATTATCTAATTAAAGGAGTTCACTTCATCAAAAAAATATTATTTATAGCATTCAGAAAAATTAGTTTATACAGAATAACAAACAAACCTACCACAAATTCTTCAAAACAATTTACCAAAGAAAAGAAGAAAAAAATCCAAAATAATACAATGTCTTTTAAAAATCTTTAAAAAAATTAGGTATTTCCCTTTGAACAGAAATGGAGTAATTAATAAGTATTTCATCAAAAATTGAATTCTTGGGAAAGAGCTATAACTCAACAACAAGAAAAGCTAAAATCATGAAAATTGAACTTGACCTTCATTTTGTCACAGGAAACAACATATCTAAATTTGAAAAAAATTACGTCAAAGCGTTTGCATGTTAATGAACGGACACTGTTTGGCAGCCGCACACCCGCCCGCCGTACATCCCCAAATCAATAACCAATTTTTCCTTCAAAAATCTGGTTAAAAAGGGATGGAAAAGAAGATGAATATATTGTATAATTCAGTATGAGCATTTGACTTTAGTGAAAGCATTTGACTGTAAAATGTATTGTTTTTTTTTCTTTGAAAACTCCAATCACCTCTCCCAATCACAGAAAATTATGTTTTTGAAGTGTTAATACTAATATCTAGGTAATTTTTTAGTCTTGTGAGATTTTTTATGGTTCATTCTAGGGCTTCCAAAACATATTTCTTAAAAGATGGAATCCATGTTCACTGTTGAAATAAATACATAGTAGCCTTATCACCTATTTTCATTCTTTTTTACTATTTCAGTCAATGTATTGGCATAAACAGTTTTGTAATTTTGTAATATGGGTTGAATTAACTTGATTTTTGGTTGTTTGACAAAAATTTAGAGAACCACACAAATTGTTCTGAATGGGAGACTACTAAAATTTACTAAAAAAATATCTTTTAGTCCTGAATTAGTCAAATCCATGTTGTATGGGAGGCTACTCTTGATATTTATCTCATTATAACCAAAGGAAAACATCGGTTTTAATGAATGAAATTGTAGCACAGGAATGCACAAAAGGAAAAATCAAAGAAAATCTCACAACATTTTCCCAAAACTTTTAAGCTACGTTTGAGCCAGTTATTGTGCATGCAAAACATTCAAGATTTTTTTTATCATATCAATGGTAAATGCATGCCAACTTGAAAGATGAAATTTAAAAGCAAAGTTTAAGTCGAAGATCATAGTGTATTAATACATTTCATTGACTTAAAACATTACTTTTTCCATTTTATAATTATTTCTTGTCACAACTGTATGTCTGCACTCACAGACATTTATAAACCAACTAGTGCTAAAAAAGCATGAGGATTCAGAATTTGTTCATCACTGGTAACAAAATATGATTATTCCCCTTTTGCTGCCAAGTGATAAAAACATATTGCACATGTCAGTTGTCCAATGAATCATTCTATACTTACAGTTTTATCAGATCTCATAGTAAAGAGATTCGCCATGAGTGTAGAGAATCCAGGAGCCAAACAACTTTGAGCTATAAATCCTAGCTTCAGTTCAGCAACACATACAGCATCATCTCCCCTTTTCCAGTCCCAGCTAGGAATATTCAGTAGATAAGCCTTTAAAAAAAATATTGTGAGTAGAGAAACAAATTTAAACCCAAACTTCTTTTTCTGTTCTTCTTTTGTTCCTTAACGGACTAAGTCCCTCCTTTTGTTATGGGAAACCAAAGAACTCATTCTGGAATAAAAAGATGTGCAATGGCACATAAGGCTGAAAAATTACTAAATATTTCATTAGTATCTATTTACATGTTCAAGGAAAACTGCAGACAGAAGATATGTATGTATCCCTTTTAGATACTTCATCTTTCTACATAGTATATAACTATATATTCTCTTCTGGTTGTGGCTAATTGCATGAATTGATATTTTCTTGTATCACACTGAAAGGGGTGTGATATGAATAAGTGATAAGAAAAATACATTAATTTGGTTGGCCTACCCTGCAATGTAATACAAATTTGGGACATTTCCATTGGCTATTGAAAATAGATCAATGATGTATTTCAATGTTCACAATGGACTGTTTTTTCTCTGTAACAAAAAAGGTCTGACACAAAGAAATTTTTTACCATAGGTTTATAAACTTGTAAGAATTGAATATTGCTTGATATCAACTCTCATTATTTAATTTAAATAATTGAAGAATGTGTCCATGGGACACAGATGCCCCCGCTTGTAAATATAAGTCAAATTCTGCAATTTTTCAATTTACAAAGGAACACACTCAAGAACAACAAAAGTGTCACCACCCAAATTCGAACTTGATCTGTGTTTGGAGGTTATAAGCATTGTGTATAAGTTTCATCATAACATTTGGTTGAGGCAAACTAAAGTTAGAGTGTGGAAACAGCAAATTTAGCAAGAACGGCAAAAGTGTCGCCACCCAAATTTGAACTTGATCTGTGGTAATAAGCATTGTGTATAAGTCTCATAAAATTTAATTGAGGCAAACTTAAGTTAGAGAACAGAAACTAATTTTGGGACATACTGATGGATGTACAGATAGATAATGGTAAAACTTAATGACCCCTCCGTCAAGACCGGGCATAAAAATAATAGTAAACCTTATGAAGGCCCATTTAGTATTATATTGAAATTAAATCCAAAGACCCATTAACTATTATATTGAAATTAAATGACTTCAGTTGATATCAAGTAATATCCAATTCTGAGTTGTTATGAAACCTATAAATATTAATTCTAAAAGATTTTTTACACACTATGTTGAGAGAACCTTACTTCTTCAGCACTTATATCGGCACAGCACAATAACTTTACAACTGTTATAAATGTAAGAGGACTATAGTGATGCAGTGAGTTTTCATATCATCATAATTGTGTTACTCACTGAGAATTTGAATGGTCCAGTCAATGAATTTGTTTGGTCCAGTCAATAAATTTGTATGGTCCAGTCAATGAATTTGTAATAGTCCAGTCAATGAATATGTATGGTCCAGACAATCCTCTTATCAGTTGGACCATATGTCATTTGGTTCAGACATCCATGATAGAGTTATTGAATTCTGCTTGTGTGTATGTGAACTTGGGCTTTAATTTTTTTCTTTTTTGTTTGTAAGAGTAGACACCCTTCTCTTTTCACTTGATACAATTAATCTGATATATCTATGTATCATTTTTACACTGTACAATACATATTCATTCTTTATATATTTCATATATTTTATGATGGTATGATACTAAACCCCTAACGTGAGGGATTGTACTTGATTTTCATCTGATGAATACATAATCTTTCAATCAGTTTAATTGAGGTTTGGAGCTGGCATGTCAGTAACTGCTAGTAGTCCTTTGTTCATTTATGTATCATTGTCATTTTGCTTAGTTTCTTTTGTTACCTATTCTGACATCGGACTCAGACTTCTTTTAAACTGAGTTTTACTGTGCGTATTGCTATGTGTTTCTTTTTCTACATTGACTAGAGGTATAGGGGGAGGGTTGAGATCTCACAAAACATGTTTAACCCCACCGCATTTTTGGGCCTGTCCCAAGTCAGGAGCCTCTGGCCTATGTTAGTCTTGTATGTTTTTTAATTTTAGTTCATTTTCCATTTTCACTTGACTAGCACACATTTTTATTTAGGGGCCAGCTGAGGACCACCTCCGGGTGCAGGATTTTCTCGCTGCATTGAAGACCCATTGGTGGCCTTCGGCTGTTGTCTGCTCTTTAATCGGGTTGTTGTCTCTTTGACATATTCCCCATTTCCATTCTCAATTTTATTTGATACTACAATAAAGATGTAATTATCAAAGGTGTTGTTTTCATGCCACAAGTTCATTACTATTTATTTGCCCTGAGAAGTTCAGTGTATATTCTGAGAAGTTCAGTGTATATTCTTATGAATAAAATATTAGAATGCTGATGGTTAGTAACTGATTCAAATGAAAGTGATAAGTCTGTACTATTGATCAGACTCAACAATTAGCCACCCAATGACCAAAAATGCAATTTTCCATGTATATCTAATTAAATCTAAAAACTTCTTCTAATTACGTTTTAAGACAAAAACGAATGCTGAAGTAAAATCAATGTTTTACTGATAACCATTGGAGATATTGTGTATTTCAGGTAATTTTGTCCTTAAAGCCAATCTGTTTAAAATAAATTTTGTTTTTAAATTTACACTTGACCTAGAGAAGTGTTAGCTATATGGAGAGCAGACTATCAATGAAAAAGCCAAAGGAAGCCTGTTCTGTAAGAAATACATTTTAATGGGAGCATGGCAATTTTCTAAAAATCGTATTTAATAACAGTCTATTATGTATCCTTTAAAATAGAATATATATGTTAGCAAAAGTGGCATATGAGTTAAATGCAGTTCAAATTCCTTCTACTTTTACACAGTAAGCCTGCTTTTTATCAAAATATTGACCATTTTGTTTTTAACTTTTAGTTTAAAATCCTGAAAAATTCTAAAAACATAACAGAAAAGTTTTTTTTGAGAAAAAAAATCCTAGCTTTATAGTTTGTTTTATTTGATTTTAGAAGAAAAGCAAACATATTGGTATCATGTCTTGACAAAGTGGTCTTACACAGCCTTTCAAATAAACTTCCCAATAAAATGTGTTTGTTGGAATGTGGAATACTGTAGGATAGCAATGGGGAATGGTGTATTGTGCCATGGAAAAGTGCGTACATTATGACATGGAAAAGTGTATACTGAAATCATTATGGGCAATGGATATGGTGCAATAATGAACAGTGTATCATACAATGGGGAACAATGTATTAGGTTAACACCTTCTTCACTGTTTCTTTTTTTAACCATTGAAAGTTGTACTTGTAGGCTTTCTATGTAATAAACTGCATAACAGGAAATTTTGAATGGTGGAAGGGAGAATAGTGTATGTTGTAAGGGGAAAGTTTACACTCAGATCAAGGACTGTATACATTTCACAAACATTACAATGTTATATAATATTCTGTGAATAGACTATGTATGATTGTTTCATACCTTATTATGGTACTGCATCAACTGTACAATAACTTTGATATCAGCATGGAAGTTTTTGATAGATATAACCCTCATTATATTAGCAGCATCCTCCTGGTCTGGGTCAGTACAGTATTTATTGGCTAGAACTAAACAGGCATCAGCTGACTGGATCTGCATCATAAATAATATTAAAACAGTTTTTCCTTAGAAATAATGTTAATTACCTTTTTCTAGGGAGAGAATACAAATAGCAATTAACAGATAATAATTTAATTTTGGATGTAACGCGTCTGCTGATTGGCTGACGTTGTTTTGTTTATCTGCTCATAGACATAATTTAGTCATGTGACAGTGACATCATCAACGTTTTTTCATTGTTTACTCCGGTTTAAAATGGAATTTAGAATTAAATTATAAGAAATAACTGTAATATTTTATCTGTCTATTCGAAATAACATAAAAAATGTGATGCACACTTTAAAATAACCCGTGTATTCAGTGTGCATCACATTTTTGATGTTATTTCTTCATAGACAGAAAAAATATTACAGTTATTCCTTAAATAAATGCATTTTGAAACTAGAGGACTCTTGGCTACATCTCATCTAAAGGGTGTTGACTTATGATGAGATTGTAGAAGAGAAACTCCTTCATGTTTAAAGAAATATCAATACGGGGTAATCTATATTATCATTTATGAAGGAAAAAACAATTAAATTTTTCATTCTATCTAACTATTGAAAAGAAATTGATGCAAATTAAGAAGTTTATAATAAGTGTTGAAAATTAAGGTGAGCCTACAGGCATGAGGCCCACACTTATTCTGCAGAACCAGTTACAATGTTATTCTTACAGACTAGACCACTTGCACTCAGTGACTATAATGTTAATACATACAATACAATTTCGATAGGCAAATAGAACTGTTGCTGTATACTTGAACACTTATTTTTGGATAGCAATTTAAAGTTTTATTAACCTTTACTCTCTCTAGATCATTGGCATCCATCACTGTTCCCTGGAAAAATTCCACTTGTGTGAAGTGTCTCTTTAATAAACCTTCTAATTCTAGATCTGGCAACATTCTGTAAATAAACAATATGCAAAATTAAAAAGCAATCATCTTGAGTGTCTATAGTGATAACATACACCCACTGAATTCTTATAAAACATGTAATAAGTTAAACACTGTAAGTATACTTAGTGCTTTATATTTTAAAATGAATATACAAACCTACAATTAAAGCAATAATTAAACAGCTATGAAAAGGAGAACAAATTAAACAATTCAAATTATTGGAAGGCATCAGCTATTTATTCTTATGGTTTTGATACATTTGAAGAGGGGCAGATGGACCTTTTCAAGACATCAAGATTGGGTTGTTATTTTTGCGGGAATTTTGGAATTTACACTTTTTTGGACTCGGGAATTAATGATTAATTTTTCAAGATCCAGGAAAGAATGCTTCATTTTCTTCAGGAATTTGGGATGCATTTTCTTTTTAGGGAATTAGGGATTACACCCCCTCCTATATACCCCTCTCCTAGAAGCATTTTAACAAGATGCAATTAGTCTTCATAGGAGGTGAATATCAAAAAGTTGTCATCCCAAGGGAGAGTTGTTTCCTTGAAGACTTAAGCCTTTATCTTCCTAGACATAATAGTTTCAGAGATTGTCCAATGGTCAACAATCTACTGTCTACTAAATGTGTTGTCTACTTGGAGAAAACTATATTGTCTCTGTTCACAACAAACTTTATACCAAAGAATTCTGTATTGTTAGAGTATCATTGTATAGTAAATAAATATGTACATTTCAAAAAAGAAATGTATGAAAATGACAAGTTATAGGGAAAAACTTAGTTTGGCAGAACAACAAACACTAAAGAAAAATGCTCATCACTGCAATCAGATATAACTGTTCATTTCTCATTCTCATAAATGTCTATCAACTATTTCTATTGTTTGATATCATACTGATTACTGCACCCATTATTCATGATTATCCTGGTAACTTTGTACCAGAAATTGGCAAACAGATATTAGTCAATTCTTTATGGACAGATTTCTGTATATAATGATGTGAACAAATCCTATAATGAGGTAATTTCTCCTGGCTTTAGTCAATAACCAAATGACAGACTAACAATTATTACCTTAAAATAGTTATACAAAAGACAGAAGCAGCTGATATCTTATTAAGACTTTATATAATTAGCATTTGTCTTTGAAAGCTTAATATTGGAATTTTATATAGGAAACCAACACACTCCGCCCTTGGACCAAGGCTATTTTCACAGTGCTCTCTTTTCAAAAGTCACACTAAATTAAACAAGAGTGCACACGCTGAAATGTCTCGCCTGCTTTAAACTACCATTGATTTTATGTTGATAGCCCTAAATATAAAGTTTTACTACAAGTATCACATTAACCTAGGCCAGGTTTTTTTAATTTGTTGGTTTATGGATCCGCCGACCCTATTTTTCAGATTTGCATATTAAAAATAAAATTGACATTTCATGCTTTTCTATTCCCAATGACCCTAAAATATACATTATCCCTGAAATATAAATAAAAATATTCTTTTTTATGAAATTAAATGCATTAAACATTAACAGAATTGATTACACATTGAGTTGTAAAAAAATAAAAATAAAAAAATAATCCGTATGTTTACATACTAAAAAATAGACAAATCAATCATAACTGACCTTGAAATGTTGTTTGTGCAAATAATTTTGCGGAGCGAAACCTGTGTTTAAAACCCATTACAATAAGTTCGTTTTCCTTTTTTGTCATAATTTCGTAAGATGTATGTATCATCTCATAGATGAAATGGACCTGTCCAAACGTGAAAGACGTCAGTTAAAATAATAGATATTCACAAACAATTTGGACTTTTCTTGTTTCATAAGTATTGAAAATAAGTTCGTCCAATTGGGTATCAAAAACAAGAATGCATGACAACTGATGAATCCAATATCCTCGTCTTTCCAGTGGACGAGTCTATTTCGTTGTAGACAGGGATGGTAAAGCTTATTTTTGTGCGACGTGTTTGCAATTTTTATTTATTAGTTTTCGTGCTTGAAGATAATTATTCACCATGTTTCCTGAAATTTGATAAAAAGCAACTTGGGTCTGTTTTTTTCTTGTTCCTGAAATGACGATTTAATTTTGTCTTTGTTCATGGACATATCCCTTCTTTTTGACGTGGTATGCATTTTATGTTTAAAACAGCTGAGCAATAATATTTGGAACTAAAAAAGATATGATGACTAAATAGAATACCAAACATATGGTTAGTCAGGTGAAATATATATTTATTTTTTACATATTTATGTCTTGAAAGATATTTTTTTTCTTTTTTTTTGAGGACTGTGCAAGGTATGCACATACCAAATATAGTTATCCTTTTACTCATAATAAGAGAGAAATTAACATTACAAAAAATCTTAACTTTTTATTCAAGTAATCACTGAACCATAAAAATGAGGTCAAGGACAAAGAACATATGACAGACGGAAACTTCATAACATAAGGCATCTATATACAAAGTATAAAGCATCCAGGTCTTCTACCTTCTGAAATATTAAGCTTTTAAGTAGTTAGTTAAAGCCGCCGTTGCTGCGGCCGGATCAGTACCCCTATGTCCAGCTTTCTGCGACAAAAATGCACAACCACAAGCATGAAATAAATTTTCCTCCTTGTAGAATATTACTATTCCAATGAAATTTTCATCTATAAGAAAAATCCACCACTGCTTCTCTCCAAAAGGGAGGCATATGAGTAAATAAATAAATAGTGGCAACAGATTTCTATCTTTTAATCACCATATACTCCCTTGAAAGTGACATAAATTGAACAATTTATAACATGTGTCCAATACATAAAATATTAGTGAAGACAATATTAAGTCCATTGTGACCCTCCTCTACTTTTTCCTTGTAATATTTGCAGAATTTTCTTCAGCTCATTAATAGCAAATGTTAATAGCAGTGTGTGTGTGTGTGTGACTTACATATTTGTATGTAATTATTAATTATTCAATGAAACCTCATATTACATTTCAGGGCAAATTATGGACAAATTTATTTTTTGTTAAAAGTGTGTTTTGCTGTATTACTAGATATAATATACTCAATATGGAAAAGTGTTTTACTTTTTTACATTATGAATATAAATTTCCTAGTGTAATGCAATTAGAATAGATTCGATATAGGCAGTCACTTTTATTGACATTTTGCAACTGAGATTATTCAAATTATAACAAATTGTAAACTATTTCAGAGCATTTATTTGTACAGAACAACAAATTGTCAATACTGAATATCACCAAAGATGCTAATCATCATGAATTGTAATATGGCTTTTTAAAGTTTTAAAGCCATTTATTCTACACGATTAGTCATGTGGGAACAGTTTCAGAAAAAATAAATTACTTCGCTGAGCGCAGCTGGATACGACCGCAGAGGTCCAACCCTGAACAGTTGGGGCAAAAATGGACACAATATTTGTGCTTGAAACCGGTCTGAATTTGGATTGAAATTAAATGTTTGTCACAATATAGGTTTCTGACACCAAATTGTAGTCAAAGAACTTAGAATTGGTTATATGATTTGAATTTATATTCAATTTTTTGCTTTTGTGCACTTCACTATGCTGTTACAAAATTTACCCCCCTTTTTTGTTTTGCTTTTGTGCAATACACTATGCTGTTGGCAAATTGACCCCCCCCTAAGAAAAAAATATTTCACCCCCTTTTTTTTTGGCAAATTTTTTTTTTTATCCCACCCCTCTTTCTTTTTAATTTTCTGAAATCTGTAATGAGAAAAAAAAATTGTTCCCCCCCTCAAGATATGGTCTCAATTCAAATTTCCAATGGAATTTGCAACCATAATTACCCATTTAAATACATCATAAAAGTCTTAAAATAGAAAATGACATACATAATCATGTCTTAAAATAATATATCTTTAATCAGCATTTTTATTAGTAACTTCTAAAAATAAATTGACAGCTAATCACCTCAAGACAATACAAAATTTCTTTATACATAATTTTAAAGCAGTGTAAGGGAGGTAATCCAAATTTAACATTGTACATAAAAGTGATTGTCCATTAACAAGGAAACCCTTGTTTTTCCCCCTTTTTTTGCACCCAATTCCTCAACGATTTGAGCCATTACCCCCCAAAGCCAATCCTAACCATCCCTTTGTGGTATGGAAACTTGTTGTACAATTTCAGAGAGATCCATACACCGTTCCACAAGTTATTGTCTGAAAACTAGAAAAATGCTTATTTGGGCGCCTTTTTTGGCCCCTAATTCCTAAACTGTTAGGACCATAACCCCCAAAATCAATCCCAACCTTCCTTTTGTTGTTATAAACCTTGTGTTTAAATTTCATAGATTTCTATTTACTAATACTAAAGTTATTGTCCAGAAACCAAGTGTCTTCTGACAACAACGACGACAACGTGATACCAATATACGACCACAAAAATTTTTTGCGGTCGTATAAAAAACCAAGTTCCTGTGATATTTAATCAATGCTATTTTCTTGTAAAGACCCTTCCTTACCAAAATAAAAGCTCCTTGTTAAAACTTAGACAATTTACCAACAGCTTACTTTATTTTCATGCACAAATTTGGAATAATACTTCTTTAATAATTACAAAATTACATTTTAAAAATTAAAATCAAAATTACCTATAGTTTTAGTTATAGTAAGACCTATGAAAATTGTCCCTTAATTCTATCACAGTAACAGTGAATTATGGAAATTAATTTAATTAATGCTATAACTTTAACAGTGCATTATGGAAATTTATTTGAATCAATGCCATATCTGTAACAGTACATTATGGAAATTTATTTGAATCAATTCTATCACTGTAATAATGAATAATGGAAATTTATTTGACTCAATAATGAACAATACCTGTGTTCACTGATATGATGTACTGAAAGTATAGAGGAACAAGCATCAGAAATGCTTGAGGAAGATTCAATGCAAGAATGGAGCTAAAATGTGCCTATAAGCTTTCATCATGTAAGTCATGTTGTGACCTTTGACTTTGACCACTGATCTTGACAATCAATAAGATTCAATCTCTCACATTTGACAATGACTGATTAAAATAGGATCTAAGACTAAAGCTGTACTGTGCAATCTCCTGTCATGTCGTTAACTTGAAATCTGACATCTGACCTTGAAATTCATTCCTGTTACAAAGAAATGGACAAAACATGTCAGTTGGAGGGAAGACTAGATGTCTTTGATGCCAACAAGTGTGTAACAGACACAGACAAATGGACTCAAGAATACATAAACAGAAGGTGGTGTTACTATATATCATTTAAACAGATTCACTGTTGGGGAATTCAAATTTGAACATCCTATTCATTTATCAATAAATCCTTATCAAAAGAGGGAAAACCTTAGAATTTTTATACTTTCATAAACTTTTTTTAAAAAAAGGCTTGACATCTTACATATTTAGTTTGCTTTTGTTATTGAGTCTCATCAATATTCATCACACACTGCCTTTATTTCACAAAGATATTGTTTTCTACTTACTTGTGAACAAAGACTATTTCAACATCAACATCTTCTCTGTCTTTGTGTAAGAAATCATTGAGGAAGTTGGAAACTGAATCAAATGTTATATGACCACATACTACTATGTGCCTAAAAATAAATAGAAGAATTGTAATATACCAATAGACGACTTTTAAGTTTGAACATTTTCCTGTACATTTCCTATGTCACATTGCTTTTGTTATTACCTCACAGTAAGAACCAATAGTTAAACGATGCCATTTACACCAATTGATCTCTGGTCAACTGGTGCAACTCATTCATGAAAAACAACTCAAGATTGGTCTATTAAGATTTGGTTTTGTTTTCAAGTTTCAGATACCACTTTTTCAACTGACAATTTCATTTACACTTTTCAAAATGTTGGACATCAGAGTAACAAAAATTCCCTACAAAATGTTCTCTAAAAATTAAATGATGCCAAATTTGGTTCTAAAATATGACTTTTTCAATACATTTTCTTAAAATTCTTTTATTTCTCATTGCAGTTACTGCTCGACATCAATAAGGTTATTCAATGTAGTGTTTTTTACAAATAGGTAGAAAAATAGATAAAACAATATGATTGCTCATCAAGTATAAGTTTGTTATTACCTGTAATACAAAAACTGTCAATGTCTGATGGTACTCTGATATCAAAGAATTCCAATGAGGGCTAATAATTGACTAATTTTATCTCTTTGTCAGATACTGTACATTCAGAAATTATTGCAATGTTTTTATTATTGCAAAAAATGAGACAGGGTTATAATCGCAATAATTTAAACTCGTATTTTGAAATTTTTATATAAATTGAACAGGATTTTTCTCAATATCCCAAAAATTAAAATCGCATTTTAGTCTAAAATGACAAAATCAAAATAATAAATGCATGCAATAATTTCTGAATTTACAGTATATGCTTTGTTGTTAGTGCAAAAAGAAAATATCATATTCCAATACAACTCCACTTACTTTTTGCCTCTTTCTTTTTTATATGACCCTCCATAAACCTGTCTTCTACCAAATATTTCAAGTAATTCAGGAACAAAACTGGCAAACATACCCTACAAATTGTATATGAGATATTTTTTACAACTTATAAACAAAATAGAGACCACTTGGAAAAGTTTCAACATATAGGGTTGACAGAATGATCAAATTATATACAGTGAGAACAAAAAAGATGCAGTATGAATCTTTTAAGGATGTACACCTCTGAGGAGCCAAAAATTTCTAAAATTAAACTTTTTTTCTTAACCTGATTTTTGGGTTCATATGACTGTAAGAAAGTAATTGATGCAGAAAAAATCATATGGTAGTGCACTTCTTTTTTTGCTACAGCCATTTGAAAGCACTCATTTTTAATGATTTTCCCATTTTTCATCAATTTTTACATATTTTTGAGCTATTATCATAAACAAAATCACAGATACACAATTAAAACTTTTTTTTAATACTTTCACTAAAGATGAAGTGGACCAATCTGAATAAATTTAACTTAAAAAAACTATAGGTTGGTGTTAATATTAGAAAGTTTTATAAAATTTTGTTGCTTTTTCGTGTCAAGTCAATTTTGTAAATTTGTGATTTTTCTCTTTTTTTTTTCAGAACAAAAAGCATATTATTTCAACTTCTTTGCTATAAATGATTGAAAAAAAACATATCTAAGAATTTTGAAAAGAAAAAAATTGATATGGGATGTACATGTTTTGGTAAAACCATTTCTTTATACTCCTCAACTATTTCTCAATATTTTGGTTGAAGACACTGACTGGATTGGTTATAAAAGGAGTAGGTCCGGTAAGGGCCGATTTTGGCCTCAAATTTCAGGTTCTTCAGATGAAAGATTTTGGACACTTTTTAAACACTTAAGTGTCTACTTCAGTCTATTCAATTAGTTTATGTGAAAGATTTTAACTGATTTAGTCATTAAATACGCTCAAATACAAGCTTAAATATGACAAATCTATCAAATATGCCATAATTTGTCACTTTTCAGATGGTTTTTGTCAAAAATGAAAGTGGCCGCATCCGTGTTCACTCTCAATCTTTATATATGTTATGTATTATCATCAAATACAACTTACATTTAAATATTAAGAATGAACACAAATGCGGCCACTTCCATTAAAGACGAAAACAGTATAAAATTTAACTCAAATGCTAAAATTGTGAAGATTTCATGATTAAGCATGACTTAATGATGCTAGTACCCGATATATGTGCATTGTATTGTCAAAACAAGCCCATATTTATGCAGCAGAAGTATTCTACTTTCCAATAAATAGCTAAAAGTTTACATTTTAACAATTTTGTAAAACTGCTATATTTTGGGGCCAAAAAGGGGTCTTACTAGACCTACTCCTTTGAAAATTTTGTTACTCAAAAACTACTTGTTGTAAGTACACAATTTTTTCACAGAGTTTAGTTTGATTATGATATTTTTAAAATTCACTGATATTTTTCACTTGTATCACATGTTTTGGAAATAATTCCTGAACAAGATTTCAACGAGACTGAAACATGAGAAGAATACATCCTTAATGTTAAATCAGAAATTACCATGCTCAAGTACAGATATTATGGATTTCTGAACACTTTGTACTTTTAGATAATTTATTTGAGAAGAATAAGAATAGTAATGTGTAGGCTTTGAAGGAGGTGGTACAATAGGTTTGTATATTTGAATTGGATCATCGATATAACAGAAACGCCTAGGTTTCTATTTAGGCAATAGTTCCATTCAGTGATGATGAATCAGTAAAAACATTTGATAGGCTGTGAAGATTACCAGAATTATAGAAATACCAGTACACCACTTGGCTTTCAAAATTTCTTGAGTTTGAGCGTTCCTGATGAAGGTACCAGAAAAGTGCATTGCCAAAAAGTGCTTTGGGCGCATCAAATCTATAATGTGCTATTTTCAATTAACTCCATAATGTAAATGACTAATTGAACAAATACTCCAACTTCATTCAAAATAGACAATAATGGTACTTATTCAATTTATACTTCAAAGATTCAAATACTTCTTAAATATTTTACATTGAAAAATAATGTTAATTTATCTGATATTTCATTGGTTTAAATACCATGATGTATTACAATATTTTTTTCATTTTACTTACAATACTTATCATTATGAAGATGACAATAAAGATTCGACCAATGTCTGTCTTAGCACTAATATCACCATATCCAACGGTTGACATGGTAACCAATAGAAAGTATAAACATTCCCAATAAGACAGACTTTTAGCATTTTCAAAATTTCTCCATGGATCACCAGAATTTTCAACCTGAAATGACAGAAAATTATTGGAATTGTCAATAACCTGTGAATTGTTTGCTCATTGTGATATACTGATTCAAACATTTTATCTTCATATAACTCAAGCTTTACCATAGTTTCTTATTTACCCTAAACTTTAAACAACTTGTAACTCAAAGAATATTTTGATAGCTTTATATTGTTTGCTAGACACTTTTAAGGTTGAAAGCTGTAATTAAATTGCTTGATTCAATTTGATCCTTTGCCTTTTTAAATATTTTTTTATCAGCTCCAATTCCAATTGTCATGTAAATATCTTTTGCAATATTAACAGTTCATCTGATGCAAAGCATCATTACTAAGTTTTAATTGACATCCTTTTTTAGTTCAAAACACAAGTTTTATCTTCAATTTTGGAACTATTTTAATATCTTCGTTAATAGTTTGAACTTACTAAATGTAAAAACCCTCCTGAAGCGAGCCATAGACTGATGAAGTAAGTTAACATTTGACACAGTCTGATCATTGTACTGGTCTGTAGCATATTCAGGTAGGTCAGGATATCTGGGATAGACATTAGTCTTAAAGCTCTCAAGAATCTTAAACCTACAAAAACAAAAAAAATTGTAAAACCTCGTTGACAGTCATGTTTTTAAATCTAAAAATTAATACAGCAACTTTCTTAAATATTACTAATGTATAAACAAACTGGTATATTTTCAAGAAAACATGCCTCAAATTGAAAATATATGGTTAAAGAAATAAAAATCATGTATATAAGCAAAATAAGTTATTCAGAACAAACCAAAATAAATGTGGATAGTATCCACATGTGGACACAGATGATGCCCCAACTTGCATATCATATAGTTATAAAGGGACATAACTGAAGAACAGTAAAAGTGAAGCTACCCAAATTTGAACTTGATCTGAGTTTTGTAGTAATATGCATAACATTTGGTTGAGGTTAACTTAAGTAGAGAACAGAAACTAAAAATTCAGCAATTTTTCTTTTTCTATTTGTAAACATACATAACTCTAGAACGGTTGTGTATAAGTTCTATAACATTTGGTTGAGACAAACTAAAGTTAGAGAACGGAAACAAAAAAATCAGTAATTTTCACGTTTATAAAGGGACATAACTCAAGAATGGTAAAAGTGTCGCCATCAAATTTCATACTTAATCTGCATTATGTAGTAATAAGCATTGTGTATAAGTTTCATAACATTTGGTTGAGGCAAACTAAAGTTACAAAACGGAAACAAAAAATTTGTACTTGATCTTAGTTTTGTGGTAATTAATATTGTGTATAGGTTTCATAATGTTTGGTTGGGGCAAACTTAGTTACAGAATGAAAACTAAAAATTTTGCAATCTTTCGATTTATAAAGGGGCATAACTCAATAATGGTTAAAGTGACACTACCCAAATTCAACTTGATCTGTGTTTTATCAGTGGAAGTCAAAATTAAACATTGCATTGTATATAGCATTGGTTGTAGTTAATTCAACTATAATCATGGACAAAGGAAGATAACTCCAATTTTAAAATTTACTTGATATTTAGAAGAAAATAAAAATTTTGCAATTATTCCATTTAAAAAGGGGCATAACTCTAGAACGGTTAAAGTGATGCCACCAAAATTCAAACTTGATCTGTGTTTTGTGGTAATAAGCATTGTGTATAAGTTTCATAACATTTGGTTGGGGCAAACTTAAGTTAGAGAACGGAAACTAAAAATTTTGCAATTTTTCCATTTATAAAGGGGCATAACTCTTGAACGGTTAAAGTGACGTCACCAAAATTCAAACTTGATATGTGTTTTGTGATAATAAGCATTGTGTATAAGTTTCATAACATTTGGTTGAGGCAAACTCAAGTTAGAGAACGGAAACCAATTTTGGGACGTACGTACATTCGTTTGTTCGTTCAAACGTATGTACAGCAGACAAGGGTAAAACTTGATGCCCCCACCGCTACGTCGGGGGCATGAAAATTGGTGTAAATCTCTACAAATAAAATTCATAATGCAGATATCATGTAAAGATTTTTTAAATACAAATGTATGAATAGATATCTAGAACTTCTTACTTAACTAGAGCTGTCTGCATAGTGGGACTAATACCCCTCGTACATGCATTTTAGTTGCTGCTGTGAAATTCAGTATTGAGATTTCTGGCTTTCAGCCATTCATTTAAAATAATCATTGCCACTGTGTTAGATTGACACATGGTTAATGATAGGTCATTATGAAAGAATTATATTGACATAGGAACAAAGTCTGAGGTTTGTATACTGTAAATTTAAAAATTAAAGGTCAATATCAAGTTCAGTATTATGCTTCTATATACTAAGTGTTGTCAATCTATTAAAGTGCTACAGTACAAAAGTTATGCACCAATCACAAATCTGACAATGTTTTACTATCATATGGGTCAAAGATCAAATTCAAGGTCAGAGTGACCTGACTTTGATGTATGACATACCCCATCCCATTATGCATCAGCATACCAAGTTTTTTCAACAAAGTTCTATGGTACAAAAGTTATACACATGACACAAATAAGACAAGGTTTTACTAACATAGGGGACAAAGGTCAGAGGGACCTGATTTGGTTATATGATAAACCCCAGCCCGTGATGCAACTGCTTACAAAGTTTGGTCAAGTTCTATGGTTCAAAAGATAATTTGTGCCATACACGAATTGGACAAGGTTTTACTCATAGGGGTCATAAGTCAAAGTCAAGGTCAGATTGATCTGACTTTGGTATATGATACCCCCCAGCCCATGATGCAACTGTTAACCTAAGTTTTACAGTTCAAAAGTTATGTGCCAGACACAAAGCGGGACGGACAGACAGACAGACATGGTGATTTCTATATACCCCCAAAACTTTGCTTGTGGGGGAATAATGAAACAAACTAGAGAAAAGACATCGCACACGAGATATGAGCAAGAGAGAAAGGGTACATGAAATAGTTAATATTATGTTAGTATTGGTCCATCTCCATAGTGTTACAGGTATCTTAAACTAGGAAGACTGTTTAAGTGGACTAAATCATTTGTCTCCCTGTCATCTACAGAAGTTACTTGTGTAAAAGAAAAGCAAAACACACTCATTCTGGTATTACCCCTTATGTTTGTTTTTGTGTGTGTTGCTCTTTTAAAGGTAAATATTCCCCCAAAATCTATTCTATTTGAACTTGCAGTCAAAGGTCAAGGTCAGATGTCAGCCATATTAGTATTTGACACATCCTCTTTGAGATGATGTACCCATATTCAAAATATCTAGTCTATTTAAGGTGAACAAAAAGGACCCCAAAAAATATTTTTTCTAATTTTATTGTCAGAAGGTCAAGGTTAGATTCGTAAGAGGTCATCTTGGATAGTATACAACACATCATATTGAGGTGCTTTGTGATTATCGTATCTAAATGAGAGAAATATAGATTCCACCACTGCATCAAGTGTGCTACGATATTTCTCCACTCGAGACAGTTAAATTTAAATGTTTAAAGCAAGAGGCTTGCAGAGCTTTTTAAATAATTAAAATTTAACTGTTGAGAGTGGAGAAATATCGTAATACACGAGTTAAGGTGGTGGAATCTGTTTCTCTAACGATATTTAAACAAAGTTTAGCCTTCATTTTCAAAGATTTGCAGAAAGTTGTGTTCTTTATATGTGACGTCATCAGGCATGGTCGTCTTTTTTCATGACGTCATAATAGGAAATTCAGAAGAAACCAAGAAAATTTTACGTCATAATTAAATTTTGACCAATCATTTGCCGAGAACAAAATTTTCTCTAAAGAGAAGAAATGTTTTTCTCACACCGATTGAGAAATGTGAAAAAAGCATGAAAATTAGAGAAAAAAAATAAGGAATAAATATCAATAAGACAACATCCCTACAGCACAATAAAAGCAAAAAAAAAGACATCGAGAGGTCAATATACAATCTTTTCCTAGATGTCTCTGTTATTTGTGTTGTTGAGTTGCTGTCTTATTGACATTATTTTGACAGGATTTTTTCACTTTTGTGCAGCAAGGTTTAATCTTATTTCAGAACAATCTCAATCCTTTTTCAATGGGTTTTTTCAGACCCAAAAAATAAAAATTCAGTTGTAATAAAGTTGGCTTTAAAACTTTAAAATTTTATAATAATTCAACCAAATTACTACTTTCTCGACTACTTAACAACCTTGATACTTAATGAGCAAAATGTTTATTATAATTTGGTGATAAATTTGCCTATATTTCCAGATCAAATCAAATTATGTTTCATCACAGAAAAATTAGCTTGATTATTATTATCTAGTGACACAGATTAATACCACTGACAACAAACAATGCAAATTTGTTCCTTGCAATCAATTCTTTAAATATTCTATTCACAAGACAGAATCCTTATCTCATGAGCATTGGGGTTTATATCAATGAGTATTTATTCAACCCCCTGTCACACCTGACTACAAATTAGCTATTATCTTTTTCATGATGTTATACTAGATGCTGACCTGGACATGACTGTTCTTAGGCAAAAATCAATAGTCCCATATATACATAAAATACTGTTGAGATTTGATAAGACAACATGACATTATCTCATAAAGTTATGGCAGACTTTTACTGTTTTCTATTAAACAAATTATTGTCTGGATTTCTATAATCTAAATTGGTTTTCAGTGAGTACAGAAAATTGATTGAAGATTTTTAAGATAATATAGCATTTAACTTATCTACAGGCCAATTAATATTGATTGTCTAGCATTAATTGCAGAAGAACCAAGATAAATTATATTGTATTTAGAATTTTATAGCTAACATATTTCTTATGGAAATACCAACAGGCTCTGTGGTCTTGTGATAGTGTGCTGGCCTAGAGTCAGGAGCCTGTAATTCAGTGGTTGTTGTTTATTTGCTGTGTATCATTTTTTTTTTTTGTTCATTGTTTTGTACATAAATCAGGCCATTAGTTTTCTTGTTTGAATTGTTTTACATTTTTCATTTCAGGGCCTTTTATAACTGACTATGCAGTTTTACTCATTGTTGAAGACCGTGTGGTGACCTATACGTGTTAACTTCTATGTCATTTGGTCTCTGGTGGAGAGTTGTCTCATTGGCAATAATACCAGTGCCAGGGTAGGCAAAGTATTACCCAGGTGGGAAATCCTGTATGGGAAAACCAACCAACTAAAACTAAGTAAGACATAATGAATCCCAGCGAAGTAAGAAATAAACGATATCACATGGCTCCTGCTCATATTGGTTACACCAAATAGGAACAAAACAAACATCAACTTAAAACTTAACCATTATGTCTGTCATTTCAAACTTGTAAACTTAGACACAATATTTAATTTGAATAATACATAAAAAGTGAAATCATTATCAATGCTAAAAGTAAAGGATACTTGAAGCAAACTTAACTACATCAAATTTTAAATGGTTTCAAAATGACACTCTATTACAATGACTACTAGTGTTGGTTCTCCATGACAACAAGAGATTCTGTGGACAACAAATATTTACCAAATTTCAATAGGCAATATTTCATTATTTACAAAGCAATTGATAATGTATAATGTACAAAAAGGCTACAAAC